AACCAGGATTTGAACCCTTTTTTTTTTTTTACAGAAAATACAGTTCTTCGCATGATTTTGAAGGAGTAGGGCGCCATAAGGGGGATATGATATTTCAAAAATGTCGGTGTGCTTGGAGCCTTGCACAAATAGACACCAGTGACAGAGCTTTTGGGGCTGAACTCATATTGACCGAATACTCAATGGGTGCTTGGCAAACACTAATATGTTCATTAAGCTTAAAAAGCAACAATAGGGAGCTAAATATTTGGTTCATGAACTGAAACAGGAACAAAACGTGTCTGGTTAAATGTTCTGAAAATAAGAATAATTTACTGAAGATTTGCAAAGCTTAAAAATTATTTAAACTGCCAAAGTAGTGATTCCTCTCAATGACGTATGTAACTGACAAGTAAAGGATCGAAATTTCATTTTGCGATCAATTGCATTATACATCATGTCGTATGTCAACATTTTTGCAATAACAATAGTTCAAATGACTATGTGCAATGAAAAGTGATCCTTCAAAGTGACACAACTATAGCAAATGATCCTTAAACTGTGCAGCTACCCTCAGCTCTATAGACTAGAGCTTTCAAATGTAATGGCTTCCTGCTCACTGTTTGGTTTTCTAGTCTTCACATTCACTTGGACTATGGGATGATCTGATTTAACTGTGGCATTGGCCTGACAACCTAAACAAATACATCTCACCACATTGTTAAGGTCCTCAATTCTGATTGGTGCATGCACATATTTGATACAACCCCTTTTCATCAGTGCCCCACCTATTTCTTAATATTTACAATAGAACAGACAGGAAGACCTTTTCAGGACCTTTAACATAGTCAGTGGTGTTCATTCAACAGTGTGGATAAACAGTGAGAATGGGCTGCAAAGCTTCCCCTGTTGTTCTATCAATATCACATTGATTTCTGTCTCTTGCTGTCTTGAACAATTACCATCATTTGTAGTTTGGGACTGCTGCGACCTTTAGTTAGTTGTAAGTGCAATCCATTTTTATCAGGACAAAAACAAATGTAAAACCCACCAGAGACAAACACACCACAGTGCCCGCACAGTTTGAGATTAATAGACAAAAGTGAAAGTAAAATGGAAGATGTCTGGGATTATTTTGGCCCTCTATGACTCAAATGTTAAAACCTGTAGTACAGTATCATAGTTGTGTCTGAGTATAATGATAGATCAGTTAGATAACCATCATGATGGCACTTTTCACAAAGCACCACATTGTGTTATTTGGCCAATACACTTCTGAAAAAAACATATTTCTGTCTTGTTTAAGTATAAATAAGCCAAGTTATGTAAAGTCACTATTTTTGGAGGGCCTACAAACCTGCACATTGTTTTCAGGGCGTTCTGTCATACTTCACAAAGTATTTCCGTGCTGATATCTCTTTGAAGTTCAAGAACCAAAGGGCCCCAGATGATTTTTGTAGAGAAAAACCTTTAAAGGGAGTCTGTTTGAAGAAGGTGACTGCAATGGGAATGTTGAGTGTAAGCAGCCGCAGCAACTCGTACTCCGTCTCCATCAAATTCTTCACACAGATGATTAGGTGTGCAAAGACCAGAACTGATGTGGAGCCAGAGTGATTAAATCACAAAGTGACCCAAATGAAAGAATTGATTGGCCTCACGATCATGATATGTGTGAAATGTGCGCACTTAAGACTCTGACTTATTAGCATTCTTCTCAAGTTTGCTTGTGAATCACTGATACTTTGTTTTGACAACTTCTTAATACGGGGCTGACATTCACACAGGTGGGGGTATTACAGTTCATTGATCTGATTAGATCAGGTGAGCAAGTGTTGAGAAGAAAATCTACTTAGCAGAGGATTAGAGATGGATAAAAAAAATATATATATATATGAATGGACTTGGAATTGTAATCATATTTATTCCTCACTATAAACAAGACTGCATGAAATTAGATTTTCCACATGAAATAATGTCATGTCAAAGGACGTAGTATTGACACTTAAAGGTGGGGTAGGTAATTTTGGAGAAACCGGCTCGAGATCGCTAGAATTTGAAAATACACACCTGGAGAAAATCTGCCACTTCCTTACAGAGCCCCTCCTCCAACACACACGAACGCGCACATGACCAATGAGGGCACGAGATAAGTTTGTGCACAGATGGAAGGCTGACAGGCAGGTAGGCCATCCAGTTATTTTAGCCGGGCCGGCTAAAATGATTGGTCGTGCTTTTTACAGTACTACGGCTTCCACAAATTACATTTTTTGATGTATTTATTGTCAAAGCATTTGATATATTCATTGCTATCGGGATGTTAAGAGCATTCCATGGAATATAACAAAAAGTGTTTCTGAAATAAATTACATACCCCACCTTTAACTAATAAACAAGACTTTAAGTCTAAAGCTATGCTAGCAGCTCTAGGGGCCTGTTGGGTTGTGCTTTGAGATGTATGCTAATTTCTGTATGCTAACATGCTCGTAATGATAAGGCTAAAATGCTGATGTTTAGCAGGTAGAAATTCAACTTTTTTCACCATCTTAGTTTAGTGTTCTCCCACTATATTTCTCTTAGTAATAAATAAAAAGTTCAGCTAACTGGATTGTCATTAGCTTGATGGGTCAAAAAACAAAGTGTTGATCCAATTAAAATGTTGCCCTAAAGATGCTAGATGAAAAGTTAAAGGGTCACTAAAATGTTTCCAATCCATTCGTTTCCAAGTAATTTCACTCAAAACAAACCTTACGATGGCACCCAGGGTAAAGCCAGGGGATCACCGAAGTCAGTATCTACTGAGGACCATAAATGTCCGTACAAACTCTCAAACTGGACTAAAGAAGTTAACCGGCTGACCAACTCACTGTCATTTTTGATGAAATTCCTGAACAGGTTCACTCTTCATCAAGCTCCATATGGTGTTAAAATGTTGTTTCACATCTATTGTGCCTCTTTATTATACTGTACTTATACACTAGCTAAAATTGGCAGCACCCCTTGTCTAACTTTGACATTATCTCCATGCATAAACATTAGTTGCACAGTCTCAGACAACTTACACAAAGAAAATATATAAAACTGGCTTCAAGATGCATATTGATGCGCATTACAGTCATAATGAGAATCTTTTTGTTATTATTCATTAATTAGATGAATCAAACAACCTGCAGGCCCTTCAAAGTAGTGGAGGAACACTGCATGGTGTTGGGGAGACATCTGCAGCCGTCCCTGTGCCAGCCTGCTCTGCTCTTTGATCCGGCTTCATTATGCAGAGGGAGGCTGACCTATCATGAAAGCCGAGACGTGCTGAGCTCCAGCCTCTCAAACAGTAAACACAGAGATGTACCCAGACAGCTGGTGGAGGGATAAAATAGTTAATTAGGGACTCTTCTTCGGGGAAAAATGCTACCACATCTTTTCCTGGTTTACAAACATTTCACTGGCCGATATTATTCCAAATGAAGCTGCTGTTTGTCTCCTCCATAATGATAGTTTTCCCTGGAAGCTGTGTACTTTTTATCAGAGCTTCACAGTTCCCTCCTCACTAATCCCTTCCTCTCATTAACCTCCTGCCTTATTTTATGCTGGTTTTTTACTTGTGCAAATTCAGGCTTGAGGTTTGAATTTCAAATATCTTTACAGTGTTTTTGATAAGGTACATATTGAATAAGGTTGATATTTTCTTATACGTTTTAAATCAACAATTTAAATATATATAGTTTGGCATGAGTTGAAAGTTTGCTTTGAAGTGAAAAGCACATTCTGGGTATGGCTTTAAAGCCATTTTACAATGTATGGGTATCATTACAGAAGTCGGTTTTAAACAATATTACACATGCTTTGGGCTGACACATATTCTGGGGTAACTCAAGACAAAATTGTAACATTAGAGAGCAGAGGCATTTCTTGCACACTATCTTTTTTGCAAGGCTGAAAAAGGTGATATTGTAAGCAAAACAATATACTCGGAAAGTAAGAACCTTGGGCATTATATTTTTGGCTGTGAAAAGGAAGCACAAAAATAAAACTCTGCACCATTACTATCCCATTAAAATCCAGCCTCTCTCCGAAAATGGCTTAAGTGTAGAAATGAAACACCCTGTATTCATAAGATAATTTTTCAGCTGACATAAGGAGTGTTAACCGGTGACCCTGTGCTGACTTTTCAAACTAAAGCTGCACGTTGACTCTGGGCTTTATCTCAGATAATTCATTTTTCATAGCTGAACCACCTAATCTGAATATCACCTATTGTACTGTATGTCACCTGGAAAAAAAGAGCTCTCAGCAGGAGTCCAGCTTGAGTACAGCAGTGGTCACCTTCAAATGACAAGGCTCATCTGTTCCCAGCTCACCTAGTATTGAATCAGCATTATTGTATGTCTCCCTCTTCTTTCCCTGGTGTCTCTTTGCTCATAACCTCTGCCTTTTATACCGCACTACTCTCTCCTTCCTCCCGTCTCATCCTCAGATCATTGTTGTCACGTTCCTGCCCTCTCCTCCCCCCCCCCCCCCCATCTCATTCTCAGTGTGTCTGCCGTCTTGTGCCGTGCCGCAGGGCCCCTCTGGCTGATGTAATTTATGCTATCTCCTTTTGCTAGTGTGAGAGGAGAGCGTCCTGAAGCCAACACTCTTCATGCAGAGTGCTCCTGTGGGAGGCTGTGAGCCAGCACCGACTGAGCTCCCCCCCCTCTCTTTCACCATCTCCCATGCACACTGCAATAATGACCATGCATGGGAGGAAGACACTAAATGTGCATAGCTGTTCAGGCTAATTACAGACACCATAAAGCAGCTGTCAGGTGCAAAGACGTATTGCATGTGATGTAAAGACAGGTATCTGTTCTGCAGGTTTTACACGAAAATGTTAAGTGAAGATTTTTTTATGCAGTGCACTGATTGGACATTTTTTGCTCACATCTCATGAGACCATCAGGAAACTGTAGCTAGATTACAGCCGCAGTAAACCCTAACACAGGAATTGTGTTGATGTTGACTGCTGCATTTATGTGTGGTTTCAGGACTGCAATCCATTTCTATGACAACAGAGACGGCTTTGGCTGGGGGATTGAAGAGTGCAATGGAGGGTGACGCCATGAGAACCAATCAGGTGAGAGAGCTGTGGAACTCACAGCAGCTGTACATCATTTCACTCAGGCCCCTCAATCACTCAGGGCCCGCCGCCATGTTTGATATGCAAGACAGCTAGCCTCCTCTGCATGTGCCAGCAACTAAACATCTTAGAGCAGCAGATCACACTACGTCATGCTTTTAGATGATTGCCATACATGATCCAAGATTTAGGATTTAAATCACTTAAAGTCAAGTACACAATGCCCCCTGAGACTCAGAATTTAAATGTTTAAATGGAAGACAAAGCACTGGGATATGAACCTCACACACTTAAAAGAAAGGATTTCTCTCCCCTAGGCTGCAGAGGACCAGGGGGACATGGATGATAACTCGGAGAAGACCCCCAGCAAAGCCTCCAGATCCCCCCAGAAGATCAACAAGCGGCCCAGGGCCGTCCCGATTAAAGTCACACTACTGGACGGCTCGGTCTATGAAACTGGGGTTGAGGTATGCTTCTCACTTTCATCATCAAGAATTGAGAAAGGGGCTGAATAATCTATGTAATGACTATCATTATGTATAGCCTATTCTTGTGCATTGTTGGATTATTAACAACATTTCGGGTCCCTGTAAATTCATTTTCTGTCACCTGGTATGTGCATTCTCCATTGTAGCATATGAAAAAAAAATGCAGCTAATTTGAAAAGCAAACACACTATTGCAAATCAGGCATTGCACTTGGCTCAAGTGGAGGGATTAATAAAAGAAAATACAGACTAAATAATTGAAACAGACTTAATGAATATATAATGAAATTGATGAAGCCGGCGTCACTCAAAACTCACTTTTCCTTTTCTAGGGAGATGAAAATAGTGGGAGATAAAAACATATGGAGCAATAAGGAGACTGACGTGCCTCAAATAAATACATTAAACAAACTAAAATACTATATTTCCATTACGTTTCTACATCTGTTTTTACATGTCAGAGGATTGCCTGGTCTCCCCCTACATCCAATATTATATTACCATATAGCTCCTAATGTTTTCATCAAGCGGATGAAAATATGGGTTGAAACTTGAATACTTCACTGATCCAGGAAAATATATAAAACTTCACTGTCCTGTCTGGCTATCTATTGAAACCCTCACAACCACAGATCTGCTCATAAAATATGTTCTTGGAATAAAATATTAAATATAGGGTGAGAGATCTTCCTTAATGGTCTGTAGGCCTGGGAAAAAAACCCCATCAGAATTCAATTTTGCAAAACAGGCAGAAACATAATTAGAAATAATGATTTGAACATTGTGTTTTGCAGTGCTATAAAAAAGCAGTTTCTCTGGCTGCTCAAAAGCACACAGACTTGGTGAGCAGGAAAACAGCATTCATAGAAGCTGATGTACATATCCCTCTTTTGAACAGAGCCCTTGACTCAGCACAGCACAGCACACCTCAGTGGGATGTAGTCTCCCTCGGTAATTTGCATTACTGAGTCAGAAAAGCAGCAGCTCTGTGGCTCTTCTCAGCGAGAGGGTGGGTGGAGTGAGGTAACACAAGCTCTGCATTGTGGGGGATGGAAGACTCAGATGAGCAATCTCCGGCTTCCATGAATCGTGACTCTGTAACCCTTTTGTGTTTGTAAACAGACGGGCGTAGCTCAGGGTTTATTTGTCTTTCACAATGGCCCACACAATGATTGAACACTGCAGAAAATTCATATGGAGGGAAAAAAGCGAGGGGTGTCAAAGGGGCTGTTCCATATACAGCAGAGAGATCCTGGCCGGGACTTACAGATCACATTAAAGCCAGCTCTGAAACCTCATTTGCGGCTGCCAATGACCGAGTGTGATGCGTGACGGGAATGATCATCTTGGCTCAAACTCATTCATGTCACTATATTCCTTTTATGGCTTACTGCCTCTCACGTGACCTCCCATATTTTACTTAGGAGAGGAGAAATATGTCACGAGTCCTGACCGGAGCATCACACATTCTCCTTCAACTCAACCCCCACCCATATCTCCCTCTGTCTTGCATGTACACACACACATTTCTTCATGTCACCTGGGAAGTGACACTAGAGGTATTGGGCTTAGACGGAAAATCCATACAGTTGACAAATGAGTGCTCTTATGTTTGACCAGGGAGAAAATAGAATGGGAGGAGGAAAGCGGAGGAGGAAAAGATGAAGAAAGTGGGGGAGGAGGTGGAAAGAAAGATGGAGACGCCAGGAGGGCTCATTTGTGTACCGTAGTATATAAGCAAGTATTGGAGAAAAGGCACATAATGATGAATGCAGTGGAATCACTGCTTTAATGACAGTCATAAGCAAACGTGCCCTGATGACAAAAACACAAAGAAGCAGCCTGAGCCTCGTATTGATGTTTGGCTCACGACATTACAGATATTGATTAAGCTCAGTGCATTAGTCCAGTCTTTAACCTACAGCCCTAATATTAAAGAAAGAACTAGAGCACCTGTGTGCAGTGTTTCCCAACCTTCACGCTTACAATACCACACAAGCTTACATTTCCCCAAAAACATCGGAACTGGCTTAACACCACGAGGGGCCCACTGTTACCCACATTTTAACTACTTGGACTTTGGCTGAACAAGATATTTTCTTTAGATCCAACCCATGAAATGTATTATTCACGGTACAATCATTTTTGATAGTTAACCACATGTCTGCGGGAGATCCTCTTTATTGGAAAAGCCAGGGCTGTGTGACGTCTGGAAACCATTCTGTAGCACTGATACTTAACTTAGCCTCTGATGCGGACCTGATACACTTTTTAAGAAGGACCTTATTAAGACAGAGATAGAAATAATACAAATTAACAGTTTTGTGACTACACTCAGGGCTGCCCCGGCCAACTTGTGGCCCCACGCAAAGCTATGTGATCTGTGTCGTGAGCGTCGATGGGGGGGGGGGGGGCGATGGTGCTAGTGGAGCACGCGCGTGAACTGCGAGCGCCTGAGCATCGCAGCGGCGTAATTGTGGCGCGCTTAATTGCGGCGCATTTGCGCATAAGCTGAAGTGCGCCGCATTTGCGCATCAGATGAGGTCCCCTCCGCAAGATGAGGCCCCACACAGTCTGCATGATTTGCGTGTAGGGAGGGGCGGGCCTGGTAACACTGTTCTAATGTGCTTCTGTTTCACATAGAAAGCATTGCAACAAACCTGTAATATCTCGGACACAAACCAATGGTGTGTTCCAATACCACCATGCTACTGTATTTAGTATGTCAGAAAATGATTTTGTATGTCCCAATACATAGAATATGAAATGTACAAGTACCGTTTCCAGTCCCCTTTATTATTCTATGATTTTTGGCACCTATACTTGGAATTGGATACCGTATGTATACACAGGATAAAAGCATTAAACCCACAATCCAGAGTGTTCCACATTCTTACATTCAAAATGCCTCCTGAGAAAACCACCAGCGCCATAAATGCGAGGTTCATATGATCATGTGGTTAATGAGAAAAAACTTGAGACATTATTAATGACACTGAGACCAACCTCGACTCCTTAAAGAATGATAACATCAGTTCATCTATAGTAGATTCTGAATATCTTTCCCATTTCCAAAAGCACAGATGTAACATGTTTCCCTGCTGCACCACTCTCTGCACCACTGAAGGTTCAGATGAGTTCAGCCTCTTGCTCAAGGGAACTTCAGAACTTGCACTGAAGCACACCCTGTCTATTTGGAGGCCAGTATTTCTTATACACTGCTCCATATCCTAAGAACCCACTTGTTTATGCTGTGCTAAAAGCAGAGGCTTTTTTTAACTCACAGATAAACAAGTTCACTGTTTTTATTGTTTTGGAACTTCAGAACAAAGTTAATATATTTTCCAAGTGGTTATGAGACAAACTTGGGATTTTCTCATTAAATCTTTTAATACAATTAATCTGGAACCAGTAGATATTTGCTTCTTCCAACCTCAAATGTTTATTGCACTCACATGTTTTCCACCACGCTGCTTAGCGTAGTGTGAAGTACAAGACTATGTTAGTTTCCATTGACTAAAATGTGCTTAAAAAAGGTGTAATGACTGACAAATCAATACAGTTACATGAAAGGGGCTTTCCACCTATTTTACACATGAAACTCATTTGCGCATTCGTAGGATTTCTACAAAGCCTGCTAAAATGAGTCTTTTGTGGTTCTGGAGGGAGATTTCTGAAAACAATAATACAATAACTTTGGTGATTTCATCAGGGTCATCTCGACTTGGAGGCTTAAAAATTATCAAATAAAGCCTGAATTACAAAGTGAGAGGATGTGGAATTGTAAAGACATTATTCAAAAGGCATTTATAAGTTCATTAGGGAGATGGATTGGAGTCTAAGAGTCAGGATATCTTGGCCTCTGCTGCTATGATGTTGAAAAATAGCAAATTGCCCAATTTTGTGGAAGTGAATTGCTATAATCCTAAATATATTTGACCTTTCAGATGTTGTTGTAGGAAGCCTCTGGAGCAGAAATGAAAGAGTTTTCAAATCTTTTACGTTTTGGTATGTTTTTAGGGAAATGTTGTAATATTGCAACGTTGGCCTTAGGTGGGAGCAGAATTTCTGTATTTCTACTCGCATCGTCTGAATAAATATATTGAACAACTAAGGATTAATTTGCAGGATTGATTGCTTACTTAGCCCTATATCAGTAGATAGCATGAATAATAATCACACATCAGTCATATTTTTTGGGGAATAGTCATTTATTAAATATGAATACAATGGTAGTCCCAAAAACAGTTCCTGTCGTCGGAAAAGCACAGACGGACATTGCATTTGCTGCATTGGGTGTTTGTGTACCCTTTACTGCAGTGTCTGTAGCGTCCTGTCTTCACTGGAAAATGTGCCATTAGGTCCTTGCGTACATCCAGTGGAGGTTGTGATCTCTTGGGCCCTTTCTCATTTCACTAATTTCCCCTCCTCGACTCCTCGAATCCTCGGTCCTCCGGTAGTGACCCGGAAATTGATTTCAGTGCGCCATGTTGAAGGACATCTAATTTCTCTAAATGCACTTCGAGGACCGAGGATCGAGCATCGAGGAGGCTCTCTGGAGGAGCGATAATCGAGGATACACTGATGGGTCCTCCGTGCCAGTCCGCGGATGTATTTCCGGCAACAGTGCAGTTAAAAGAGTCGTGACGCACGGCCGGACTTATCTCAGCCAATGACAGCTCTGCATGCATCCCCTGGATATTATTTTATTAACTGCTTTCATCGCGATGCGATGTTTACAGTCGAACAGCTGTGAGATCCGTGCAGAAAGCAGAGCAGTGTGTATAATATATATTTAAGCAATAGCTCACGACAGGCCGTGGTATATGGTCATTATATCACAGTTAAGGGGCGTGGTTCGGCCCGACGCAGCGCTTCACGTTGTGCCGAACCACGCCCCTTAGCTGTGATATAATGACCATATACCACGGCCTGTCGTGAGCTATTGCTTAAGTATAACAGGCCTACATTACTCTCTTTATTTGTATGCTTTAGTTTAGTAGATATCTACAAACAAAGAGTCAATATTTGTCTAAAACCATTTAGCGCTTCACATGATAAAATACATAACGGCTGTATCCTGATATAAGCCTATATGATATGCTTTAGGAGCTGTAGGTGTGTGTGTGGTACAGTGTGTAGGTGCGTGTGGTACAGTGTGTGTATGTGTGTGCGTAGATGCGGCAGACAGACAGGTCTCAGTATGTTTGGTGTCCTCTGCTTACTGTTAATACTTGTAAATAAAACATTTGGCCTGTAATTTATTTTCCTCATTGTAGCGACCAGAGAGAGGGGGGGGGGGGGGGATATATCCAGTCTCTGATAGTGTTACGTTATGAGAGTGCTCTCATACTTGTTTGATTCTGAAATTGTATATATTTATATAAATATATACGGGTGTGTGTGTATATGTCCGCATCTGTAGCCTGTTATTGTCTCATTATACCGCACTGTCAATTAATTAAAAGTAAATATATAAGTCGTCATGAACACATCTGTCCATCAGCCAGAGTGCTGTGCCTCCTGTCATCATTAATGGACGTCTCTTTAAAATGACCGCTCAGAGGAGAGAATTTCTCATTTCTCTAACCGCCTGCTGCTTCCACTCCTCTCTCCTTGGTTCCCCTCCTCGACTCCTCTGCTCGCATCTCCTGGGGGCGGGACTAAGACACGAGGATAGGAGTCGAGGAGGGGAATTAGTGAAATGAGAAAGGGCCTTGGATGGGGCCCCGTTTGGTGGACTCCCATCACCTGAGGATGGTCTCTTCTGAGCATTCAACGGGCTCCTTGATGTCACTGTCGGGCTGGGCTCCCGTTGCCTGAAGATGGTCGTCCTCTCTTGGGTGTTTTCAGAGGAGTTGTGTTCACCTGATTAGAACAGAATCAAATCAAGATACATGTCAAAAATACATTAGGATACAAGTCAAAAATATTACAGTGAAATATAAAGAAACATTACAAACGGCAAATAGCAGAAATGCATTCTTACCAGGATGAGAGAGGATGCTAGATCTGCCTGAAACTGTCTCCTGTTCAGGATCTCCTGCTTTGGCATCTTTAGAGCTTTGCACTCCCGCTTGTAGAGGAGCCAGGCGTTGATCACAGCAAGGATGATGGTGTGCCAGAAGATGTACACGTACCAGCGTCGGGACTTCATGGGGGTCATTGGGTTGTTGGTTTTCCTTGTCCACGTGGCTACAGGCATCTTCATCTGCCTCTTCGTCACTGATATCAGTGTCACTTTCCTCTGATTCCATCTCAAACTCACTTTCTCCATTTTGGATGGCAGCAATCACATCCTGCACACTGAATCGAGGACCTCTCTTTGCTGGTGGCATTCTGAAATGGAAAAAGTAATTAATAAATATGTATCAATAACACATATGCTTATTATATTGTAATAGATTACCTGAAGGAATAAATAGGGTGGTGGGACAAGGATTCATTCTGTCTGGCTTAGCCTATTATCATACTGAAAGGAATGCATGCACCACCCCCTTCCAGGTGTCCCGATGCAACAAGCATCTGAATCCTATTTACATTGTACACTTGAGTCACACTAGGCAGTATTGCTTAGCCTATTATCATAATAAAATGAATACCTTCACCCATACATGCAGGTAAACCAGTTCAACAAGTCACACAATACTGCCTATTATCATAATAAAAGAATACCTACACCGACACATGCAGGTAAACCAGTTCAACAAGTCACACAATGCTGTCTGGCTAATGATAATAGGCTAATTATCATACTAAAAGGGATACATTCAAGTGTCCCAAAACATTTCAGAAAGAACCGTTTCTGCCAGAACCAGAGAAGAGTTAAATGTATTTTTGTAACTAATTAACTGATAAGATACAAGTAGAGTTTAACATGTTGCTACAGATATAATTTCACATACTTTTATCAGAAATAATGTATTAATTTATTCAATTCTGGTCTTAATTCAAAATCTTAACAGAAGACACATTTAGAACTTAGTTATAGTGAATTATCAAAGATATTATATTTCTATTAGTGTTTTATTTCCATATGTGAACATATAAGAAGGGCAATCTCCATGACAGGTGAACATGCTATTTTTTACTACCACACTGACCCAGGTATGTAATATTGCAACAAAGATATAAGCTGCTCAAAATTAAATTTGATGAATGTATTCCACAATAACTAAATATGTACATGTTCTAGACATTGTAATAATCACCAAAAAAAATATTTGAGGCATTTTACTTACTTGAATCTGACGAATCCAGTCCAATAAAACAAAGAGATGTTGCTCGTTTGAAGATTCGGAAATGTTGTGAGTGTATGGCCAGAGGGCAGGACCTATAAACACATTTACTACCCATAGCATTGTGAGGCTGAACAAAAGGACCTTTTGACTATGTAAATGTAGTCTTTAAAAAAACAAAACATTTACTGACTTTTTAAGGATAAAATTACAACCGGGGGCCTTACAGGGTTAACATGTGTTGGGATTGTTCATTTCATCTAACTGTCCAATTCAAGCAACGTATCCAAGAACCAAACCAAGCTACTAAATTGCATACTAATAAAATGAGGAAAACTCAACAATCTGTACAGTTGTTCCTCTAGTTAATTAATTGCAAAGTGCTATCCCTTTCCTTGCATTAGTTAAATAGACTAAGTTCAATAGATTTACTTTCTCTTTGGCTAGCCATTAAATGATTAACACCCACATGTGTCTCCTCATCTTGTTTGCATGGGCAAGGCGATCAGCAGAATAGATGTCTAGGATTACACCAAATGGCTGCTAACACAATTAGCCCACAGAACCAGTAACAGAAATGTGATTGGAGCCAATTGGAGCGACAACGAAATCTCATCAGCAGCTCCTGAATTGGTTGCCATGCTTGGGGGATCACCTGAGATGTGTGTTACAATTTCATTTTGTAAGAAAATCGAATGTATGCGCCACTCCCAAAATAAAAAAAATACTGACTGCAGCCTCTGCCTGTTAATCAGCATTATTATGTCACTGCTTCGCCCATGCAGCCTCATTGCAGCAGGGTATACGTTATTATTAATTTGATTGAGAGACAGATAGCATTATAATGGTTAATTTATACGTCTCTCCTAAATATTTTAAATATATGCTTTCTCTACTGCTCAAGAGCTGAACAAAGCTCTGTCGTGGCCTTGTATTAACCGGAGAGAGAGGGCACACGCACATACAGAAGGGACCTATTACTTCTGTTTCCATGGTAACAGCTGCTTGGTTGCTTTGTCGCCATAGGAGCCAGGTTTCCCTAGGAGACGAATCTGGCGTGTGTTCCTGTGTGTGTGTGTCTGTGGTGTGCATGTGTGTGGAGATAGCATTTTGCCGAGGCAGTGTGTGTATCCCACAGTGGGCTTGTTTCCTCCCTGAAGGGCTAAAGAGAAAATAGGTGTGGTCTGCTGAAACGCCACTGATGCCAAATGCATTTCCACCCCTTATACAGGCATAGAGAGGGACTGTGGCTCCTCCTGCTCCACATGGGGTCTCCCAGACCACCGTTGGGGCGGATTTTTATGTCACAGATTTTCACTCCTCTGTGTTATAAAATATGTGTAAAACAAAAACTAATTGTCTAGTAGGTAAAATGATTATAAAATAAATATAAGCAACCAAATAATTATATATTGAATGCAACAGAATAGATTTTGTATTATTATTATTTCTTCAAAGAGGATCTTTTTGGTGGTATTTTGCAAATACTGTAGATTTAGACAAAAAAATACGAGAAGAGAAAGAAGGCTATGAACTAACGATACCCTGATGAACTGGTTAATGGTTGTCCCATTCCTTGGATTTGCATTCATTGGTGTCAATCTATTCCCTTAATAGATGCTTTCTGGCACGCACAGTGCCATACACTACAGTATGCATACTGTAACATGTTTCATTTTGTCTGGATCAATTGAAAACTGAAACAATGGGCCCTAATAAACCTGAACGCATCCCATTTCCCCCTGATAATGCTACACTGTGAAAAACAAATCTCTGTTGAAATTGTAAAGAGGAGAGCTAGTTATGTTAGATGTTTTGTCTTGTTTGGCTAAAAAATGAAAACAGAGATTCCTTTGTGATGAGTACATGCTCTATTCAGTTAAAGTAAATATTGTAAAATCGTATCAATTCCAATCGCCCTTCGACTGAGAGCGAAAAAGAGAGTAATGCTGCATGTGTCTTCTTACATCTTCAATAAACTTGCATTATTACACTCTGTCCTCTTCTTTTTGTCTTCCACAGTACTTGATGTTCATACAACCTGAACCGTGTCACCTGCCCACTCGCTGTGTGTTCTTACATGTTTGTGTGCTTGTGTGTGTGTGTGTGTAACAGAAATTTGCCAAGGGCCAGACCCTGCTGGACATGGTGTGTGGCCATCTGAACCTGCTGGAGAGGGACTACTTTGGCCTGAATTTCCAGGACACCGACAACGCCAAGGTCAGACACAAAGAAACACACACATGCATGAAGATATCTTACTTCAGGGAGTTATCTTCATTAAATAATTTGTGAAAGAACCTCTGTTGCTCAAACCAAAGGAAGCTGCAATGTAACCAAACATAGGGCATCAATTAGACATTGGAAACAGCTATGATTCAACTGGAGAAAAGTCCAAAATAGTTTTCCAAATGTGGTTTATGAGAGACCGCACAAACGCAAAAAATATGAGGTGCATAATGCAGGCAGTGGGTGTTTGTTATGTGCCTAGATTTATATATTATTTAATGATTGTTCATTACGTTTTTATTCATCAAATAAAATAAAATCTGTCATGTGGTAGCATTTCCAATCAATTATGCTTCGTAGCTCTTTGTGGCTTTGAAGCTCAAATGACATGTTTACTAGCAAAGCCTTCCGAATTCTTATTTGGGGTTTACTGGATAGCAGTGACGTGCGGTGAGGTTCATGGCTGGTGAGGCACTGACTCTTTCAGAGTCAGATTTACAAATATTATAGCCTATTTTGACCTTAATCGAAATATTCTGTTATTTTCAAAAGCTTTTTTAGTCTGATGCTATGATTAATTTTAAACAGACCGATCAACAAAAGGATACCCAAAATCTAAATATTGGATTGTTCTTTCTAAGTAAGATCCCATTTTCATTACAGTTGTGGTCTTACCTCGACTTGAAGATGAATATAAGTCCATGCTATCCTTCTGGACAACAATCTCTATTACTGTTTTGTAAAAGTCCTCCTTATCTTCCTGTAGTTTCAAAAGTCTAGTTTGTTGTTTGCGGCAGAATAACAGTAGCAACAAGAACCTGTGGGCTCACGTGCGCCCCCTTCAGTGCGGCAGAGGTTATGGCTGCCTCCCCTGGTGCTTTTTTCATTGCCGTTGTACGATGAGACCAGCGAGTCTAAATATCATATATACGTGAAATAAGTTATTTAGAGACTATGGCGAGGATAAATGTAATAAAGGGATCTACAAACATTACATTGGTGACCTACAGTGAGATGGGAACAGGCATGCGCTTAGGGCCCGCTTTCCAGACAGTTTCTGTGGGGTGACGCATTCTGAAGTGAGGCAGATCTCATCTGTGCCTCACCTCACCCCACAGTAAATGGCTTGAGCGCGCTCACAAAATAAGTGGCCGCGCTAAATTAGTGCCCGCGCTCCAGCAAGTTACTGTGGGCTTACGTGAGGCAGTGCTCGTACCTGCCTCACTTCTCATCGCTCCCGTAGCGGAGCTCGGCAAATTTGCTGATTTTGACTATAAAATGCGATTGGAATCATACAGAAATCACATTTACACAAGATCAGTGGAGACATTTTATTATTATTATTATTTAGTTTTTCTTTAAAGGAGAGGTGTCATGGCCATTTCCACTGATCATAATTCCATTGTTGAGGTCTACTAAAATAGATTTATACTGTGCATTTTTCCAAACTCACATTGGTTTCTCATACAGCATCTCTGTAAACTACTTGTATTCACTGAATTTCACTATCTGCCTTTAACGGCTCGTTGTAGCTCCAATAGCTCCAGCCCCCACCCTCCCTGTGAGCACAGTGTGCTCTGATTGGTCGGGACATTGTGAATCGCGCTGAGCTCCGTGGAGGTGTTGTTTCCTTGTTTAGGATACATAGCGAAACACAGCCAAATTCATCCTGAGCCAGGGGCGGACTGGCCATCGGGACGTTCGGGACGAATCCCGATGGGCCGGTACTGAAGTGGGCCGGCGGTACCGAAGTGGGCCGGTCGAGAGTCCCGGGCTGATTTGTAGTCCCAGTCCGCCCCTGTCCTGAGCACACACAAACTCACATCCGAAGTAAAAACAATAAGTGTGGCTTGATATTGAGTAAGAAAAAGGTTGATAAACGCTGTGAGAATGGGTCTGCAGAGAGAATTTTGCCGCGATCCCAACTGTCTGTTATCAGCCTGCAGCCAGGGAGGAGAAATCAGCTGAGCTGCCTGCTCCCTGCACACAGATGTGTGTGTGAGGAAGTCCGTGGATCGGTCAATTTGGACCAATCAGCGGGGGCTTAACGTAACGGCTCCGCGGACGTAACGTAACGGCTCTTCGGGATTGGTCCATTTCGTTCCGGGTACCGCTTGACATCATGCCGTACCCAGAACGAAATGGAAGACTCAAATGGGCAGTGACGTATCTCCAACGAGGCGTTTTGGGGAGGTATTTTCTGTGTTAGAGTTTTACTCGCTACAGGGTGTACTTTGAGGGTTTTTACTCTGCACACCGTTTACATGCATAAAAACCTTCATAACACACAAGGGGACGGGTAATAACCGGAAAAGCATGACACCTCTCCTTTAATTGTTTTTCCGTTATTTGTCTGCCTCCCCTGCCTCCACTGACTGCACGTCGCTGCTGGATAGTCATCTGGCACAAAATGTTGGCGCACATTTAAAAGTTGTGGTACATTTGTATTTGTTAACAATGTGTTGCTTGATCCAAAAGGATTTGCAAGCGCTTGGTAGCTCTCGCCATTTTAATGTTTACCATTGTCTTAAATGCAAAGAACTTCAGTTCTAATCCTCTTTTTAGAAGTTCTTCTGTTCTGTGTTCATTGTTGTTAGGGGGTCATTAAGGTTCTTCTGTGTTATAAAGCTTTGTATAGTCCAAGTCCAAATGTATGTTGACAAAGCGTGTTTCTTTATAGCTGCTTTTATTCGATTTTTTTCCTTTTTGGGGGATTTTGTCACTGATATCAGAGCAAATGTCAACGAGCCTTTCAGCCAAGCCTCCCATTTAGTCATCCTGTTTTTCTACATGCCATAAAGCAGTGAGTCCGCAGTTGCCCTTTCAACCGTATTTAACCACTTGCGGCCTGAGAGTGGCATACATGGCCTTTAACCTTTTAAAATGTGATTAGACAGTATGGCCTTTTAAAAATGGCAAACTGGGTCTACAGTGCAGCATGAAAGCTCTAGTGACATTCAGCATAGGAGCTGGACTCAACTGGCATTTATAGCCCTAATATTGATGCTTTCAGTGTTTAAAGAAGCCTGGCAGTCTTATTATATTTGGCTTTCAACTAGGGAGCATAGTAAAAGAGGGAAGAGCAGCCAGTGAGGTAAAGTTCTTAAAAAAAGTGTGAATGGGGTTTTACGATTTTGCCAAGGTGACATTTTTAAAAGGATATTGTCTCTTTCTTTCTTCATCAGCATTGGCTGGATCCCTCTAAAGAGATTAAGAAGCAAATTCGGGGTAAGTGCAACAAACACACACACAGTCAGACAAATCCACACACATATGGCAATTCTTTACAAAACAACCTTTCTGCTGGTCCGCAGTTGGTTCCTGGAGCTTTGGATTTTCTGTCAAGTTCTACCCTCCTGACCCGTCTGTGCTCATGGAAGACATCACTAGGTAAGTGTTAATACAACAACACAGCTTACAATTGTCTGAAGCTAATATGACGAGTTGTCTTGGGGATATTTTCATTTAGGCAGGATTTATAGAAAAGAGGTCTCTTCTCGGTCAGCTAAGTTAGTGCAATAATGGCTAGCTTGGTTAGCCGGTGTCTATTCGTTGCATAAAGAGTGACACAATTAAAAGCTCTCAAAACAACAATCCCTAAACAGCCAATGTACACAAATATTGACTACAGAATGGTGGTTATAATGAGAAAATAAAAGATCAGCATCAAAGTCAGGTAAAACTGTGATTGCTATAGAATGTTTGCCAGTAGTGGTTGTTTGCTTTCTGACAGTGCAACTGCATTCTAGTTAGGTGACTGTATTTGTCATTGTTGTTTAGTGGCTTTATAGTCAATATAGGCTGGACACAATAGAAATTATTTCTGAAACAATACAGTTGATAATATTGTGACATCACTATCTTTGCACAAACATAGGCTGGTATATATAATGTGTATTGTATTTACCCTACAGTAGACTATGACAACATGCATGTATTAAATACTCTAAGTGGACATATATATATATATATTATGGAAGATTATGTAATGATGTTAGGCTTTCTAAGTATCATAATCATGACCAGAGCAAAGCACAACACCAAAAGTATGTGCATTAACGTCAAAACGTAGGCATAAGAAATGTTTAAATGGTCGGTTTGACTATGGAACCATCAGATGCTTTACATTTTATATACCACTGTTTTTGAGACCGTTCTGAAACTATGCCTCTCCAATTTGTGGTTTGTGGTGCTCATTGTTTTACATAAAGCCAAAACAGTATTTGAGTTATTCTTGATGGTTAACACAGATAATGCTAAACCGTTGACACTATTATTGTGTGGTGACTTCATTAGGACTTTAGGATGTTATGCTGACTATAAAATCAACTCTAGACAGTGTGGTATGTGGGTTATCTCAAATACCTTTGAAATTGGGTGTTCGAGGTGCTGCTGTTGAGTTTTTCAGCAAGTTCTCAAAACAATTTTCTAGGAATAAGATCTTGTTGAGATATTTGGGTCTGGAACATGTAGTGTTTAGGCTAAAAGACAGATTCCCAGACATTGCTTTCTCTAAAGGCCAAACCATAGAGTGGTGCAGTGACGAGTCCTAAACCCCGGAAGTGAGTTAGCATTTTATCACTTCCGGTTCCCTTGTCTCAGAAGTCACTGGTGATTTCTGAAGAGTTTATGTGTCTGAAAAACGATGGTTGTTAACAAGTGGCTGAATAGGACTACAGAAGTTGTCGAGGACGTTGTACGTCATTACGCCGAAAACGTAAACAGTCCCGCTAAGTTTGTTTGCCCCTGTTCTGCTTGAAAGCAAGTACCTGCACTCTTGCAAACTGTTAAAACAAACGCTTCAACTTGTACCATTTTGAATCTGTATTTTTGAATGTCGATCTTAAGTTGGCGTGACGTTGAAGTCGTGCGACCCTGCTGTAGTTCGTTTATAGCATAACGTTAGCATTTTGCTTCTGGCGATTAGATTTATGATTCGAAAATGATAAAAGTAGGGTAGACATGTGGATATTATCTGGCTGAACAAAACGTGCATTTATCAAACAGGTTCGTTTTCCATAGACCTTATTTCGAGCTATTTTCCAAAATCCTATGGAGAAATCCCATTGCTTTTTTGTCGAGGGAACCCATGCGCAGCTTACTTCCGGGTAAATACGTCATCCCTGCACCACTCCATTAGCATTGCTGTAAACTTAGGTCATCATCAAATGGACTGAGACTACAGAGTCCAGCAGTGGATGTTGATGTTTCCTGATAATAAACACACTTGTCTCTTAAACACGTGTCAGCAGTGTTTCAACCTCCTCCTGTGTTTTTTCAGGTACTACCTGTGCCTGCAGCTGAGGGACGACATCCTGTCCGGTCGCCTGCCGTGCTCGTTCGTCACCCACGCCCTTCTGGGCTCCTACACTGTCCAGGCTGAACTGGGAGACTACGAGGCCGACGAACACGGCCCCGACTACGTCAACGAGTTCCGCTTTGCACCCAACCAGACACGGGAGCTGGAGGAGAGAGTGATGGAGCTGCATCGTAACTACAGGTCTGATAAAATATGACGGTTAATTAAATTGAATGCGAGTCAATATTGACAAAAGCTATTCCTTTGTCAGATTAATATGAAACAAACAATTAATCATGTGTGGCACTTTGACTCGTAGGGGAATGAGTCCAGCAGAGGCAGAGGTGAACTTTCTAGAAAATGGCAAGAAGCTCTCAATGTACGGGGTGGACCTGCATCATGCTAAGGTACAGGGACACTTTGTTTCACTGAGACTGTTTCATTCACTTTGTCGGAGGTTTACTAATATTCAATGCTGTGTGACCACCAGGATTCAGAAGGAATTGACATAATGCTGGGAGTGAGCGCCAACGGTCTGCTCATCTATCGGGACCGCCTAAGGATCAACCGATTCGCCTGGCCAAAGATTCTCAAGATCTCATATAAGAGAAGCAACTTCTATATTAAGATCCGCCCAGGAGAGGTAAATAAAAACTCATTATCTTGTATTTTGCACATTGGTTGTCTTGAGAGTTCACTTTGCAATTATTGTCTGCACATTCCCACAAGAATACCTCATGAAAGTCACTTTGGCATAGCAGAGTGGAACAACGCATCATTTGGTTAAGAGCCAACTCAAAATGTCTATTTCATGGTTTCACAGTTTTCAAAATTACATCATTGTCTGTCTTGACTCATCCCGAGGAGCATAAATAATAATTTCATGGTTTGATAAAGGTGTTACCTCAGAGATTTATCTGCAGCAAACAAGTTGACAACTGACGTTTTGTTAAGATAAGGCTGATAGGTCAGTCATGAGGATTTGCACTCTTGAGGATTTCACATGCAAATGTTGGAACCACACTATGGTTTTCAACTACCTACAATTATGATTCATTCTTATCTGTCATTATTTTGCCTTGAAGGTGTTGTACATCCACTGTTTAACTTACATTGACATCTTCATAGTAAACATCAAGCCATTCAGTGCATACACTTTGTTCTGCACATCTATCCTCTTAAGTCGGCTGACACTTCTAATTGCCTGGAGGGTCGTCATTGTAATTTAAAATCCTTTGATTTGAAACTCTCCCCACATATTTGTTTTTGTATAAGACACGATTTGGCTTCCTCTTGTGAAGGAACTAGTGTTCATGTTTGAAGCCCTGGTATATTGCAAATAAAACTATTGATTTGAAAGCATCTTCTTCTTCTCACACAACTGATTATCTGATGGGAGTTGGCATGAATGGCTAATTTGTAGGTTGGTTAGAGATAGAAAGTCTACCTGACATGGCATTGGGAAAAGAGTTACAAGCATTGATTTGCTCATTGCTGCAAAGTCAACACAATTCAACCTGCCACCATCCAACCATATTTCCCCGCACTCACTTCCTTCACTCTCTTTTCTTCCACACCTCCCTTCCTCCTTCTCGTCCTCCACCCCCACTCCTCCCCCTCACTCCTCAGTATGAACAGTTTGAAAGCACCATAGGCTTCAAGCTGCCCAACCATCGGGCCTCAAAGCGATTGTGGAAGGTCTGCATTGAGCACCACACCTTTTTCAGGTAGGATACTCACAGATGCACAGAGACACACTTTTTCTGCACTTCACTCCTTGCATGATCTGTTCACACTCTGCACAATTGCTATATCTTTCGGGATTCTATCAAGTGACACTCAATATATAAAAGGTGTTGTTACCTTTTTACGGTAAAACCATTTGTTCCACAAGGAGCTAGTGATACTGATTTATTTGTGGTTTGTTTTGTTTTGTTATAGAAGCTGGTCGTGCTGTTTTACAATTCAGTTGATTAAAACAGATGCAAAATAATTGGTTCAAGGAGACAAAACAACTCATTGGGAAAAGCAAGAAATATACACAGATGTTATATTGTAATTAATTAAACTGCTGATACAAGTAATATGTATCTTGCTTGCCCCTCAAGCTATTTTATTGGTTACTGTTTCACACTGCTGTATGTGCCTCCTAAGAGATTTAACTTTGTAATTAAGTAAACATTGTCAACAACAAGGTAGTACAGTGTTTCCCATACATTGATTTATTTGTGGCGGGCTGCCACAATTAAATATCATCCGTCACAAATGGATTTTGGTGGTCTAATGCAGTGCTTCTCAAAGTGTGGTCCGCGGACCACTGGTGGTCCGTGAGCGCCCCCTAGTGGTCCTTGAGTATATTGGTAAGATTTCACATTTGAAATAAATAAATACATTTAAGTTTTCCGCACTCTCGCGGGGCTCGCTCCGCAATGGAGCGAGCTTAAGTTTCTTTCGATTGCATGATATAGCCCAGCGCAAAACCTTCATCACACATGTTGCCACTTGTTTGTACCATTTTCAGGCGATTTGTAATCTGTTCTAGAAAAACGATGTGTTTTTGGATATTTGTGGAGTCAGTTGGTCCGCGAGTGTTTTTTTATTGGTTAAGTGGTCCTTGGTATGAAAAAGTTTGAGAAACACTGGTCTAATGGATAGTGAGGTGGGCTGATGATTGGAAGGTTGCAAGTTCAAATCCCACCTGGAACACCACTACTAGTGTGCCCTTGAGTAAGGCACTTAGCCCTCAGTTACTCCAGGGAGAATGTCCCTGTAATTGGTCATTGTAAGTCGCTTTGGAATAAGGCGTCTGCTAAATGCCTAAATTATATTTTTGGGAGAATAAACCCCACAGATCCTCAACTCCGGTGTGTCTCACTCATTAACAACGCAACACAGAGCAACAAGAACGTTGTCTACAGTAGCCATGAACTCGCATGTATTTTCTTATTTGAGGGGGGGGTGGATGCGTGGGCCAGCCGAATAGGTTAAGGGGTCTTTGGCTTTTCTTGCCGGGGGGGTGCGGTGCCCCCACAAATAGAATCAAATTTTGTGGGAAACACTGGTAGTATTTGAGGTAGATTTACACAAGCTGAACCTTTCTGCAGGTTGGTTTCCCCAGAGCCCCCTCCCAAGGGCTTCCTGGTGATTGGCTCAAAGTTCCGCTACAGCGGGCGAACCCAAGCCCAGACCAGACAGGCGAGCGCTCTGATCGACAGGCCGGCCCCACAGTTCGATCGGTCCGTTAGCAAGAGGTACTTGCTGGCCCGAAGCATTGATGGAGGTAAGAACCCAGACTATTTCTCTGTCCACTCTGAGGTTCACTTATCTTCTGGATTAACATGTGAGCCTATAAATTGTCTCCAGCCCCTCAGGTTGATAACATTGTATGCGTGAAAGCATACTTAGCTATTCCATCAATAGTGCATATTGATTTTGTGTTATGGTTTTCAGACTGAAGAAACACATTTTTTAGTCCCATGTTGACAGAGACCGAAACTCCTTGGCAAAAACTGCAATAAAAGCAGCTTTTATCCTGTGATTTCATGTTAGAGCACAGCCTCTTGATATATGTGGCCTTAATAAACACTGTACTGCATATCATGTAAAAGCTTTATCACTGGAGTTGTGGTTGGTTCACCTATCCCTTCCATTGCACCTCCCCAGCCTCAGCTCTCGGTTACAGTATGGAACAGCTGTCCCAGCGGAGCTCCAGTGAACGCACACAGTTCATGTCCAGAGAAGACCTGGACCAGGAGGGCAGCCTGGACCTGGACCAAGATCAGTACCATTATCAGGACCAAGACCAGGACCAGTTCACAGATCAGGAGCTAGAGCAGCATGATGACCAGGATCAAGATCAGAAACATACCTACGGTGCACGAATATCAACTCCCACTAGGACCATCGAGCTCAAGGTACAAACATGGACCTGCCTTAATGTATAGCTGTTCAACAAGGCCACAATTTGTACATTTTAATGCACACAGTATTTATTTTTTTATTTAACCTTTATTTAACCAGATAAAAGCATTGAGATAAAATCTCATTTTCAATGCTGACCTGGCCAAGAAGGCAGCAACGTTACACATAACACATAACACAAACATATAAAATACAGAACATAACTAAGAAAACAAAAGACGAAAAAGCAGTCACTACATTGTGCACATTTGGACAGTAAGAAAGGTACACTACTTATTACTGCAAGAGCAGCTGGTGGCTGAATACATTACATTCAACTAGTGAATGAAACACCAGATAAATCAATTATTTCCTCATAGTTTAAGAAAAAGTGTGACAAAACATCTTAAGGCAGTTTCCTTAGCTCGAAAATTATACATCTACGCCCGAAAAAATCCCTCATGAACTTTTGACTAGCACTCCTCATCCTTCTCTCTCACATTCCTTTTCATATAAGACTGTAATCAGTCCTGACTTTTTCTCTCCTTGGCCTAATTTCCTCTATTTCCTGCTCCTCTGCAGACTTATAAATCTCATAATGAATCCTCTTTCCTCTCCATTTCTTCAATCGCCTCCCGAAGACTAACTTGACCTCTTTGCTGCCGATGATATTTCTTTAACCCAGCTTCATGCCTCTAACAGTTCTTCTCTTCCCCCTGCTGTGATGTTAACACACACTCTGCTTACTTCTGCTCTCTTCTCTCTGACCTCTCTGTGGTCCACCTCATACTCTCCTGCAGGGTGAGGAGGAAGGCACGTCTCTAGACTCAAAACCAGAGGTATTTTGGCCTTGGCCCTTAGCGTCTGTCTGTGGTTTTTGGTTTCTGTAGGTCATACATACGTTTTTTTTTAAAACGATCTATTCTTTTTTTGATTGTTTGTCTCTGAAGGGAATGTTATTTATTTTCATGTCATAACTTCCAGGATTCCATCGGGCATAATCCATGGAAACTGCATGAATTGATCTTCAGTTGATTAGACGCAAACTGTTTTAATATGGATCATTCAGGCTCTTTCTTTCCTTTTTTCTTATCTGCCCTATGGACAATTCTTACTGGATTTGTTTCATTGAAATGTAGCTCTTATCTAGATTGAACAGTGAAAAAAGCATCTTTCACAATTGTCAACACATGTTTAATTGTGTCCCTGTGTGAAATTAGATCATATTAGCAGTATAAACAGATGGCCCTAAAGCACTGTTGATGATTCAGTGAATCAGTGTTTCCTTAGTTGGCAAATCTCCTGATACTCAACTGAGATGGGTAAAAGTCTCACTATTCAATTCATATTTAGTTATTTCTATATGAATTGTCCTTTTAGAAGTACATTCTTATTGGTTATGAAGATGCAAGAATACATTGTTGTGTTCCTTATGGTAAAGGTTATTCCAGTGTATCTAGTCCGATAATTTGTGGTTGTGTGATGCCTTCTCACCAAGTCTTTGGATGAAGAAGTATGGGAATAATCCCCCTCTCCAAACACTTATGCTCAGTCAATAGATGACTGCATGAATTATCAATTGGCTGACACTGAAATGGATTGTCCCTGTCTTCTTGGCAGAGCATTAAATGGCTTGAAAGTCTTTAAGTCGAAAGCCCTGATGGTGTTAACTGTTTGTCTGTCCGTCTGGCTGCCTGCCTCTTTGACTCACCTGCAGCACTCTACCTCTTTGTCTCTGCACGCATCTGTTCTCCACCCCGACCCCCAATCCTCAACCTCCCGCTTTGCTCAAAACCCATCACTTCATCTCACTTGTCGCACCTTGGGCTCCCTCCTCTGTTGAAAAGGATCTGGCCACCCCTCGGCACAAACAGGAGGTACTGCTTGTCTCTTTTGGCATGTGCTGTGTGTGGCTATCACCGGGTGTTCTGTGTTTTCTTATGTATACCTGTGCCTCGCACTCACTGCTAGAACTCAGCAAACAGCCACAACACTGGAGTTTCTATTAAAACACAGCTTGTTAGTTTCAAAATCAATGTGCTCCATCTCCATCCAAAATTGCTAGGCATTATACTACATGCATCAACAGTAACACAAATACATTGTAAGATATTTTAAATAAAAATGTTCAGATTGTTTAAACCTGTAGACCTCTAACTCAATATATGTTTGCTCACATTGCCAAGGTAAAATACAAATGCAGATGATACTCATTTTGAGTGTACCAAGGTCTATATCTGTTTAAGGTAATTATCAATACCTTTATTGTTCAATGATGTGTGTTGGTGGCAGCATTTAATTCCTTCTACAGCCCAGTATTGCAACAAAAAACAGGCATGCATGCACCGAACCCTCATCAGAACAGAGTAAGAGTGAGAATTTTGAAAAAGAAAAGAGAAATGTAGAGATGATTGTTACCAGAACCAAATAGATTCAGATCCAGGATAGTAACATTTTTTTTTGTGTCCCTGGTGTGTAAGCAGCAGTTCTTGGATAAGCCAGAAGATGTTCTACAGAAGCACCAGGCCAGCATCAATGAGCTGAAGAGGGCTTTGAAGCAGCCTAACAGCAAGATGGCCCAGAGGGAGAAACGCCTCTCCTCAGCTACTCCTCCTGGAGGAACCCCTGAGCGCAAAGCAGTAAGAATGACCCCCTGTTCCCAAGTTACAATACTCACTGTACTACAACTACAACAGTTAGAATCATATATATTAATAGATTTCTTTCCATGCAGTCTTTTCCATGCAGTCTTTTCTTCAACTCTTAAAAAAAATGTATTTCATTGAGCCAAAACACAGACAAATCTGAAAAGTTAATGACTGTTTTTCTTCACAAATCGTTAAGAGTAAGGATGTAGGATAACAAATACTAGAAGAGCTAAGCTAAAGTAACCATCTACTCTATGTCAACATAGGCGACCGCTGATGCCAAATTGATTGACAAGCAGGATGCTTATGAAGGAGAGCTGGATACTTGCTCTGAGAGTAAAAACATGTTTTCTTTGACACCTTGGACTGACACAAAGATGAGCAACTGTCAAACAGCCAATGACTCTTTAAAAACTAGACCTGGGACATCTCCAAAACAGGAAACAGACTTTCGAGCAACAGGAATAACGGATTTGAGCCCTGTGGATGGTACAGTAGCAACTAACGGGCATCACGATTCTGTATTAGCAAGCAACACCATTCAAGAAAATGGATATGGATCTCCACATGACAAACAGGGGAGTGCAATGAGCAACAGAGATATTAGGCATTGTCAGTATGAGTGCAACACTCATGGAGAGGGAACAACTAACGTTGAAACCGTATTGGCTGTGGATTCTCTCCCAAAAGGCAACGGCGGCAGAATTGAGAGTGACGCGAGGCATTGGGAGACCTGGAAAATAAAAGACTCGAGCCCTGTGGGAGCTCAAGAATGCAACATAGGAAGAAACTCAAACTCAGAAGTCACCAAAGTAGTTCCTCTAAAGCCACAGAGATCCAAGAAGAATAAGGAAAACACTCCATCTCAGAGTTGGTCTGACAGAGGTGTCTTTGGTGGGACTGGGGATGTACAGATGACAAAATCAAAAGATGAATCTTGTGACGCAGGAAGGAGAGTAGATGACAATTCTGAATTGCAGTCTGCAGCAAATGTTATCAAGGAAAACACAGGAGCCACCAAGCACCACTGCGAGGCTACAATGTCATTTCAACAGCAAAGTCTACCACTCCCACAGATAAAGAATGAGTTGTTTGGGCAACAGGAGCTTAGAGACTGCAGACGCACAACGGGACAAAGTGTGTTTACAAGAGGACATGAAGATCATTTTCAAAACAACTTGGAGTTTAAAGAGAATCTTCTCTTTAGCTCCAAGTTTCCAACTGCACCTCCTCTAACGCTGCCTCTGAAATCCCAGTGGTCCCGGGACAGACAGAGCAACATGGACAGCAGCCACATCCACTTCAGGATGCCAAGCCAAGACACATCCAAATGGAAGCAAGCGGTAAAAACCATCCGACCCTTAACATACTTGTCAATCATCGGAAAGTAAAGCATTGCATGAGCTTCAGGCGTGCAGATCTTGTTTTTACCATCTAAAAACAATCAATCACACATACTTCAGAACTCATGTGGCTGTGTATGAGAAAGCAAAAGTTCAAGTCCCTTGGCATAGCATCATTGACAGACTTAGTTTTTACGTCCATGGTCCACAGAGCTTTTTGCTTTCCCTTGTCCTCCCCTTCGCAAAGTTTGACATCTGCTTGGCCATTTCAGAACGCTGCGGCCCTCTAAGCAAACACCCCTATGCTTAAGCTTCAGGCGTCCCTTCAATCCCACCTTGACTTCACACTTGGTCTCTCCTTCCAACAACCTCACAGAATAAAAGGTGGCTGCTGTTGCAAGGAGTGCAAGACCGTTTCACCATTTTACTTTGAGACCTCTTTTTCACATAATTTAAGAATCCTTTTTGTAAATGACTGAGAAGGGCATTTGAATCAAATGTTCTGCATTGGCACCTCTGTGGTTACAGCAGAAAATGAAAAAGGCGATTAGATGTAATCACAGGCTGCAGAGCTGCCAAACCTCTTCAGGGCTTAAGTATTCATATACTGCATTTATGCATATGAATACCTCTTTCCTGAAAGGGAGTTTGAAAAATCTAACATTTCAGTGCATGGCATTACCATTGCACTTGCAGTCATTTCTGATTATGTCAACCTTCGAAATATACCCTATGTGCATGCTTCTGACAGTAGTTGTAAGCTTTACAGTATGTGTTTATTGTGTAGTTTACCTACCCATAAAACTTAAATGTAACACCCAGCCCCTTTAACTCGTTGGGTATGGTGACCATTTTAATAAATAAATGCAGGTCTTGATATGACGTTAAATATTATAGTTTATTTTAATGTAAATTATTTGGATGTGGGCCTTTAAAACGTAATTCCATGAGTTAAAGGTAGGGTTGGTAAGAATAGAGAAACCAGCTCGAGTAAGCTAGAATTTGAAAGTACACAACCATAGACGTACACAACCGAAAGAAATCTGCCCCTTCCTTCAGACTTCCTTATAGAGCCCCTCCTCCAACACACACGAACGCGCATGACCAATGAGGGCACGAGATAAGTTTGTGCACGAGATGGAAGGCTGACAGGCAGGTAGGCCTTCCATCTCGTTGGAAGGCCTACCTGCCTGGGGCAGATAATTGGATGGCCAAATGGGGCCCGTATATATACAAATATAAATATTTGTATATATTTATTGTCAAAGCATTTAATGTATTCATTGCTATCGGGATGTTAAGAGCATTCCATGGAATATAAAAAAAAGATTTCTGAAGTGAATTGCCTACCCTACCTTTAAGGAGTTTAAAACTGATTACAAAATAAATGTGCATTAATAAATGTTTTACATTTGGTCAATATGGACAAGCTACTTATTGATAGATCGGTTAGATTCCCACAATTTAACCGTTCAGTCCATTTTACGATAAACATGAGCACTAGGGTAGGCCTATAGTTCATTCAGATTTACCGTGGCAAATCCCTACCTTCAAAGCGGTCTTTCAGTCTGGACATGGATCTATTCCTCCATATTTATAATCAACCAAAGAGTTTTTCTTTAAATATGTTCCGAATCCAAGTTGTGTATATTGTCAGGGGAGGTCCATTCCTCACTTTTCAGAAACAGTGTTGTTGGGTGCTTGTTTTCGTCACCCTGCTGTAACGTGTCCTCGTCTTTATTTTAAGTTTAACACCATTTCATTTGTCGGCATGTTAAATAAACTTGTTGCTGACGGACAGGTAGGTTTTCAATTAAGGATAAAGGCCGTACCTCTCTTAAATCTATATTTAATTTAAAGTCATAGTGATATGACAGATTCTGTCTCAATCAATCTTGTCAAGCAATTTACTTTAATTGAACGCAGCCTAGCCTCTGACCTTTCGCGCTCAGCCAATCAGAGGCAGAGGAGGGCGGGTCATACTTGAGCAATCCTCGGGGGAACCCTCTGTCGCGAGAATGTACCGAGCTCACGTTAAAGTTACCGTATAGTGGGCAATTGGATATGATGCCCATCTTTACTGTGCATACATTTTTTACTAAGTAATTAAAGGCTTGTCATCATAATTATACGCTGATTAAGGTTAAGTGATGGAAGCAAATTAGATTCAGAGTAAGGATTATCACCAATTAGGTTTTCACTTTAAGGAATTATGTTCGGTGCATGCAATTTACTATAAATATAGGCCATTAAGAGGAAACAGCTCGACTACACATAAGGTCAAGTACTAAAAAAGTCAAGAACATTTATAAAGACTTCATAATTGTAAAATGTATGAAGGCACAATAAATATTACAATACATTATGTCCAATATGACTTTCTAGTGAAGGATATGCAAACATTTAAAAATTGCAATCCTAAACTTTTCATTTAAGTTTATGGTATGCCATGATGTTGGTAGATGAATTAAGTATTGACATTTTATAAATGAAAATGCAGAGGCCTCCGCCAAGTGCAAAAGCAATCAGTTTAAAAGCTGTGAGATCACACAGCATGGTTTCTATAGATGTGACAAAAAGCTTTAATCAGTTGTGGTTTATGAACGTCATGTCAATGCAGAGACAAAGAAAAGCTTTCCTGACTTCCTGTTTCAGCTCTTTCCTTTTCTGATGCAAATGATACATGTTGGCTATAGTTTAGGTTGGTTGTTGTCACCTGCTATATTTAGTTTTATATTAACGTTTTCTTATTGTTTGTTTTTCTTTCGTAGGATACACCTCCCACACCTGCTATTCATGAGGAACCTTTCAATGAAGCTTCAGTAAGTCGTCTCCACCAGTTGGTTTTTCCTCCTTTTTAGCCACTCCTTTGGAAAACAAACAGCACTTCATTATTTCACACGTCTTTCTTCAAGATTTTCATTCACTTGTGCTTACATAAAAATGGTAAAAATGATATGGTTCCCATCAAGGAACAGGCTGCAAATTCATATCTAAACAACTGGTAAGACCCCACCACCAAAATGTAAAGAACTGTAACACAATAACTGAATCTTATTATTAAAGGATTCCCATCCCGTGAAAATGTATTTTCCTATAATACCCAATATAGATATTAATGGGAAAAATTCAGTAGAAATACTGAAAATTGTTATTGTTTCCTTCAGATCTTCTTATATAATAATAACATATATACTCAAAGAATGTGAGCTACAGTGGTTCACAGCCTTTGATTATATAAGTAATTATATTTGGAGTTGATGTAGTCTCATGTGCTGCACTTTTAGAGGGAACCGTGGGAAAGACGTCTAGGCTCCGTCTCCGAGGATGACCAGGACCCCGACATCCTGTACCTGAAGGAGACCCACCTGGGCATCGAGAGGAAGTATTCCAGCATCACGGTCAGCTCCACGTCCAGCCTGGAGGCTGAGGTGGACTTCACTGTCCTCACTGACCTGCACACTGGCATGGAGGAGTTCTCCAAGGGCATGACGGAGCTGGGGGACAGGGTAGAGTCACCTGACGTAGGTCTCTGCTTTAGCATGGACATGCTCCAGCAGCAGGCCCCCTTTGAACCACCCCCCCCACTGGTGTCAGCCCCTCCGACTAAACATATCCAGGCAGAAGAAGTGCGGCCAGAGGTCAAACGGTCCGATATGCAGGTACAGCAAAATTGGTGTTTGTAGCTTCTCCTCTATTTAGATTTTTCATGCAGGTAGGGTAAAACTATTCTATTTTTAGGCACCTAAAAATACGTGTCCTCTTTTATACAAACAGCAGGGCAGGTGGGCATGGATGTGAACTTGAAAGAGATATTTTTTTCAAGAAATCACCAACGTGTTTTATTTCTATCTCCATGTGTTTAATGAGATGCACATGATAAATACAAATAGTGTGTGCTATTGCTTTGCCAAAACAACAGCAAGTAGGATCGAACTCAACCGTATCCCATCTTAGTGCCTCCCTAGTTTCCAACCAAGTGTGATGACAGACCACCAAGTGAGGTGTCGATGAGTTCATTCAAGTTTTGTTTACTAGACTTGTGGTGGGCCAATGTGAATGTCGATATAACAAACAAAAATAGAACAGTGGCGACATTTCTAACTACTAAAAAACAACAAAGTAATGTGTTAAATGTGTGTTCTTTACACATTTAACACAGTTTTGTGTCTTTTCTTTGTTGTTATTTCTTTTTTTTCTTTTTTTTTATGATTTTAATAGTCAAAAGGCTGTGCAATATAAAAAGTAAACATCACAAAATCTTCTTTACATATTTATTCTGATTCTGAGATATGATTCTGATATTCTGACAGAAAAGCAGAGCAGACAAAGTGACTGTTATGAAATGTCTTTCAAGTTTAATTCTCTTTATGAAGCAGCACTGAGGACATATCCTTCATCTCTTCTTCTGTGGTTTTCATTGTTTTTCTAATCTATTTTAAAACACATCTTTTAAGCACTGAGCTAAAAACAAATCTTCCATCTGAGTTATATTAACACTCCCTTGTGTTTGTCTTTTACTTTGTCTTTCTTTGGATTCACTTTATGCTTTAAAAGCTTCAATAATAATCTTAACTGAAAAACTTAATTTAAGCCTTTTTGAAGCTCTGACTTCCCACAAAATCTAAGAAAAACACAACAGAATTTGAAGCTCATCTGCTATATGTGTTAAAAACTACAATGTGTGTCTTTTTCCTCTGTAAGCCTGTTGTACCCAAAAAACCAAAGAGGTCCGTGCCGGTGTCATCGTCAGTGGACAGAGAGTCGCAGAGAGAAGCCGGTCGCCATTCTGCCGTCACACCGCTGAGCAGGGAGGCCAGTGACCTCATGCCCACCCCCACAGTGAGGAAGACGGACGTCAGGACGGAGACCCAGCCCAACGGCTCAGAGGTCACCACAACCATCGTGGAGTTTACAGATCAGGTTAGTTCAATGTTTCACTGAGAAATGTTAAAGATAAAATGTATATGTTGGACTAGATCTAAAGCAGGGGTGTCCAAACTACGGCCCGGCCATTTTGAATCGGCCCTCAGCAAATTCAAAAAGTACAATGACTTAAGTATAATAAACTTCTGCTTGTCTTATATTGTACTTCTTTAATATATATATATTCATATATATATATATATATATATATATATATATATATATATATATATATATATATATATTCATATATATTCATATATATATATATATATATATATATATATATATATATATATATATATATATATATATATATATATATATATATATATATATATATATATAACACAGTATTCATAACACAGTATTCATGTGTTAATAAACCCAATGTTCAAATAAATTCAGTCAATTAAAGTTGAAAACATGTTCTAACAAATCTAAGTTGATAAGAAAAAAGCCCAATAACAAATGTACATAACAACCTTGACATATACCCTTCATATTTCCTATTATAAGCAATCTGAAGCTTCTGTTTTAAGGAATGAGCTGCTAACAAAATAAATGGAGAGCTGTGTTTTAGGCAGTTTTTTTCTAACAGCATTTTCAAGTATCAAGAAAAATTGACCTAGATTGGATAGATTTTTCCAATTTACAACTGAACTTATGAGGCAATATACCTCACCTAGTGAGTGGCCCAGCCCTTCGTATATTTCTCTGTATGTGGCCTTCAGTGCAAAAAGTTTGGACACCCCTGATCTAAAGTATTACTTCCCACAAGTCACACAATACATTTGTCTGTTTCAGGATCACGGTATCACCGGCCTGAGTGAAGTTTCCTACTCCACCAGACAGAGCATATCCCCTGTGAGTACGAACAGAAGGACCTTTCCCATTTTAACTTGACCTAAAGCAAGCACACTGCTCTCCTGGGTTTAAACCTACTTACTGTCAAATGTCCAAAAAGTGTCTAAATGCATGTCCTGAAAACTAATCTCTTCTTTCTCAGGTGCATATGGGAAGTCTTAGAAGAGAGGCATCAGGGTCGCCTATCCTCATAACGGAAAATGTTACCTCGGCAACCACTCATGTCTCCAAGGTAGAGAAGCTCAAGTAGACCTTACAAAGTGCTCAATGTAATGTATGAGATTACGATAAAGTGGGTTTTACATCAAGAGAAGTTCATCTCTTCTGTCTGAATACAGTCATATGTGGGCTCTACTTCTGAAGGCTATTAAAAGAAAAGCCCTTGTGTGTTGCAGACGGTGAAAGGAGGATACTCAGAGACCAGGATCGAGAAGAGGATCATCATCACAGGAGACGATGATGTAGACCAGGAACAGGTGAGCTGAAATGAACTGTGGAGCAAACGGTCAATTCAAAAGAACCATGTCGTCTGTTGCTGCATGTTGTATTTTTGGGAAATTTGTAGTTGTTGGATCTTTGCAGGACTGTTCTTTTTATCCTTAAAGGTAGGGTAGGTAAGTTTGAGAAACCGGCTCGAGATACACTTTTTGTTATATTCCATGGAATGCTCTTAACATCCCGATAGCAATGACTATCTTAAGTGCTTTGACAAAAAATCCATTAAAAAATGTCATCTGTGGAAGCCGTAATACTGTAAAAAGTACGACCAATCATTTTAGCCGGCCCGGCTAAAATAACTGGATGGCCTACCTGCCTGTCAGCCTTCCATCGGGGCACAAACTTATCTTGTGCCCTCATTGGTCATGTGCACGTTCTTGTGTGTTGGAGGGGCTCTATAAGGAAGTGGCAGATTTTCTCCGGTTGTGTATTTTCAAATTCTTGCGATCTCGAGCCGGTTTCTCAAACTTACCTACCCTACCTTTAAAGTGAAACAATGGCCATGTCAACCATTCATAACGCCTTATTCATAATGCATATAGTATTTGCAAACATTAGTGTACCTCAGATTAGATCAATTGTAGCCCTCTTGTGAAGTGAATAAATGAAATATGCTAAGTAAATCAATTATATAATTGAGCATCTGGGAATTTTTACAAATCTTAAAACAAATAATTGGTAGACTATAGCTGAATTAATTTGTCAAAATAAAAATATTGACATTACAGTAATGTATGATGTATGAATTTCAATTTTATTGAGCAAGAAAAAATATATTAAAAAAATAACTTTCCTGTGATACATTTGATATTTCACTTTTTCTTGCAGGCTCTGGCTATTGCAATACAGGAAGCCAAGCAGCAGCATCCAGACATGCAGATAACTAAGGCAGTGGTTGTCAGGGAAACAGAATTGTCCACTGAGGATCGTCACGGCCCATCAGAGGTACGAAAACCATCTTGATTTGATATGATTCGGCCCTCACTATCAACCTTTGAGATAAAGGGATTTAAGGTTGACGCTGTCTTCTCTCTCTACCTGCAGTCCTGATTTTGTGATACGAGAGCGCCCCCCGGTGGACCGGAAGTGGCAGTGCACGGCCTGAAAATCTCCCCCCACCTCCCTTCTGATAGACTTCTGCCAGTGGCGCATATGGAGCCTACACACACACATGCACACACACATATACTTGCCACTGGAAATCCGAACATCTGGAACAATTTAAAGAGATCCCAATCCGACTAAATTCCCTGCAAAGCTCTCAGGGCTGCTACTGTATATTAAAACCACTTACTTAAGTATTCCTCGATGGTCAAAGGGAATCTTTCATTCACACTGTGGAATAATCCAGGGCCATGTGCCATGTTGGTACCCACAAAATAGAAAAAAAACTAGGAGTGTCTTTTACATGTCTGTGCTGCTGTACTGAAGAATTCATCAGATTACTGCTGTGTGCTGTAAAAAAAACTGCTGTAAAAAAAGTACTGTTTGTGCTTACACATAAAATAATCCATCCACATGTATATCTCGTAATGATGGAACATCCAGTGAAGCAGGGTTCAGGTCCGTCCCCCCCCCCTCTCTGTTACACTGACTGATGAGGATGCACTGAGCAGATCGGATCATGTAGAGCCAATCAGATCCTCTGTTGATTATTCCAGCCTGAGCTAGTATTTTCTGCTCCTCTATTGGTCTCACCTGAGAATTTAGTTCTGTAAAATGTATTTGGCCATGAAGTATGCTTCGCTTCATCAGGATGGACCTTGTGGGGGCTGTTGATACACACAGTGAACTCTTATTTATTTACATGGTGGAGATGTAATGTACGAGCCCAGTTCCTCTCCTTTCACAGCCTTTAGATATGCTTTCAGAAGTCAGTATGTAATACCACTTTGGCCATTTAGTGTAGTCGGTACGTAGAGTAGGCTCACACCCTTGTTCAGGTCACAGAACGGGCTGCTGTGTCAGTACAATTAGTATTTGAGATCATATTTGCATGATATGTTCTGGCATTATTGGATTGTAATTTAGTATTATATGAACTAATAAGAGTAATGGATCATGATGTCCAAGATAAATCTGAAGTTAAATCGGAGCTTATTAAAAAAAGAAAAAGAAGGAAATTAAGCCTTCTGACAAGAAATGAAGAATATTCAGAAGTAGTGGGACATTTCACAATGCATTCAGTTTTGTTAATCCCAAGATTCAATGACAGCTAAGTGGCTACAGTGTCCTCTCCTTATTTAAGCCACTAGTGCTGATACACATATCTTCATTTTACATATCAACTAGCTTTTAATTTAATCTCCCTGTGCAAAAACATGAGGTAGACCTACATGAGTTGTGGTGAATGATATATTTTGCAGAGTTATTTATTGTACAACACATTTTCTCTGTCTTTGAAAAATGTTGGGATGCATCTGAGCCCTTCCAATAATCTTTTGAGAAAAGTACAGTGTTGTAAATACAATATACAGTAGGAGCAGAATATGTGGACTTTTAATTGTGTGTGATTTGTCACATGAATGTTAGAGGAACGTAGTATGCCATGTAAGGTAGCAGTGAAATTGTACAAACTCTGATTTTATATTGAAATATTTGTATGAAAAAGCTACAAGTCCAGAAAGTCAAATGCATAAACTTGACACGGCAAGGTTTCCCTTTAATAATGGTGTATTTAACATTACCTGCAAGGTCTCTGTCTCCTTGCAAACGTCACATTTTATATATAAATCAATACAGCAGCAAAATCACTCAATTGAGTAAAACCATGTTAAAACCCCGTCATGTAAGGTTTATGAGGGTATTACTGAAATATGACTTAAGCTTTCAGACGCCAAACCTTTCTGTCAACCTTCACGTGTAGTGTAATTCCCGTTGTTATTCATATTTTGGTTCAAAATCCTTTAAAGTGATGATTAATCATGGATGTCAACCTGGAAGGTAAAAAAAAAATGCAGCCATGTACTGTATATTTGATGCCGTTTGATGGATTGTGAAGATGTAAAGTAGTTAATGGCAATGGGCTTGATGTACACTAGGGGGCACCAGTTACCAAACAAAGAAGAGAGCTTTGCAACAACATGGAGCATTCCCAGCTGAAATCATTCTCACTATTCCTCAATAAAGTGCGAAATTATCCAAATCATCCCTGGATCAAGTGATGAGATAAAACCGTCCTTCCTGAGTCCAGAAAAGGCGGGCCCTTGGACGTCTGACAAGTGATGACCAGACTTTGATAAATCAGAGACATTTGGCTGTGGATGAGACACCTGGTGCTGACGTCTCATTGGACGACCTCTGGCTGATCCTTAAACCTCTGTACAAAGCTCCCCCCCCTCCTCCTCAGCAGCTTCCTCCCCTCTGCTCTGCTTCTTTTGCCTGGTGCCGTGTCTTCGCTGTACATTGTAATTGCATTCCTTCGAAAATAAATAAAGAACGGAGAAAAAAGAGAACAAGATTAGAAGGGATCCCCTGTGTTTGGTCTCTTCACATATCTGTGTTTGCATTATTACGGCTGCCATGCATTTGAGCTTTAGGCCCAATAATAAAAGTGCATCCATGGTATTTTGTTAATCATGAACAAATTATTCAGTATTGAAGAAGATTTTAAGTTTCTCACATATTTATAGGCTCTGTATCTGTTTTTAGTGTTTTGTAAATGATATGGAATCAGATGCTAGGGGTATTATTGCAATTATTACTCACCTACTGCTTTTGTAGTTAAGAGTCTCCTTACTGCTACTGTAAGAGAAAATGTTTCAATCATTTGATCTTAGTCGTATAATTACTTTAATGAAATTCAGAATGACTGATTCCCAAGAAACTAATAATAATAATAATAAGAAACTAAATTATCCAACCTGTTAAAGAAAGCCCTACATACATGTTTACACAATGTGTATTACACAAACAGCACACTCCATTTTAATGACCTGCATAATGTAGTTACCATGGTGATACCTTGACCTGCTGTTTGAAGTTTCTGCTCTCCACAGCAGATAAAAACAACCCAGCATTTTAGAAACATGAAGACGATTCTCTCCTCCGTGTGAAGATCACTGCAAAAGCACCAAAACATCTCACAGAGGCAAATAAACAGTTTAAAAGGGAAGAGACGTGCTGATATTGATTGCACTTATGAGTATCTGCTACCTAATATCGATCAGTAGCATCCATGGAGGTTGAACAGAGAAAACAATGCTTCTCTTTTTCTCTCTCGCTCGTGTTTGGAACCAGCACGACATTGACCCTGAGCACAAAGGAAAGTGTTTGGAAGAAAAACAGCTTCATTTACATTCTAACATGTCAAAGTCAAGTCCTGATCTTTAATTTAATGGAATACTAAAGTATGACTGAAGTTAATCCAAGAGACCTCGGACTTAACAAAGACTGAAATCAGTTCTTGTTTAGAAATGGGCTGAAACACATCCACAGTATATTATTTGTTGAAGTCAGTGTTGCAAAGATTCTTTTAGTTTTCATATTTTTCCATCCCAAACTCTGAATGACTCACCAACATCTTCCACTAAGACATGTCAACATCTTTGCATGTTGAAATGTATGTTATTACACATTATATGACTTTTGGGTACATTCTCAGCTTTAACTCTAACTTCCTTTTGTCTGTGTGACATTTATGTCAAACTGTGATTGTGTATTCTTGACCTTTGAAAAAATTGCTTTCTCACGCCACTTACAGTAAAAGCTTTTTTTCCAGAGCAAACTCCATCTGCTCAGTAAGAACATAATACCTTTACTTCGCATAGCACAGCCTGGTGATGCACAACCTTTGGCTCTTTGGGCCTTTTTCTGACACCAAAGAAAGAAAAGAGGAAAATGGCATTATATTTATTAAAAGCAGGTTGATTCATCCAGACATCCTAAGCAACGTAGGTACGTACACTGACCAATCTCATGCCAAACAGCAGCTGACAGTGAAACACTATCCCCTACTTTAAATAAGATAGAAAAGTCAGTATCACTGCCACTGTATCACAATGCTCATCATGAGAGACGTAGGAGAAAGGCATGTTGTTTCTGAGCCCAAAACGGCCAAAAATATGATCTAAAAAGTAACAAACGTTAAAATTATCAACAAAGTGTAGGGCAAGGTCAGTTATCCATAGGTTACAGCATGAGTGAGCCAAAACACAATGCAGGAGGAGGAAACATAAATAAAACTCTCTTGAATAATAACAACATGGATACTAATCAAAAGACTTAAGGCTCATTTGGGACCTGAGGATTTCAAACATACAGTGTACAACAAAGCGGCTCCCACTGCTCAGCAAGCCTTTGTTACACACTTATCACGGATGTGGGAGAAAGGTAAGACATCAATTAACCAACACAAGTCTGCTGTTTACAACTGAAGCCATATTGGGGATGTACACGCTGCATTTTCGCACAAAGATACAACAGTTGGAACTGAACCTAGTCGATTCAATACCTTTGGTTTACATTTTCATGGCAACTTTGAGGTTTGGATGTAATGTGGTGTAACGTAAAAGCATGAATAAAATCCAAGCAAAGTCACAAAGGTCCCAAATTCTTGTTTGTCAGAAAGGAATGAGGCTTAGCTCCCTGTTTTTTGGCAGGGATTAGTAACAGTTGGTTTTCCAAACAATTTACCCATTTCTTGTCTTAAATGTAACTTCACTCACATGAATATGAGCTATGCAAGGTCTCCTCCATCCCTATTCAAGATGAAATCTCAGCATAAAAAAAAAGTCCAAAGGTTCACACAAAATCCATCTCACAGAACCTGCACAGTCCAAAAGAGAAAACATATACACATCCTATTGTGCATCACACACCACCGCCTCCGAGGTTCAAACCATATGAGAGTATCCACTGCTTAGAAGGGGGCAAAGAAAGAAACATCATTCAAAGAGACTGCCGTCGAGTCATGGTGTCCTTTCACTTCCTTAAAAGCAACTTCTGAAAGAGCCACTTCCTTTCAATAACTCCTTCTGAAAGGCGGTGAAAGAGAAACTTCCCCACAAAGAGATCTTTGTAGAAAGAAGAGGAAAGACACAGTAGGGAAGGGAGCAGGTGGAAATGCGGCTGTCAGTCTCTTGTTGTCTCTGACCTGCTGTTTCTCCTCCTAAAAAGCAGCTGTAGCGCCTGGTTGATGCAGATGTTTGTCATAGTACAGTCCTGGCTGTGATGATTAACGCTGCAAGGTTGACCAAGGAATATGGAGAAGACTCTGGAGCTGCTCCTTTGGCTATGGAGCCTGAAACACACAAACAAATCAACAAACAAATCAAGATCCAGCAAGTGCATGTTTAGTGTTTAAGAGTCTGGTATGGTCTGGAAATGTTGCTCTGTATACATGGCTTGAGTATGAACTCCTGACATGAAAGCGCATTCAGAAATTCAGTGCAACGAACTACAGTGTGGTGCGAGTACACAACTGTGTCGATAGATGGCACTGGTACGCTGCCCTCAAATATGGCTTTCAGAGAGCTAGAGTGTAAACATGTAGCGTGGTAAGGAAAAATACATCATAAAACCACCAGCTACTGCCAATATTATGTACATGTCTGAGCCCATTTAGCCGTTATATGATATGCATTTCTCAGACTGTGGATGTAAGACTATATTTTACAGCTAAGGGAAATGTAAACACCACAAATATACTTAGCTTTCAGAGAAAATGCTTATTTGAAGACTCACATTTTTTTAACCAGCATTTAATGGTGGGATACCTCTTTGAAGATTCAGAGATTCCTGTTTATCCCTAAAATACCATAATGCAAAGCAGCTAAAGAACATGTTGCCTTTACTGGGCATATTTTAAAGCCCATAAACATAGTGGTTCATTTAGCTAAAGTGGACAAAAGAAGTTGAGGAAATGTGGACAAAAAATAATTCTCACATGATGGAAACACCAGTGTTTGCAGTTACACTTTTCATGAGAAAATCTAGCTCAGCTGAATGTATCTGTTTTTACACTGACGTCTCGCACTCAGACATCATTTTCACATGTCATATGTCAGCACTGTCCCACCTGCTATTTTGGGGATGGTAATCTGGCTGCTGCTGCCTTCCCCTCCCTCACTGAAGGGTTTTATCTGGATAACGTAGTCCTGGTTGACTGGCAGCGACAACTCCAAGGAGGTGGTGTTGGTCTCCACCACACTGGGGTGGCTGTGTTTGTCCTGGCTGTACATCACCTGCAGGAAGCAGAGAGGCAAAGACAGTGACAGCGTGAAGCATGGCATGGAGCCACAAATACAATGCATCATTATGAGGGGTTTCAGACTGTCCTCGTTGATGCTCTGACAACAACATCTCTCTGTTTCTCTCAGACAGCTCCGGGAGATGTCATGTGCTGCCTGGGAAACTAACAAGGATAAATCTGACTGTAGATATCTACACATGGCTGTGATGGAGCAGCAGAGGAGAGGGGGGTGTAGAGATGCATCCATCCGGTCTGCTGCAGCCTGACTCTGAGCTGTGGATGCATCTGCCCATTAGACTATACAGTAAGCCCCACTCTCGGGAGACTCCTTTAACGTAGTGAGAATTATGAGCTGCTACTGTACGTGACTAAGACACCGATTTCACACTTATATAGTCTCAATGTAGGAAGCTGCAAATTAATGGAATTTTATAGATTGGTAAGCAACACAGCACTACAGAATGAGTCATAACAACCTGGAATGAACTAATCATTAAAATATGTATTATGCATATGATGCTGCTATGACAACTTACACATCACAATCAGGGAAAATGCGAAGGAACATTTTTAAATATTCTGCAGTAACACCCCTATTTAAACAATCAGAAAAGTCGTTTTTTTTCTGAGGCTGACACCATGTGGCCAAAAAGAATGAGATGTGGGTACTGTGGTTTTGAAGGGATTGTTATTTTAAGGCGAGGAGGCAATTTGTGAAGGACCTTGAAATCTAACAAACAAGCTAGACATCACACCTTCACAAATTAGATATGAAATAGTTAGAACATGGCTTGCTGCACTACCAGGATAATCGCTTTAACTCTATGGTTAAAAGTTAAGATGCTTTTCTTCTTATTTGTCAAATCAGTGAATTTATAAATGAGTCAGTCAAAACTGCCAAAGAACCATCAGCGTATAATTAATAAAGTAAATGGAGCACGTGACAGTGTGTCATACTGTGTTTTGTTGGAATCTAAAAAAAACATTTAGTTGTCAGAGTTCTATTTCGTCCCTACTGACTGCCAGAGGCGGTGCTTTACCACTGGATATGTCCATCGCGCGCATGCGCAGCTCGAGTACCAATAACAACAAAGTCACTGTGACCCACGTGACACCGGCTATATCTATTACTGTCAGAGGATCTGTTCCTTTCATCTTCTCGCTGCACGAGAGAACGTTTGATTTAAGGTTTTCTCTGCAAACAGCTGGCTGCGTGCAGCTTTGCGACCTATCCAGTCGGAGCCGCGGGCTTACCCGTCCTCCAGGAGCTGTGGCCGGCTGCGCAGAAACTTCGACGGACAGGTTGGTGTCGGCTTGGTCTGTGATGGCAGTGTTTCCGCTCCCTCTCCCAGCTAAGTTGTCCTGATTACTGTCTTGTTGCTATTTGGCTTAAACTTTTTGGTGACGGCAGCATTTCCGCTCCCTCTCCCAGGAGTTGCCCTTGTTGTGCTCTTTGGTACTTTTTCTGATTGTGGCGTTGTGCATTTTGAGTTTCCAGCTTTAGCTGCGTTTCTCGTTTTATTTAGTTAGCAGTAGCGTGGCTCAGCCTAACTATATCGTTGTTATTTACTGCTCCTAGTACTAGACTCCTAGCACTAGGATGGGTTAGATGCAGAGAACAATCTTCACTGTGTGTGCTGTGTGCTCTGCATGTGTGGCCATTGAAGAGGGTTTCATGCCTCCCAATATGATATTATTGCTAGTGTGCAGCCGTTTGGCTTACACTTTTAAGCACTGGCCATGGTTACTACTGTAACTACGGCTCTATGCCGTGTAAGCACTGGCCATGGTTGCTACTGTAACTACGGTTCTATGCCGTGTAAGTACTGGCCATGGTTACTACTGTAACTACGGTTCTATGCCGTGGTTCGCAACCGTGGACTTGAGGGATGCCTACTTCCACGTGCCGGTTGCATCTCACCAACGGACGTTCTTGAGGTTTGCCTTTCAGGGCCGACCCTATCAGTTCCGGGTGCTTCCCTTTGGTCTCTCCCTCTCTCCAAGGGTGTTCACCAGGGTCGTGGCGGAAGCTATCGCACCCCTGCAGGCGCAGGGCGTGAAGATCCTGCCGTATTTATACGATTGGCTGGTTTCGCCTTTTATCTCACGTAGCCCGGTTGGGTCTAACAGTAACACCGGGAGGAGTTGCCTGGACCCTTCCCAACAGGTCACTTACCTGGGGATGGTTCTAGATTCGGCCGCCATGAGGGCCTACCTGTCATCCCGTCGTGTGGACGACATTTTCCACCTTCTTCCCATCTTCAGGCTGGGCAAGATGGTGCCTTACATTCAGTTCCTCCGGCTCTTGGGCGGACTGAAGGCTGCCTCAGCCGTTGTGCCCTTAGGCCTGTTGTTGCTGCGCCCCATGCAAATGTGGCTGAACAGCCTTCACTTGGACGCCAAGTGGCACAGACACAGAAGAGTCAGGGTGTCTCAGCGGTGCCTCCACTATCTTTTGATGGGCGTGCCCAGGGGTGCCATCCCATCCCGCCGGGAGACTGTCACTGCAGATGCAGGTCTCTCAGGGTGGGGTGCAGTGTGGCAGGGCAGGACTGTTCAGGGTCCTTATTCTGCCCAGGAGGGTGCACGCCATGTCAACGTGCTAGATCTTCGGGCTGTGCAGCTTGCACTCACGCACTTTTTACCCCAACTGGGGGGCAAGCATGTGCTTGTTCCTTCGGACAACATGCCCACTGTTGCCCAGACTGCAGTCCCTTCTAGATAGTGGACGTTCTCACTCCACTTTGAGAGTTCAGGTGGCTGCTATTCCTGCCCGACATGTTCGGGTCGACGGCGCCACGGTGGGGTGCCACAGGTCGGTGTCCCTCTACCTGAGAGGGGCTTCACGGCAGCGTCCCCCTATTACCCCAAGGGCTCCGGCTCGGGACCTGACCCTGCTGCTGGATGCCTTATCATCTCCTCCCTTCGAGCCCCTGGCCCAGGTGGGGCTTAAGTGGCTGTCCACGAAGGCAGCATTTCTGCTTGCCATAACCTCAGGGAAGCGAGTTGGGGAGTTGCATGCCCTCTCCGTGAGCGATACATGCCTGAGGTGGGACTCTCAGGTGTTGCCCTTTGGGCAAATGTGGCGTTCCTGAGAAGGTGCTTCCACAAACCCACTTCAATCAGCCTGTCCAGCTGGCACGCTTTGACATTCAGGAGAACGGCACGTCGGAGTTGCTGTGCCCTGTGGGTGCCCTAAGGGCGTATATCGATGCTACTGCCTGTTACGGCAGTCAGAGCAGCTCTTCGTTTGCCATGGCGGCACTAAAAGAGGTTGTGCCCTCTAAACAGCGGCCGCCCCACTGGGTTGTCGATACCATCTCACATGCCTATGGGGCCAGTGGCCGCCCCCTGCCATCAGGGCTGAGATGCCACTCTACAAGGAGCATCTCAACATCTTGGGCTGCCCTGAGAGGGGTGCCCCCTGGAGACCATCTGCGCCGCGGCGTCATGGGCGTCTTCTAGCACATTCTCCAGGTTTGTATCGGGTTAATGTCGCCACTCCCCATCCTTTGGGCGTGGTCCTTTTGCCGAGCTCCGCTGCTTCCAGTAGTGAGCAAGGGCTTGGATTCTTCATGACATGGTTGGTATAAGTCATCCAGTGCTAAAGCACCACCTCAGTCAGTAGGGACGAAATAGAACGATAGTTACGTCTGTAACTACGGTTCTATGAGTCCCGGATGACCGCCAGAGTATCCTGTCATCACTCAGAATTCTTGTCTGCTTGCGAGAAGATTCTGGAAACAGATCCTCTGACAACACCGGCTGATATAGCCGGTGTCACGTGGGTCACACGTGACTTTGTTGTTATTGGTACTCAAGCTGCACATGCGCGCAATGGACATATCCAGTGCTAAAGCACCACCTCTGGCGGTCATCCGGGACTCATAGAACCGTAGTTACAGACGTAACTATCGATTCAGCAAGTCGAGTTGAGGTGCTCTCTCATGGAGAAGTGTAAACTTTCCACTTCTTACCTTATATCCGGTGACTTCTGACTCATTCTCCAGAGCGTGCACTTGGTCCCACCTCAGGATGACCTTGGAGTTGGAAGTGTTCCACATGATTTTGACAGGGGCTTGACTGGGTGCTGGAGGAGGACGAGGGGAGGAGAAGGGGGGTGAAAAAAAACAACAAGCCACCTGGTCAATAAACAGTAAAGTCCAGAACCAACTCAGCATGAAGGAGAAACCTCATTATCAGTTTATCATCCTACTGTTAGGAGTGAGCAGAGGAATGTGTGTGTGGAAGTGAGTGTAAGTGTTTTCAAGGGGGAAGGTTGGGGAGACCGAAGATAAAAACAGCGTGTAATACATACATTAAATTTGTGATAATAATTTACATTATAGGCCTACTGTATATGACCATAAGGTGCTACACATCTTTCAGGACCCTGGGAAGTTTTTTTGAATTGCCTCCATGGAGCATTCTTTTGATATTGTGCCTGTTTGATTTGGACCTTATATGCAAGCACAAGGGACAGATGTATTTAACTAACGCTTATAGATAATATTTCATTGGGAAACGTCTCATCATTTTCAATTGTGGCCTGCATGTCAAACTGCACTGGTGACCCTAAATGTAGCTGGTATTCATATTAGTATTAGTATTTGCCATGTCTACTAAATGAGTGGATAAACCAAAACCCTACACATGGTCCCTTTAAGGTGCTTTTGTGTAGTCAATATTCCCTATTTGAATTTAATTGGTAAAAAATAATTCCTGAAATGAAACATACACAAAATAAACCATGAAGCTTTAGCCAGAGGGGATACAAATTCTCCATTCACAGAAAAAGCATAAAAAGACACAGTCAGGCCTTCCACTATGTTCAGAGTCCTTACGTGGTTTCTTGGTTGTGACATTGACTATGATGCTCTGTGGACCCACTCCGGCGCTGTTGTAGGCCCGCAGGGACATGTAATATGTACTGCTGCCCTCCAGTTCTCTGATGAGTACTGACGTTTTATTCCCCACTGTCCTGATCACACTGGCTGTGTCCTGCTTCTGCCTCTCACCCCAGTACTGCAACTAAAAACACATGAGAAGCACACAGATTAACAGCTGGCATCTGATTTTTTACTTCAAATATTCAGCTTTATTTGCACTGATGTGGACACGTAACCTGGAGGGCTTCATCATGCTCATATACTGTAGTTTACTTCATGAATGACTCATAATTTAGACACTAATGGAAAAAAGGTCCTCGCATTCTGATCCAAGATATAATGCCACTAGCTGTTGGCACTGTCCACTGCATTGTACATTATTGTGTGGGCATGTGTTGGTTTGACCTCATAGCCCAGGATGCGTCTTCGGTTGTTGCTCCAGGCCAGCGGCTTCCAGGTGACCTCTACCTCGGACGCTGATACACTCCTCGCCCTCAGCCTGCCTGGAGCTCTGCTGGGCTCTGAAAGGAACAGAGGATGTTCAGGATGAGGAGAAAGACATGGATTCATTACACCCACGTCCACAGAAAAGTCTTTACGAAAATACTGGAGATCCATTCAATCCTTCCAAATCACTATGTGAGGAGGAGTGAGTCCTGGAAAGAATACATTACAGACCCTGAAAACTCTGTAAATTCACATATTGATGACTTGATGTGCAATAATTTAAATTAAAGTTCAGGAAATAGACCTATTTGGTTATGATTCACTTAAAGGTGTATGAGGCGTCTGATCTCCAATCACTGGCATAGTATAAGTGTATTCCCATTGTTAAAGGGGACCTATCATGCAAAATGCACTTTTGTACGTCTTTTATACATGAATATGTGTCCCCGGTGTTCCAGGGAACTCACCAAGTGTCAGAAAACACAACCCTCTCTATTTTCCTCCATACCCAAATCTCTAAAAAAGGGGCTGCAACGGATCTGATAAAAACTGATCCAGATTTGAACACTGTCCTGACGTCAGGACAGTGGCGCTACGGCTATTGGGCCAACTCCACCAATCAGGAGGAGACAGCCACGGCCATTGCCGTTCGAAAGCGCTGGAGACGCTGTAGTACATATGCCAGGCCTGTAGGTGGTGCTGTTCTCACAGAATCTGCCCTTGCAAAAACAGAGCTAACATTTTTCAAATTGAGCAAAATGAGGCATGGCTAAAATGCATGATCTGTTTGGTATTTTGAAAAAAAAAAAGTATAAATATGCCTTATATAGGTATGGTCCAATACTATATTATTCAAATATAGCATGATAGGTCCACTTTAAGTTAAGCCATGCGTTACTGTATAGTATTATTAGTTCACACCTTCCTCCGCCGAGTAGATGGTGGTCACCGGACTAAAAGGTCCTTCTCCCTTGTTGTTGTAAACCCCGACTTTGACTTGGTAAGGGGAGAAGGGGGGGATGCTGTCGTTCTTGAAGACGTATCTCGAGGCGTCGGGGGACGTGACAGCAGCCTGCATCCAGCCCTGAGCCCCCTGTGGGCGGAAAGCCACCACGTAGCCGAAGCCCGGCCCACTCTGGAGCTCCTCAGGAACGGGCTAAAGAGGCATGAGTCAGAGTGATGACTCAAGATGGCTGATCTTAAAGATATTAATACCTTAAAGAAATGCAGCTATGCACAGATTAGGGCACTTAGAGGAATTGTGCTGAGGGTGGTACTGGACTTGCAAGCCTTGCACGAATGTATTACTCTGTCTCTGTCAGAGCAGAGGTTATAGAGCTATTCAAACACTCTGGGAAAAACATAATTATATGATGTCTTTCAGTTTCACTTAAACATAAATTAACAACCACATACACATGTTGTGTTTGATATCAATATGAATTTAAACAGCTTTATATCATATTTTTCATTTAGTACATTTGAAACTGGTTTGTTTTTATATTAAAATTCATTAAAAAAATGTAGGGCAGTGGAGCAGATGACTCAAAGTGCATTTTTATTAATTAATTCAAATGTTTTGTACAAGTTTACCTCCCAAGTGATGACCAGCTCTGAGCGTCCTCCACCTCCTCCGTTCACTCTGCCAGGCGTCACCCGGGGAACTAACAGAGCAAACACAGTGTTTGAAGAACAAGTTTGTATATTCAAGTATCTGCGATATGCATTTTCAGTATTTAGTTGTTTATTTATAAATTGCAAGAATAAGGTACTGAACATGTCCACTTAGAGTCGCCAAAGATATTGTTTAAGAAAAATGATGGATTCTTCTTCCTTGTCAAAACCTGGCACATTAGATTGCCCACAGTGCAACTCAACTGCAGACAGTTTGGTTAGTGATTCAGCTTTGGTATGCTACTAGCGGTTAATTTCGCCCATTAATGAGCTGCTAGCCTCAAGCAGAGATGAGCAGGCTACAGAGGCCTGCTAAGCACACTTTGTTGGAACCACCCACATATTTTCACAGTTTAAACATCAGTACAAGCTGTTATTGTCAAGTGACATCTCCTGCTGCAATTAAGGAAGAGGTGTCTACTGAACCAACAAAACGCTTAGCACAATTTTGTTCACATATTCAGTAGTACTCCAAAACAGACTTTGAGTAAAATCTGTGAAATTTGCTTTGAATACAACAACTTAAAATCCAAACACATTATAAAACCATAAAGTACTGCCCTGCACATAGTCTTTCAGTCATCATGAGACAAGATATGTTTTTATGTTTGTCCATATAAATGTCTGTGTATACCTGACGTTATGAATGAAAATTGTTTATTTATATTTTCTAATGAACACATTTGTGGTGGTTACTTTAATTGTAAAATTCTCAGATAAAAGTATCTTTTTAATACAGTCCTTTGACATTCCTTAGATGTGTTGTGAGTTGCCTCATAAGGTATCTATTATTGTATTTTTTCTAAGCACTACCCTTAAGCAGACTTTCTTTCCTCTCTTCACACACACTGAGTTTCTGAGTGAAACTGCCGGGCATCAACATATTTATTGTGAATTGAATTCATTCATGTGTTGTGTGTCCTAAGGAAGCAGAGAATTCTCCGACATTCGCTGCTACAATAAAGTTATTTAAAGGGATTTAATTGCACTCCTGAAGTAGAAACTCTAAGGACACAATGGACGTCATTGCAAGCAATCTGAGTCAATGATGGCAGGAAAAGTAGGGAGCTTCTCATACGTACGCATTTCTTTGGTACGGGACTTTTTGGAGGGTTTGCTGGGCTCTCCTGTTCCTATGCTGTTGGTTGCCAGGACTCTGAACTCGTACTCCACCCAGGGACTCAACTCATTGACGGTGGATGACAGCTGCTTCCCCCCGAGAAGCTCAGGAACTGAGAGACATCACAGAACAACCTTTCATCAAAACCATGGAAGATCCGCCTATCAACATTAGCCAAGCTTGTGATGTGTTATTTACTGTCATTTCATGTGTGGTGTTTGAAAAGGATACCAGTCACACTACCCCTCACTCTTTTTTCAAATCTAATCACTACACACAACCTACACTCAGACAGATTGACAAAAGCCTACCGGTTGTTACGGCTTGCCACCCAAGAGAGAAGGGCGTTCTGGCCTGGATGGTGTAGCTGAGGATGGGGCTGTGGTTGTCCATCCCGGGACCCCAGGACACGGAGGCAGTGGTCTCCGTCATCGCAGTCACCTGACAGTCCACAGGGGGACCGGGGGGACCTGGAAGGAATTAATCACAGTTCACTCACTCAGGATGATATATATTGTACAGATGAATGAAGACAAGAGGCAGAAGAGCAGGGATACAGAGTGGGAGAGCCATAATTAGACGTGATGTCACAGACAGCTGTGAGTGCACTACTTAACTAAAACCAAACTCACTGTTTAGTACACTGGTGGAATACAAGAATAAGTACATTTAAGAGAGATACAACAATACAATGTTATTTCTTCTGAATAGATTTTATTGTTCTACAATCTAGGAAATAAAAAAGATCATAACATCCAGCAGTGTTTCCCTGTGTAGCTGTGTTCAAGGCAAATCAGAGGAGTCAATAGACGATTAACAGCATAGAGAAGAAAAAGATACCTGAATATATTTTCTATTGCAACAAATGTCATGTCTTTTTAAAAAAAAATGTTTTAATTGGGATGACTAGACCTTTTACTCTTTTCTAGAGACTAAAAGGTAGAGGTAAAATCTCAATGTGCATCTGCATCATGGAGCATAGCTCGTCCATAAACTGTGCCTCCAATATGCTAAATCTATAGACATGCCATACATTAGCAAGTCATATTATGCTATTATTTTAAATCACAAAGAAACTGCATTTTCAATCTTTCACTCATTTTGTCATTTACAATAGAGTAGTAATTGGGAGGTTAATTTGTTTTGCCCCTGCAGAGCAGTCAGCCATAGCGCATGTGTTTCATTTACAATGAACAAGAGTGACATTCTTGGCTAGCAGAGAGTTTGAAGTGGAAATGACCTTGCTAAATGTAGCTGGCATTGTGTGTGAAAACATTGTGATATAACTTCTTAGAGAACACCAATATGACTTTTTATTTTTAACATAAAATGTGAGGGTCATCCTTACCTCTGACGACCACATCAGTGGCAATCGACACACTGTCCACCTTCGTTTGAACAGCACACGTGTATTTCCCAGCATGCCTCAATTGAATGTTGCGTATCATTATGTCACCAGCCGAGCGCTGTTGGTGTAGGAAAGTTAGGGGGAAAAAAGTGCAATATAATTTAATTTCTTTTGACATTCAGTTCAGAGAAAAAGGTACAACACACACTCACAGGGACGAAGCAATTGACTCGAGTTTTCATAATCATTTACGAGGACAGTTTTTTTGTGGGGAATTGAAAAGCTTCCTTCAGCTGTATCCTTTTATCCCCTCTGATTCCATTTAATCTACAGACGACCATTCAATGCCAAATGCATTATTAGCTTTGAACTTTAAAGTTAGAACTAATGTTAAGTTGATGTCTTATCTACGAAAGTAAGGGTCTGTGAAACAGTATGAGTCCCTATAATTACTTTGATGTATAATCAGGGACATTTTCTTGAGATAAAAACTCAGTAGCTGTGAGTCATTCACTCTTTGAAACTCTCTGCCATCAATAAATTGAGATGGGATGGGTCACAGATGTCTGAATCTTAAAAAATAACTTCAAAGCATGCTTATTAAATCCAGACTTAACTACCTGCAAAATACAGTAATCATATATAGTGTGGCTTTTAGACTTAGAATAAACTAGAATTACCATGTCAGGTTTGAATGCCTTCGTCAATCAGTCAAGTTGCCGGTTACATCCATGTTGTCAAAAATGTCACAATTTAATTATTTAATCCTGTTAGACATTGGTGTTAAGTCACACTGATCTTGACCTTTGTCCCCTAATTTCTAACTAGTTTGAGTTCAAGGGGTAACTTGAGTGTCACATTTAGAAGTGAAATGTTGGTTGGACAGCCAGCGCAGAGGTATAAAAATGTAAATGCTTTTTCTGTCCATTGCAGGTCAGGTCTGTATCAGCAGAGCAGTGCAATTGCTTTATGTGAAGGCTGACATGTCATGATTTATGTGGTGTTGGGTTTCCATGAGAAAAACTGAGCGAAATACAAAGATGTCTTTTTTTCCCCCTCAACTCTTCTGAAAATGCTGACCGCGTTTCGCTGGGGTTTGCCAAAGCATTCTTTCAGTCAGCCTTTTTGCTGCCCTTGATCTCAATTAATGTAAGCCTATGTCAGACCAAAAATATACAACATCTAATATTGTTAGGAACACTTTTTTTTGTATTTGTTCTATTCTGTTGTTCTTAAAATGACCTTAAATTGCTGTTGGACGTTTCTTTCAGATATATAATACTAGACCAACAATTTTAACGATCACAGCCCTTTCAATAGTGTGACTGGTGCAAAGAGCATATCTCTAATGAAGCAGCAAAGGGTCTTAAATCGAACAAGAGAGGAGTTTGTAGTCAACAGTGAGGTTGGTGTACATGTTGCTGGAGGCATATCGTTTTTATATTGTTCAACATATGCAGGATAAATAATATTCTCTACCAAGAAAAATGTTGCTGCAGGGTTTTTAACAACACTCCTCTGCGTCATAACTTCAATAGTTAATTTCGACATAACATATAATTGTGTAATGCAGAGCCATAATGCAGTGATCAAGGAGCTTGTAGCTTGATTTAGCTTGTAGCTTAAGATATTAATGTTTGACTCATGTAGCTACTTAAAACATATCAGTCTACTTTGTGTTAAATCAAAAAGCATATTGTCAAATCAAACACTAGGGTTTATACATTTAGGTCAGTTAGAACTCACCACCGCTACATTAATAATGCCTAGACCTTACACAACGCCAATGACTTTAACAAGCCTTATTCTCCTTGAGTCTCCATTAACAAAAAACACAGCATTTCATTGTCTGCTTCAAAAGAAAAATATGAAAGTTGTTGTTTTGCAAATGTTTCCAAACAGATGAGGAAAGTTTAAGTAATGTGACCATTCTCCGTCAATAGGTCAATGGTTTCTCCACCACAACGTGCCGCCGTGGGTTTGGTGCGGAGGAGTCAAGTGTTTAAATGAACTGCAGGGCTACACACGATTATAAAGCGCTTGTTGTTATAGTGCCGGTTACAAAAGAAAAAAAAAAACACAACAAGAGGTGATAAGGAGGCCAAGACCTCATAATTGCTTTCCCTAATTAAAGGAGAAAAATTATCTGGTATTAGATGATCAAATGAAATGCTTGGCTGAGCATTGCATAATGAATTCCTCGGTTGTTGCTTTTGTCAATGGAGGAGGTGTTATTAACAAGCAGAACAGGCAAACCTGGAGCCCTTATGATCACTCAAACAAAAAAAATCAAATCTGTATAATTCATCATGGAGTGTTCAATACTTTGCCCATCAAAAGATAAAGCTGAAATTAAGCTGTAGAGGAATGAGACGTAAATGTTTTAACGACTGTAATAATTGAGTTAAAATAGCTCCTTTCCTTATGAGTTACTTAAAGCGATTGTATATGTAAAATGTTATATGTGTATAGTAGAAAGTGGTTAAGTATATAAGCCCATTTTGAACATTACAAAGAGTGTAACAATTCAGATATGGCTTTGCGTTAAGCCAATCTTTACAGTCAAAAGAATCAGCACATTCAAGTGGAAATTCATTGTGAAACGTTTTTATCCTTAGAAATGTTACTTGGCCAACACAAAAAGCTGTTACTTTAAATATGTTGTAGTACATTGAAGACATCAAATGTAACAACTCTACTCAAAAACTTCTAGGCTGCAACATTTCATATGTTCTCCTTGTGTTAATGCTGAAGAGAGAGAGACATACTGTAGAAGACTGTTGCACTTACCCCACCGATTTTCTCAAAAAACGCCCAGTGACTTCCAAAGTGGATGAGCTGCTCGTTGAAGAACCAGGTGAACTTGAGGTCCAGCGTGGGGTCATGTGACACCTGGCAGGGCAGCACGATGCTCTCACCCACGGTCACGTCCAGATGTCCTGCTGGGCTGGTGATCGCCGTCGGCTCTGTGAACAGGGAGCACCGAGTCAGAAAGGTGGGGCATGTTAACAGAGCAGGTATAACTTATCCAGACTCTGTGCTGAATTTAAAGTTACCTTTTTTTTCTGTTCCCTGAACATCGAGAAATAATTGCAAAAACATGTCACACTCAAAAACAAACCCTGCCCTCTGCCAAATCCTGTCCCCGATGTTAAACAAACAAGATGAATTACTTTTGAGTCTGCCAGTGAGCTTATATTGCATTGCTTCCTTTGAGTTTCATAAATCAGAGTAGGGTCTAAAATATATCACTGAGCAACGACAGGATAAAATAAACAAACAAAAGGAAAAACTCAACTATTACGGCAGGTCATATCCGAGTCTATAATTTTGCTCTGTTTGTGCCTAGACAAAATGCCATCCTATTTCCTCCTCAGCGTGATGCGCATCAACATAATCTGTGGTGCGTCTCGGCTGGGTGTCTCATTCAATAGCGGTGTGATGCACAGAATATAGCTTAGGCCGAGATCCCACACAACAGACCACTGTGAATTATGCATGCATGTCATAAGCAACTAATGGACAGGCAAGCCAATGCAGCGTGTCAGAGGGAGTAAAGGTCTATATTCAGCTCTGTCAAAACAAGGCACATTGTTTTTCTCACACCGCCTAAGGAGAAGCGACTGGCCATGGCTGTGCATTTCAGGTGAGTTTATGGAAAGTTTGGCACCGGGGTTCAAAATAAGAGGGTGGAACTTTCTGCTTCCAATTGCTAAGCTGTCACGCTCATTTCCTGTTATGACTCGAAGGAAAATCACAAATGGGCTCCCTCGTTCCCGTCGGTTTGCTCCGCACAGGGCGGCTCTCGTTCTGTGAACCTACAGAAGGACTATGCAGGAATAATTTGCACCTCAGACACCAGGTGTAATACAATAACTGCAATTAATTAGGCCAGAGGATAAAAAGTTGAGCTGTTCTCAGAACCCTGAAGACAGGGTACAACAATCAAAAATGTAATTAAAAATAAATTGTAAAAAAGCTATTAGAGAACAAAAATGTATTAATCTTTGAATGACATGAAATGTTTTTTAAACAACTCTGTTTAAATACATGTAATAATTTGGTTGATGATTCATTTCTATTTAATAATATGCTAGAACGTTTTCAGCTTTTTCTGTTTTATTATGATTATCGTTTTAAATATATTTGTGTTTTGGACTTGTATAAAACAAAATACAAAGAAAACATTACCTTGGGCTCTGGGAATTTGTGATAACATTTAATAGACCAAACAATTCATCAAATGATTGAAAATAATGGTATACATCAGTATTGCAACCCTTAGCATTGTCATATATGTTCATACAGTAGCCTCAAGGGTAAGAATTAGGTAACACATGGAGGCTAGGTTAATCTCACAATTATACATTTTTCAGGAAGTCACTATATCGTTTTTAAACCTTTTTCTGTAAAGTACTTTGTTCTTTGAATTTGTTCTTATATAGAGTACTGGAATATCAATACAAGTTTATTTTATACCTCTCACGAATACTATGAATACATACACATATGTTTATACAGTACTCTATTACAGCGTTGGCTCTTGTAAATAGGCTTTGCGGGGAAGCAGGGGAGCGAAATTGGCCTTCAATGCAAGCCAATTTACAATTCAAAAAACCCGTGAAGAGGAATCACCGAAAGGCGTTTTAATAGAGCACTGTTGTTGACTCTGCTCTTTAGAAAGACCTGGAAAATTCATTGCACTGCAGAAGTGTGTGATTTGAATGGATTGAAATCTTAAACAAACCAAGCATGGCTATGAAACACCGAGCAAAGAAAGTATGAATTAAACATAGAGGCGCATGAATGCAATGAGCCTCATGTCTCGCTTCCTCCAGCCACTGCCAATCAACTAATTGGACTGTATATCTGTCAGGTGAGTCTTTAGAACTGCGCTCCACTGTTTGCTCATCAAGTGCGCAGTGAGGGTCAGTGGGTTTCATTTTAAGTGCAGCACGGTCAGTCGGGTCTTGCAGCTCTTGTGCAGCGTGCCACATTTATTCCGTGTTCCGCCAAAATACTGACAGCTGTAAAAGATGTGTTAAGTTTGTTTTTTAGGGATTGATCACAAAAAACCTGCAGGAGTCCTGATGTTTAAACACATTAAATGTTTTAACACATACAGTAACAACTAAACCCCATTCTTAAATGACAAAGAGCACACATTTACTGTTGATTTTATTGTACAGTTTGTGATTTTAATATTGATTTTTTAATAAATGGAGAATATTGCTGTAGTATTTTCTCCATGTGTAGTGGAAGGGCTGTTGTTGCCAAGGAAACAGCTATTGGGTACAAAATAAACAATTATCAAGCAACATCCAGCAGCCGTTCACAGTTAAACAAACAGGACTGATGTTTAAAGCCAAGTCAGGAAAAATAATACATCACCTTTCACCAAAAGGCTGCCAGCACTGCTCGCTACTCCAAACTGGTTTCTGGCCACACACGTGTAGATCCCGGCATCCATTTTCGTAACATTGGAAATCCGTAGGCTGCCATTATCCAAAACAGTAACTCTGTGGGTAAAAAATGTATACATATTAGGCCAATTAAAAGTGCACCAGTGTCGGGTTGATGAAAAAAGCTTGGGTGGCTGTCATTTTATATATGGAATTATATATATATATATATATATATATATTCACAGTGCATACAAATCTATTCTAAATGAGCACGTCCAGTGTCCTAAAGCATTTCCACTTTAGCCTGGAGTTTATCTCAGTGAAATTTAATTGGCTCTCTGTGCTTTGGCGTGACACAAGGAGAAGCTCAGAGAGAAGAGTTACGATTTGATTTCTCGGCACTGAGTTGCAGGATCACTTTATGAGAGGAAGTCTCATTTTGAGTTCACGGATGTCAAGGGGGAATCTGAAAGTTATAGACATACTTATGCTGTATTAGCCTTAGTTATGTCAGAAATATTGCTTCAGCAGATAGAAATACATACAAATGAAATAGGAACATGATATGCTTTATAACTGTGCTGTTATCTGAGAATTGTCACACTGTACGCTGTATAATGTGCATTTACTGTAAGGTGATCATTTTAATAGAGTAAGTGTGGGTACATGCATTTTTAAGGAGAGCTGCAGCATTATTTGACTGAAGTATTATTCTACGGCTCTAAAAGAAAATCAGCAATTCTTTTTGATAGTAATGAATAATTGTTGCTCTTTTTTTAATGATACTAATGTATCTTCTCTGTATCTGTGTCTTTGAGCTTGGGATGGACATATATTTTCACATTATGACATTTTGTTGACTTTTCAGTGAATTAAATAATCCACAAAATTATCTGCAGATATATCAATATTAAAATAAATTCTACCTTAAACAGAGGCAAGAAAAAACAGGGGCCAGAACTAAAAATGGTAAAACTAAGTTTAACTGAGTTGCAGCAGAAAATAATATATTTTTTAGAACAGCACCGAGTCATTTAGTTCATAGTAAAAGAAAGTTCATACTGTACATAATGACATGCAATGACTGCAAGAAGTAAACAGCATCATCAAAACAACTACTGTGATCCAACCTAGCCAATAATTGGATTTAATCCAATGGACTCTTGTATACAGTATGTCAGTGAAATTTCACCAGCAGTCACAAATTCGTCCCGCCTGGTTGTGTGGTAATAAGTTGAACCTCTATGACAGATTGCACCAGCGGGTCCAAATTACAAAGTCTCTCATTTCATCTGTGTCATCAGTCAAGCCTGACAGATCTCTTCTGACAGAGCGCGTACTGCTTCTACTTCAGCAGCCAACAAGGTGCTTGAGTGATATGAAAGATAGGTCAGCAGCAAGGCTCTGCTTGAATAAAGCCTAGATTACATGCATTTCCAATCGTTCTGTTTTCGCCTTTAGATTTCCTCATCTATTGTTTCCTCTCACAGAGACAATATGAATTCATACACAAGTTCATTTTTTCTAATTTACTCATTTTAAAAGTGGGGTAGGTAAGTTTGAGAAACCGGCTCGAGATACACTTTTTGTTATATTCCATGGAATGCTCTTAACATCCCGATAGCAATGAATATCTTAAGTGCTTTGACAATAAATACATAAAAAAATGTCATCTGTGGAAGCCGTAATACTGTAAAAAGCACGACCAATCATTTTAGCTGGCCCGGCTAAAATAACTGGATGGCCTACCTGCCTGTCAGCCTTCCATCTGTGCACAAACTTATCTCGTGCCCTCATTGGTCATGTGCACGTTCGTGTGTGTTGGAGGAGGGGCTCTGTAAGGAAGTCTGAAGGAAGGGGCAGATTGTTTCCGGCTGTGTATTTTCAAATTCTAGCGCACTCGAGCTGGTTTCTCCAAAATTACCTACCCCACCTTTAACTACAAATGAAAAGTGATAAAGAATGTGTTCCTTTCTTTTGAATCCTGGCAGGGCAACAAGAGCTGTATAACTGTAAAAAATAAACGAAAAAACTGTTAGTCCCTAAAAGCAATCAGCAAGTCCTTGAATACAGTACGTGAAAACCTTTGCACAAAACCATGTAGGCAAAAATACATAATGACATTTTTGTTTGCACTTCTGAAAGAAGAAAACTATTTAAATGGAAGTTATTTGGTGAGATCCACACAAGCATTGGAAAACTGAACATTTTATAAAAGTGAAATGAATGGCAGGTTCACAGGTGATTGAATCATACAAAAGTGCTTTGACAAATTGTAGTTACTGGGATGGCAGAAAGACATTTCCCTGCTTTAATGAAATACTGGGCACATCCTGTGTCAATTACAAACTGAGAGGATTTATTCACGCCACAGAACCATTCATTTCAAACCCTTACTTCATCAAAAATCATCAAACATTCAGTTATAATGTATTACAATACCATTTATTTGTAATATGTACTGACCATGCTTGATCCTTTTGTCTTTCCTGTTATCAAAGCATTTCAGCTAGTTTAGAAAACACATATTTTCTTGTTCTTTGTTTTTTTTTAACTCTGTAATTGCAGGTAATCCATCACATCCCGTAAAAACAGCGCGACTGAAGTTCTCGTTCAATTCCTGCGTTCTGCAGTTTCACCGTTTCCTAGTGCTTCTATCAGTAGTATTAGCTTTTTTACCCCTTATCTTGTTTTTCAAATCAAACTGAAAAAATACTGATTAAATATACATGTTCCAATAAAGGAGATTACTGTCTGTTAATCCGACTCATTTAGGTGAGGTGTAGGTGTCTTAATGTGGCTTCTCAGTCAACCTCAATGTCTTGAGACATTATGAAAAAGATCCTATTGAAACAAAGATAAGGTTTTCCTGATATTTATTTGTTAAAAACACTTTTATTTTGGGGGAAACAATGAAGAAATCAGATTTCTTCATGTGACTTCTTGTGGTGTCACAATTTTGAAGACTTTAATTATTTGATGTTAGAAGTATGTAAAACCTTTTGACAGTTGGGAGGAAAATAGATTTAATAAGTATTTTCAGTTGAGGGGCAGAATTTGAAAATCTATTTACATAAAAAGGTATTTACAGATAAATACCTTAAAGGTAGGGTAGGTAAGTTTGAGAAACCGGCTCGAGATACACTTTTTGTTATTTTCCATGGAATGCTCTTAACATCCCGATAGCAATGAATATCTTAAGTGCTTTGACCAAAAATCCATAGAAAAATGTATGCCGGCCCGGCTAAAATAACTGGATGGCCTACCTGCCTGTCAGCCTTCCATCGGGGCACAAACTTATCTCGTGCCCTCATTGGTCATGTGCGCGTTCGTGTGTGTTGGAGGAGGGGCTCTGTAAGGAAGTGGCAGATTTTTTCCGGCTGTGTATTTTCAAATTCTAACGCAGTCGAGCTGGTTTCTCCAAAATTACCTACCCCACCTTTAAGTACATTATGTACCAGAAAGGGTGCACTTACAATAAGAAAAAAACAACAAAATCAATAAAGTGTCAATAAACCTCACTGATTCTCACTGAATATCGGTGTGACTGTACATCTCTAGAGTCTCAGTATCAGCTCTGATCTCCCTAGAGAGGGCATGGAGAACATATCCCTGCAGGGATCAATAAAATGTCACCATTTTAAAAATGAATTCCCTTGAGCCAACAAAACAACCACTGCTTGTCGTTCTTAATAAGTAAGTATTAATTTGGCCTGGTGTTATCAGTTTTTACAAACAAGCAATAACCATTAAGCCTCATGTGCACAGATTAATATTTCATGATGTGAAACAGTTGTTACACTTACTGATGCCACAGTTTAACAGACAAAGGGAGGATATTTATTATCATTGCCATGTGTCGGGTTTCTTGTCTTTAATAGTCATTTTGTCAAAGAAAGAAACTCCAACCATGGTAAACATTCAATGCTTGTGAGAGAAATGTGTTATTGACGTTTTGATAGATGCGAAACACAAAGAGCGTCACCTCTTTTACAAAGTCAAGCGACGGTAGAACATCTATCAATAGTTCATTTCTTCAGCGCAGAATAGTATTGCCAATTTGGTCAAATTATATCCCAGCAATCTTTGATACTGCCTTTCAATTGTGGTTGTAGAACAATTTCCAGAGCACACTGTCTCCTTAGAAATTAAATACCTACTTGATGAATGACTTGCCCTGCAAATCCTTACTATAAGCTCCCATCTTATCTTCTGAACTGCACAACAGTGTAATAGGGTTGAGCCGGTGTTTCAAACATAACAGGTTTTAAAGATGAACTTGAACGCTCCTTTCTAAAAGCTCCCTTGAAGGCGGCCTGGACCTCCCAAAATGATCAAAAACGACTTGCTTGGCCTTAAAGGCTTGAAGAATTAAACTACATTAGCTTTATTCCACAGTGCCCATTCCCCGCGCAGCCGGAGGTATTTTCTCCTGACTGAACCGAGGGCCTTCCTTTGTAATGGACTATAACAAAGAGTTATGGATATGAGATGTCACAGGGATAAGACTTGCCATTAAACTGTGCAGTAGCCTATGTCCAGCTTTCTCCTCGCCAAAGCTACAAAGGGACAGAGCATGATAAAGATGTAAGGAGCATTATCTGTCTGAAATGCTTCCACTCTGTCGCCTTTTCTCTTAAAGGTTGCCCTGCAGCAATTAAGGTATAGGGGAAATCTGTGGCGTACATAAAACTAGAGCAGTGTGATATAATAAACAGGCACTTTACCTCAACCTTATTGGCCGGTGTTAAAGTGAACTACTGGCTGTAATCTAAAAGCCTGCTCTGCCTCTCCGCGGTGCAACAAAAAACTAAAAGGCTGTAAATGAAAAACATTATTTTAACCGCTTAAGAAGGATTGCATAATTAACTCAGTATATTACCGGGAACATGCAGTATTCTAGAGGACTGCTTATTTCATTGCAAAGCAATGAACCTTCTGTATTGGCAACACATCCAGTAAAGCTTAAGCTGTTTTAGTAGCAGGATTATAATTGCATTCCCATTACATGATGAAGCAATACATATCATTTAGCTAACAATCTTAAACACAGTGGTTCAATCTAAAGGTAATATTCCTGAGAGCTATTTCCTATATCCCCTTTTACAATTGCTGGCAGTGGTCAGCAGTAAAATTAAATTAGGGTAAGCACTTTATAGTTAACCTTATAGTTTCCTGCATAAGTGCACAGCAACCGTTATATCTTGTTACACATGCCTGGGATATGAGCTGATATCACTACAACGTGATTTCATTAAGTAATGAGATCCTGCTTTGTTCTTAGTTTGTTGGTGTAGTTAGTTCTCCCCTGATCCAGATCCTTGAAAAACATTATCCCTAGAAGATTAGAAGGAATTATGGGTATTTTAGTTGAGCCAGTGGGATGGATTAGTGTTGTGCCGCCGCTTTAATGGCATTGGTAGCAGCTTCATTTCGATATGGGGGAAAGTAAATGCTAACGAGCCAGGAACAGGGGAATAGGTTGGTGAGAGATGCTGCAATAATGTCAAAGCTGAACATCTTGCACGCAGCTCACTCTCTTCAGGGCAAGGCTGTAACGTCAAATCTCAAATGGGAAATATCGGCTTTATGGGCGCGATTGATATTGTGGTATGGATACGTTTGACCTCCAATACTTAAGAGGATAGGAAATCTGCAAGCTTGGTCAAACATTTAGCAACACATACTCTTGTTGCTGATTGTGCTGCTCCCCCTCAAATAAAACATATCTCTCCTCTAACGGAAATGCCTCGGCCTGGCATCTGTACTAACAATTAGATCGCAACTTTGGTTTCCTAAACATAGCATCTGACAGGGGGAGGCGAGAGATGAGTAAGCCTGGTGCTCTCCCACTGTGGTGGGGATGGATATGCCAGAGGTTGGGTGTGGAAAAGCTGCTGAGCCAGTTGAACAATTAATCCCATATCAAATGAGGAGTCCGGACCCCCGCTACGTCACCACATGTGCCAGCAGGTGTGCTTCGTCTCCTGCTGTTACGTTCCTGAACACAATAAAGATGTTCTCAAACAGAAAGCGGAAATGAATGCATCAGTGGAGCTATTTGTGTCGACTGCACTGGGTTTTAGACAATGAGATGTTTTGAAATGCACACCTGAGAGTTTACACTTTCCAAAAAAAGTGTAATATCTCTCCCTAACAGAGCAACAATTAAAAGTGCACCAGCACATCAGGGTGTTCTCACTGCTTTCAATTTAATTGTGTTGAATGTTTCCCGCTAAAAACTGTAACAGTGCAAATATCATCAAAGGGTGACATTTCAGAAAATGGAGACGTACAAGTATCCAGTATATTTCCTGTAATTGGCTGTTTATGCAGGTGAAACAAGGAAAACACACATTGAATTCCCTTCGAGCAATGACAAATGAAATGAAGGCCATGTTGTTTGATGCTGCATGCTACAATAACTGCGTTCTCCCTGATTGCTGCCATGTGAGGAGAAACTGTATGAATCCTGATCAATCACTGACTTTGCACCCTAGTGCTGCCTCGACCAGCGTTTTATCTTCAGGGGAAGGGTTCTTTTTTCCTTGCCTGATTAACATTTGTTTTTACTTTTTCTCCTCCTCTCCAGTACACAGAGGTATTGTATTGATCTGCATTTAACCTGATTTCTAATAAAACAAGGTGTCCAGCTAGTTTCCCTGGTGTCATCGCCACTATCACACAGTTATGTATGTTCTTCAGCGGCCAGCCATTGATCAGTCCTTTTGGGGGATTTCACCTGCTTCTTCCCTGTCTCGATGGTAGCCGGGATCATAGTCCGCCTCGTGCTCTAATGACCCTCCATGCCTTACATGCTGCTAATGAGCTGATGGATCAGTGCATCGATCCAAGTGCCGCAGTCTAGGAACAGCCAATTACCTCAAGTAAACAGTGCAGAAACCAGCTCAGAGCACACCCGGGAGAAAAAGAGGACAATGGAGTTGAAGGAAGAAATGTCGATAGCACGGGGAAAACTGGCGAAGTGCAGGACGTGTTATGCAATTCAAATTGTATTGTGTCACAATGTTCCTTGCAGTTTGTCACCATGAATACAAAGTAGGACAAAATAAATAACAAGTCGATGAAATACGAAGTAAAGCAGACAAACTAAACAATTGGGATCCGGCACACAATACACTCACTGCTCTGCAGGAAACAAACTGGTACCTGTGGCTCTCTCTAAGGGCTTCTTTCCCCTTCCTCCATGAAATGACACCCCGAGGAGACATCCTGGGCCTGCATTCGATCAGAACGTCGCCGCCTTGTCGGGCCAAAGTCTGGGCCTTCAACAAGTTCTGGGAGAAGTCTGGAGCGATGGCTGATAGGAAAAGAGAGAAGGAAGGGCTGTAAGTATTGTCGGAGAGGCAGGAGGGAAAGAGAAAAACAGAGCTGAGGTTTAATTCACTGTCGGAGAAGAGATAGGAGCAAAGGGAGTAGAGCTATTGAGGAAATGAGAGTGGAGAAGCTTTCTAAAAACATGCAGGTCACTCCATCCATTAGGTAGGTCAGCTCTCACATCCTTTTCTTTGGTCACACACACACGCACACAGACAGGCACACACAACTGCAGGAGAACAGACATGGTGCATCATTATAAGAACATTTGAAAGAATGTGTTTTTTTTCCGATTCCATGAATTTTCTCTAGAAGGACATTATGCATTAAGAATTAAGCTGTGAGGCTCCTAAGCAACAACGAGAGAATGTAAAACAAGAGGGAGGCTTTGTTGCTGCTCCTTTAGGCCTTAATTACTAAGGCGCCGTCGTCTGGAGCTGCTTTGTATGCGCAGCGACTCAGCAGAAAGCTCTTCAAAGTGAACACACAGCCTGGCGCCAGCGACATGGCTCAGCACCTGCCAGGGCATGAGGGTACACGTGCATCCACAGCAATACACTGATATACAGTATGTATGTATTCATGCGTCCATTGCCTATTTCTTGACAGAAGTGTGAATTTACAGTGTATCCTCTAAGATCACAACAGATATGTGTTGCTCTTCTCTTCTCATAACATGGGCAGCTTTCATACGAACTCATATCCTAAAGCAAGAGTTGGAGGATATATAGTTGCAATGAAATCCGTTTGTCCTGATAAAAATAAAACGAGTAACAAGGTACAGAAAACTGTAAATTGATCCTTTAGTCTGTAGGTGGACCATGTAGACAAATTTAGACATCTACTATTTCTTGTTTTAGAGTTATGTTCTCACTCCTGCATGATAAAGAGAAAAATACCCAGATATCAGAATAGTGTGACATGAAAGGATTACAGATTACATTTTTGTTATCATTAGCATTGTCAATTATAGAAGTATAGAAGTACTACAGATATATATCAAAGTTGAAGTCTGTCGTTTGACTATTCTATTCTATTTTATCACTTAAGATTCATCAGTCAGTTTACTTGATTAGGCGATCACCAACAAAATGATACACAACAAGTATTGCAATCAATACTTAATATTCATATCCACAAAATGTTCTTTTACAGTTTCAACATTGCTTCCATAAATTCAGTTACTTTGTGTCCAGCTGCCAATCAGAGTTATGTCTGTTTCTAAACACAACCATCGAAAGCTGCTGTGTCAGAAAGTGGTTTTGACAGAGTGGTAATACTTGTCAAACTGCCTCAGCAAAGTGCTGTGAGTGCTCTACAAGGATATAAAACAAAAGGGCTTTTCTCCATCACCTGGTTATATAAAATGAGTCAAAAAACGGTTTGAAAGGAAATGTTTGCACTTTATTTTTAAGAGATTATTGACCACATGTAAAAGCTAAATTGAGAGACACACAATCACAACTCAAGTCTGGTCTGGTCTAAGAGATTTATATGCTCCTTTATGTTACCTTTGTCTGTTTGTCCGACCATCTGTTGAATGTTTGATATGTATTAAGCCTGAAAAACCTCCAAAGTTGAACTGCCTTTTTTACCTTAACTCTACATGCTGTAGCTTCAGAGTTTAACTTCCATAATATGAGTGTTGTTCCTTTCATCATCCTCGCTGACACTGTTGTGTCTGGTCTTTATAACTCTAAGCAGTTACATTGCACCTACATATAAAATAAATGTAATTTCCTTTCCAAAAGTCATTGAAACTTGAAGGACCTTGACTGGAGTTGGCCTTTTCCTGGTGTCATTCTGGTTATCTGTACTTTGAGCACAAAAGCATTTTATGTAAGGTAAATGTACGTTATTTAAAATGTTTATATTTGTTAAAAGCAAATCGTGACAATGAAAAAGTTAAATGAAATAATTAGTGCAAGAACAAATAACATACCTTGGTTACCTTCCATTGCAGTCAATGTGACCAGCTGACGTTAAACCATATCTCCAGTCAAGATAATCAAATCTATTGTAACATATAGTAATATAGTATAGTAATCTATTGTACATTTACCACTGACTATAGTTGTTTTCGAGGAAAATAACAACCAGGAGATTTTATTAAATAAAATAATAAAACATTAAACATTTTAAGTAAATCCCATCTCAGTGCACATAACTGCTCTCCCTGAATAAACGTAATTACGAAGGCAGAACTAGGGGGCACTTTTGGGCAAGCTACTGGCAAAAGAACTGTTGACACGAATGCTTCAACCTCAGTCTGCTCAACACAGAGGAAGCAGAAACAAATGAAATAGAAATGGGTGGTTAAGTTTGTCTTTCATTTGTACTTTACAGCCTTTTTTTGGCGACTGACAAAAAAAGAGACTGGGGAAAAAGTTTTTGTAAAATAATCTTGTTGTGTTACAACTAGCAAAGTTGCAGGGAAGAAATAGAACGTTTAGCAAACGTTCTGCCAATATGACTGTGGGTGGAGGAGATATGGTCTTCAAATTTAGACCTTTAATTATAGAGCCCACGTGGCTGACTGGTACAGTATCTATTTTGGCAGGTTTCGCAAATGTATCATTTTGCCATTTTTGAGTGTCTATCATGAAGCATCTACCTGCAATTCGAGAAAAGGCATGAGGACAACTCCCCATTTTAGACAAATCAACAAAGTCTTGTGCGTTTGGCCTTACCTACGACTCGGAGCTCAGCGTTGGTGAAGATTCGGCCGTGCTTGTTCTCCGCCACACACTGATACATGCCGATGTCAGCCAGATTCAAGCTGCTGATCGTCAGCACTCCGTTATTCGCCTGGACCCTATCGTGCTAGAGAAATACACACACACAAACATTTAGCTAACCTGACAACAAACAGTAAACAGGTTTAGACAAGGTGAACAGTCAGCAGGAGGCACGAGTGGTTGCCTCTGGTGCAAACATATCTCCAGTACATCCCAGGCTTTACATCAAATCAGATCCTACCATGTGCGGGGACTTTTGTTAGTTTAACCCCTTAGGTAATGCGTTTGAAATGAAAAAACTCAGCTGCATTTATTGATTTTTGTGAGGCCCCTAGGGAAAGAGGAACACATTTCTTTGGTTGAAAATCCTACACCTGATGTGTTACTACACACAAGGTTCAAGGTTCAAGGTTCTTTATTGTCAATCTGACATAGCTACAGAGTAATTATGCAGTTGAAAATCTTATGTCACAGGCTTCTCCAACAATGCAACATAATAACATAACATAATAACAATAAGAGCAAGAGCAATACAAAAATAATAATAGTTATAAAAATGAAATAAAGTTATGATGTGGAATAGTGCAGTATGAGTCTATATACAAGTTATTGGAATGATATATATATATTAGGTATTAGATGCATACTACTGAGTAGCAGTTGAATGTTTGAAGTTGTTTCAACAGTTCAATTTTTTAACAGTCTCACTGCCCGCGGGAAGAAACTGTCTCCGAATCTTCTTGTCCTTGCCAGGATGCTGCGGTAACGTCTGCCAGACGGCAACAGAAAGAACAGTTTGTGGCTGGGGTGATGGGGGTCTTTGATAATCCGTAGTGATTTCTTCCTGAGCCGCTGGGAGTAAAGGTCCTCCATGGATGGCAGCTCCGTCCTGGTGATGTGCTGTGCAGTTTTCACCACCCTCTGTAAAGCCTTACGATCGAGGTCGGTGCAGCTGCCGTACCAGGCCGTCATGCTGCCAGTGAGGATACTCTCTATCGTGCACCTGTAGAAGTTGCAGAGTATCCTGGAATCCATTTTGAACCTCCTCAGCCTGCGGAGGAAGAAGAGCCGCTGTCGAGCTTTCTTAGTGATGGTGGTGGTGTGAAGAGACCATGTCAGGTCCTCAGTGATGTGGACACTGAGGAACCTGAAGCTGCTGACTCTCTCCACCGTAGTCCCATTGATGGCGATGGGGGCGTGTCCCTCTCCCTGCTGCTTCCTGTAGTCCACAATCAGCTCCTTTGTTTTGCTGATGTTGAGATGGAGGTTGTTCTCCTGGCACCAAGATGTCAGGTTTTCGACCTCCTCTCTGTATGCCGTCTCGTCATCGTCTGTGATCTGGCCGATGACGGTCGTGTCATCAGCAAACTTCACGATGGTGTTGGAGCTGTGTGTGGCCACGCAGTCGTGGGTGAACAGGGAGTAGAGGAGAGGGCTGAGCACGCAGCCTTGAGGGGCACCGGTGTTGAGAATCAGGGTGGAGGATGTGATATTTCCCACCCGCACTGCCTGGGGTCTGCCCGTCAGGAAGTTCAGGATCCAGTCGCAGAGGGCGCTGTTGAGTCCGAGGTCTCTGAGCTTGATGGCCAGCTTGGAGGGCACAATGGTGTTGAATGCTGAACTGTAGTCAATGAACAGCATTCTCACATATGTGTTCCTCTTCTTCGGGTCCAGGTGTGAGAGGGCAGTGTGGAGGGTGAGGGCTATGGCGTCGTCTGTGGACCTGTTTGCTCTGTAGGCAAACTGCAGGGGGTCCAGAGATTCAGGGAGGGAGGAGGTGATGAATAATTTGACTAACCGCTCAAAGCACTTCATTATGATGGAGGTGAGTGCTACTGGGCGGTAGTCGTTGGGGCAGGTGATGATTGTCTTTTTGGGGACAGGAATGATGGTGGAGTGTTATGAACGATTATGAACCTGTTCTATGTCTAACATCTTTTCATAAACACCTATTTGTACATGCAACAAACTTTAACTAACAGTTTTTTCTGTCAATCTTGATCCAATATTCACCATTTATGATTATATGGTGTCCAAACAATCCTTAAAAAATATATAAGGGTCTCCGGCTAGTCACTACTCGTGTCTACCTGCTGTTGCGGTTGTGAGCAGTGGATTATTGTTCACCTTACATGCAGTAATTGGATCCATTGTTAATATTAAGCAATACAAAAGGACAGAAGTTTTCGGCATTCTGTGAAAAAAAGGTGGGTAAATTATTAGAGCTTCTGAACATACACTTTAGAGGTTACAGTAACAGGCCACACATTCACATGAGCTATCCTGGCCATTAAAATGCCGTCGCAGAGACCTCAGTGGATCATCCCTTAGCAAATCTGACATTAATCTCTGAGAGGACTGACACCTGTTTATATAACAATACCATTATGCAAACAGAGCACACAGTATGAGCACGCTAGAGTCACAGTTTTCTGGTATACAGGAGCATTTCAATTCCACAAAATATTTATCTGTTTTAGTTCCCTCTAATTATACGTCTATCTAAAGCCTTGCGATGTAACCCTCATTTCATTATATTGTATTAACCATCCAGCTGTACTGTAAGTGTTAATTTTCACCCGTTTATGATGTTTCCAGGAATATCGGAGCAAGTAAAGAGTTTACGCACATGTTGACTTCTTTTATAACATAAATAAATTCATATTTTCAATAGCTGTAGCTTATTATTTTTCAATAAAAGTTGTTGAGAGCAGCATCTGGAGGATATTCCTTAATTAAAACTAACCTAACATCCAAGGTTAATACAGGATAGTATTTTGAAGTACAACTATTAAACATAGCAAAAACATCTTCAAACTCCATAAATCGTATTTTGTTGTCTTTCTCTTTGAATGAAAAATGTATAAAAAGCTTATAAACACTTGTTTTATCATAACAGTGTCATATAGTATGTGTTAATATGGGAATGCTGGACTAAAACAGCTTTGAGGTGGGTAATTAGGGCTATATATGGACATGTTAAGTACCATGATGCAAACTGTGTTCATGAAGAATGGCCTGATCTAATTCTAGCTTCAGCCACTCTTTTTCTCCTCAGGGGGGTTGATAATTGAAACACTGCTAATTTTCTGTGGTCTTAATAGGCCCGCAGTGACTAGATGTAACCCCCCTCTGCTTAACATAGCACTGAGACATTATCAAACGATGGTTAGAATCAAACCACGGAGGAATTAGTTAGGATGAGGCTGAAGCACGTATTCTATTTAATACTCTACTAAGTCTCATAGAATGTAAGGTGGCAGAGTGAAAAAAATTATAGTGTTTGTTTAAAAATATAAAACGCCTACACCGAGTACAGAGAGTAATTACAACACCAGAAAGTTCCTCTCTTCCTTCTTCTCTTTTGACCTTTACAAGGATTTGCACTACATTCTGCTCCCTTTTTTATAGTTGTGTCAATTTGAGTGTGGCAGCACTCATTGTTCCTGCCCTTGATCTTTCCTATTGAGTGTAGCCAGACCTTTTAATGTCACTGACAAAGTAGTCCAGAGGGTCCTGCCGCCAGTCTGTCTGTCGTCTGCAATCATTACAGCACTGCCACTTGAAAAGACAAGGACTGTCCCTTAGCATCAGTCAGGGACACTGCTGAGGACATACAAAAAGGGCTCTCTCTGAGGCCAAGTCTCACGATGGACACACGGCTGACCTGGCGCTAAATCCACCACCAGAGGGGGTCCTGGGTGAGGATGGATGCAGCCGTTTCCAAGTGGGACTAAAATAAGTCCCCAGGTTTTTGGCTGAGACTGGGTGCTTATATGCAAAGGATGAGAGAGAGTGAAAGAAAGAGAGAGAAAGAGAGAGACATGGCGAATGGATGATAGATGGTCCTTTTTAGGTTACACAGTGCAAGGGCCCAGGGGGGAGAAAGAGATGAAAGAGATCTGTGTAAGTGCATGGATTGGTGCCACACTGCACTGTTCTGTACCCAGTGCCCTGTTAAAAGACCCTTAGAGACTCAGTGGTGGCTCTTTCACAATCTCTTTATCACTGGAGACAAATGGCAGCATTCGTCTGCTTCATGCTTATCATTAATTATGCTTGACTCTACTCTGATACCAGCACTGTTTCCAGTTGAGCTGTGAAAAGGCAAAACCTGGGCGCTTTGTTTAATGCCGGTGAGGTACCGATCCCTTTCCTGATTGCAGTAGCTGCACTGAATGCAAGCTACAAAAGCAGCTTCTCCTGAGAAGGCAGCTCCCTGACTTTAGAGGTCGAAAGGTAGACAAATCTCAAAAACACACACTCGTATATGTAAGGGGAGTTGGTGGCGGAGTGGAAAAACACAAGCGTGAGTGGGTCCTTGTTTCACCGGGATGACATTTTGAAGTGACAGCCCTCCTCTGCGCCATTTAATTCCCTTGGAGGGAAAAGTGGGAGGGTAAAAGCTTGAAAGAGAGCGTAAGAAAGAGAAAGCGAGCACCAGAGATGCTGAGATAAAGCGAGAGAGAGGGAGAGGAGGACTGATCCATTCTAATGAGGAATAACAAATGGCCCTCTTGGCCTTCCTCTCCTTCTCCATCTCTTTCTCTACATCGCTGACCTTTGGGTTTGGAAATTGATTTACTGTTGCCGCTGTTGATGGTGGCATTTTGAAAATGCTAACACCCCACCTCATTAATATAGCCACATGTACAGAGAATATGTTACCTTGGCCAACCGCCAAAGGAATTTTCTTATAATGTTATTTACAAATCAATACTGGAGACGCACAGGTGGAGTGATAAGTGTTTTCCGTGGTTTAAGGATGTGTGGCGAATAGAGGAAGTGACCTGTGTCACCGAACTGCCACAAATGACAGAGAGAAGAAATGTTCATGACAATGAAGCCTATTTATGCAGATTACAATTGGACTTGCTGCAGATACAGACTTTGTAGATAACTACTTCTGCCATGTGCCATAATGGGAAGCTGTGTAATCTTCTTCTCTGCGTGTTCATTGTGATTCAGCTCTTTAATTAAAATGCTCCAGTTTAGGAATATTATCACAGCTCTCAATTAACGTTACAGAAAACTAAACCCACCTGGCTTCTTTAAGACATGTCCAGAGAAACAGTCTGGTTTTGAGCTCATTACCCAAGCCAAACACTGACGCTCTCCGCGGCTGTGACTCACTAGAGCCGTTCTTTTTAGGCAAAAAGCACACTCACTCCAGTAGCATAATAACAAAAAAACAAGGCAAATTGCCCAAATTTGAAATGTATTTTGGACGATAAGGCATTTTCACTCTACCCAGAGAGAAGAGACTTAATGATAAAATTGAGAGAAGCAGATAGGAAGGATTGAGAAATAAATGGTTTAATCCCTTAATGATGACAGGCTGTAAATGGCATCACTTTGGCTTCTTTGCAAAACACATACAAACAACCTCCCCCAACACATACACACCCACACATTTTAATGCCAGAATTAGTTACAAGCAAATACAGCCATTTCAGAGTGACATGTTCTTGCCAAGTACGAGCCTGTGAGTTGAAACCATGATGAGCTCCTCAGCAGAATGAATCCAGCAAAGAGTGCAGTGACACACAGTGCATCCTTTAAATAAGATAATGCTGAATGTACTGTAATCTGATCATCTTTCATCCTACACATAAAATTATGTTTATCTCTGTCGACTCAATTGCCTAGGGGCTGTAATGAAAACATATATATTGACTCTCTCCTCACGATAACAATACCGGTTTACAATTCAAGACTGTCAGAGTGAGCCTGGCTTTAGCTGTTTATATGTGTTTGTTGTCGAAAGGATGTCACACCCCTTCATTAAATGTTGTTTAGATTTAAGTCGTAGAGCACAAATAAATAATGTTCTTAGATATCTATTTTGCCACGCTTAGGTCTGAGGTATATTTAAAATATAGACGCATATTCAAAGTAGGGTGTTACCTTGGTTGGTTATTGGCTAATGGTTACACAAGCCAAAAAAACGTTATGACATCATAAAGTGAATGGATGAATGGATCAGGACAAAAGGAGAGCGAATCTTTTTTCCTGAAACTTTCAGAATCTCTTAACGCAGAGGGGACACATGTTTATGTATAAAAGACTTGAAAAAGTGGATTTTGCATAATAGGTGACCTTTAAATTAAGAAAAATGCCTTACTTCCATGGAGTCCAGAGGCTCTCCATTCTTCAGCCAGCAGTATGAGGGTTTGGGCTTGGCGCTGGCTTTGCACTCCCACACCAGCATATCATCAATGGTCTTCTGAACATCTTGAGGCTTCTCAGTCAAGTGCGGTGCAGCTGTAAGGTCAAACACCACATACTGTAAATGAACACTTCAACGCTACACAAACTCTTAAGCATTTCTATTACACAGCAGTTTAAGAATAAATCGATGAACCAACCAAGCGGGCAATTAGTTCATTAAAGAGGCATCCAAGGGCGCGAATCATAGATCCACTTCCAATTAACCCAAAGCTCACCTCCGCTTGAAGAATATATAAATAAAAACAACTGTATAAGATTCACACGTGAACGGATCAATAGGTGGGATGGAACCCTTCACTGTAAGGTTAAGAGCTAAAAGAAAAAGGGTTTGATTTACTACAACCAGTATGAATTAGTTAAACTGAGGAACATTTTTTACAAGAATTTGGAATACTGACTGCAATATATTTCTTTTGATGCTGATAGTAAAAAGCAAGGGTTGTAATTCTTTCTTGGCCATGCAGTTTATAACAAAGGCTATATTCCCTTTTTGTCTTTTGAAACATCTGAAATCCATAGAGAAATGCCTTTATATTTATGACTGTGGACCTGTGGCACACAAATGACTAGCACCTTATCTCTGGCGACAGTGTACGGAGATGTATGGCCCCAATGAATCACACACACATAAATACAGGACGCCCTGCCAGGGTCATGGGGAACAAGGCAGTCTGTGTGCCTGCCAAGCTGTGTTACTTTGATAATTACAACATTGAAGGAATACAATTCTTCTTGATTAAAATAACCTTTTATCTTATCTTTCTCAAAGAAAAGACATTCTTGAACATTATTCACAGTACAGTGCCACTGTTTTGGCCAAACTTGACCCACTTTACCATGCTGCACTGCGTTATATATCAAATGCACCCTATAGGACTCATCATTGCACATTGTATAGCCTAACTGGATGGTCCTCACTTACTATGCGTAGGATGCAGCACTGGTTTTTATTAATGTATAAAGCCATTTTAGGTAAGCTTCCACTCTACATATGTGTCAGATTTGCTCCAGTTTGTGACTCTTACAACCTCAGATCCAGTGCCTGGATACGGTTCCAGGTACCTGCTGTGCGGACTGAGGCTGGAAAAAGGAGTCTTTCTTATTATGGTCCTTGGTCTTGGAATGACCTTCAATCACGCCTTAAACTGAGGGCACTTGTCTCTATTTCATGTTTTAAATTGAAGTTGTCTGAAGTCCTCACCACCAGCTGCTCTTGCAGTAACAAGTAGTGTACTTTTTTTATTGTCCTAATGTGCACAATGTAGTGACTGCTTTTTCGTCTTTTGTTTTCTTTATGTTCTCTGTATTTTATATGTTTGTGTTATGTGTTATGTGTAACGTTGCTGCCTTCTTGGCCAGGTCAGCATTGAAAATGAGATTTTATCTCAATGTTTTTTATCTGGTTAAATAAAGGTTAAATAAAAACAGTGTCATGGACTTTTTAGCAGGGCAAATACTCATCCACCACAGGGGGAAAAATACAGCCACTCCTTTCAGTAATTTATTATGAGCGTCATGTGCAAATGTGTAACTTCTGTTCTTTGTCTTGGAGCTCAAATGGGGATCTACTTTTTGTTTTAAGGGTGACGTTTTTGTCACATGTCCAAAACAGTTGGTGTTTAGAAACCAACTAAAAAGGCACAATCATTAAACCATTAGATGACTGAACAAATGTCTGGAAGCAACAACTGTGCATTTCAAAGTGAATGAAGGTGTTCCTTGCTGATTATTTGCCTTTGTATTTCCTATCTACAGAAACAGTGCTGCATGCGGTGCCTTTCATGCATTTCAGTTCATTCTACTCGGCGACAACAAGCTCTGCTTCAATCAAGTAATATTTTCAAAGCTTACAGAGAGCCAGTGTTTAGCAGCCCCATATGAGAGCAGAGATAGTAAGTTGTTATCTTTAAAACAAGCTCTCTTTATGTTCTTTTAATGAAAAGAAAATGCACTATAAATACATTCAGAATTGAGCAAGCAGTATTGAATTGAAAACATGTGACGCCTTGTTAGCAATATTACAAATAGGACTGTGATGGATTAATATAATGGAGGGGAAGACATGATGCAAGTGGCTTCCATACAAAGTCAATCTTTGTCTGAGCCCATTCAAATGCAGTCATCTGCTAAACCATGATCTAATTTCATAAATCCCCTGGAACTACAGAAGGACAATTAAGTGGGAAATTGAAAGAGAGGCCACCCCTTATTGTTCCTGGGCCTGCATTGGTTGGGTGTCGCAAACACCACATCCCCATATTGATTCTCCTATTCTTCTATAGAGTTGATGGATGTCCCACAAGCTCCTGTCTATGGGAGTTTAAAATGAGATTACAGATTTGTATCACCTGGCGGCCGGCCAGTCTGTGAGGCTTTGGGATGAGACAGGACTTAAATCTTACAAGGAGAAACGCGACTACCACACAACTACAACAGAGGTAATGTGCGGAGGCTTTGCAACATACTGAAGGATCAAGACTGATGCAGCTTGGTATTTAAAAAATGACCATAACTTGATCATGCCATTTTACAATGTTTAAGGCGCTCTAAAACATCCATGCCCAGAGGTGTGAGGCTCTGCTGCTATATGAAAAAGCACTTCCCCTTTAAAGTATACCATGTTTAATCATCAGCCTACCGACAGGTACTGGGAGCATTTCATCATACCCATAGGTGCGGCAAAAACTCAGTATTATCATATCAAAAGCACCCTCCTTCACACAGGGAAGAAAAATCTGGATTTGATGATTTCAGTCAAGCACATCCCTACAGGCCCTCGTGGGCAGACCTCATCAATGCATAAACTGCAAAAATAATGGAGAGAGAAGCCATAAAGATCCTTCATCAAGGGCCATTAAAAGCTTTCTCAGAATATGGGCTATAAGTCCAGTGTTGCTGAGGGAAAAATCACCTCTCCCTGAGAGGTGGCATAAATCTGTGTGCGCTACGGCCCTGTGTTAGCCGCTGGCACAATAAAGAGCTTGTCAGAAATGAACTACTGGTAATAGGTTAATGTATTACCACACTGCACTATATGATGCAGTTCTATATGGGTTCTAATAAAAGCTACAGATTGCATGACAACAAATTAAACTTTTTGTTGGACCCAAACCAAAGCTACACTTTTATTCTGCAAGATTTTCAATCAGGCTCAGTTGTGTTGAACCTCTGAGGCCGTGAATCAATAGGTAGACGATTTAGTGCAAGTCTATAAATGTAGATGATATGTTGGGAAGAAGACTGACAATGTTGTGTCAAATGTGTTTGTTATGTTTATGTATTATGTCTGTCATTTTCATGTTTTTTCACATCTGGTCATGTCTGTTTATTTAGATCCTTCATCTCTAGTCAGTCTCTGTCATGTCTTGTTTTCCATTTCCTGTTTCATTTTGTACTTACCTCTTGTCTTTCATTTCAGGCCCTGTTTCTTCCTCCCCTTGTGTGTTTTCCCGCCATCATCAGTGTCTGCCCCGCCCCTGATTGTTTCCACCTGTTCCCACTCACCTCATGTTTAAATAGTCCTGTCTCTCCCCTGTCCTGTGTCAGTTCGTCTTGTTTGTTTCCCTGAATGGTCGTGCCAAGCCTCAGCTAAGAAAAGATCGCTTTCACTCATGTCAGGTTTTGTTGTTTTGTTAATTTTGTAGGCTTACGTTTCTTTCTTAAGTTCTCTTTTTGTTATGCATAGTTTTTCCTCCTTGTGAGCGCTTTTTGTTGATTTCAGTACCTACTCTGTTAAAAGGAATTTCCTGATCTTTGAAATTAAAGATACCTTTTTTACATTTAAAACATTTTACTGGGTCGTGCATTTGGGTCCATCAGTTTGTGTCGAGTTCCTGACAGACAGGAAGATATGGGCAAGATATTATTTGGTCCCGAGACAAGACGGGTGAAGTAAGATCAGTTTTAGATCAAAGTCAGCGAAACCATCCTCCTACTCACCATAGAAAGACAGCTTTCCTTTAGCCGAGTTTCTTCCTCTGGTGTTTTCAGCCACACATTCATATATTCCTGCATCCTCCAGCTGGAAGTAAGGGATTTCTAACACGCCGCTGGCTTTATTTATGTCCACCTTCCTGCCAAAAGAGGCTCCATCCTGCCTTCTCCAGCTGATGGTTGGCACTGGGCTAAAGGCATGAAAATAAAACACACAACCAGGCCACAAAATGAAAAATACTCGTGAAGATAATCTTTCAGTATCCAGAAATGTAGCTAAGGCAAATAATTTGATATCAGTGAATACAGCAAACAACAAAAAAAGCATGCCAATGTTTAATTGATCTGAAACACTAACTGGTGAGTGTTTATTCTCAGTATTTGGGGTTTAGAGCACAAGTAAGAGTCATTAAAAGTGGAATATTTTAGTCTCCAAATCACTTCACAGGGTCTTCACAAATTACCATGCAGCTTAGATTTGTATGGTAAACAACTAACAGAGACTGTGAGGTTATTACTGGGGAATAATACCACGCAGTGGGACGTACTTTCCAAGTGCAAAACACTCTAGTTTGACGGTTGAGCTTTTAGCAACAGGGACAACTTCAGGAAACTGCACTTCAATCTTTGGCTCGTATTCGCCCATCACACCTGCAGACACAAAGAGAAATACAGAAATGATCCCATGTGTGTCTGAAGGGAATTCTTTCACATCAAGCCTTGAAAAGGTCACAAAGAAACTAAATCAAAACAAAGTGTAGGTCATGACTATGTCAACTCAGATATACAGAAGAAGTATTTAGTTGAACTTTAAAAGACACTTTACTCTGTCCAATGGCTTGGGCAAAAATGTGTCTAGAGAATGTGTCTTCAAATACTCTCAATTATTATAAATTAGTCGTTTCATAAAACATCACTAAATATAATTACAAACCCATCTTGGTTCAACATGATGAAATTATGCTGTTGCCTGGTTAGGTTTACACAAGTCCTCTCTGGGATCACTTTTCCAAACCAGTGAGCCAAATAAAAACCAACTTCAAGTCTCTGATGTGATCGCCTGGATTGTTGAACCAAGAGAATAGAACAATACAGTCCACTTTCTATTCTTTCAAATGTCATAACTCTCTGTACTGTTTGTATTGTATAACAGTCTTTGTCAGAGAATGAGTATTACGAATATTTGAACTTCAAAAGAGCATAATGTTAATCAAACCAAATCACCAACATGAATGAGCTATGTTTGTATTCATTTGATGGCAGAAGTTAGCTAGCAGCTGGTAAGTCGTGCATTTTGAAAAAATACAAATCTTCACTCTTCCCCCTCGTTGTACTCCATGTTTATTACTGTGAGTAGGGCAGAACTGGCTTACCATCAACCCGCAGCACCAGAGGAGTTAGTGGTCCTTGAACACTGCTCTTGGTGACCGTGTTGGTGACCACACAGGTGTAGTTGCCCACATCAGAGGGCTCCACTTTGGCGATGTAGAGGTTTCCTGTCTTCTGGGACACAAACCGCCGCGTGTCCTGGATGACAAACGATGGGTACTCATTGAAGATCCACGTGAAGGCTAGTTCTGTGAACAAAGTCAAGCACAGGGGGGACAAGTCAAAAACACATATACCATTTATATACCATCTACACCCATGTAAAGGTTATGTGTGCTTCATCAGTAGTCTTATCACTTTGGTGTGAGTGGATGCCTTCAGGGATAAAGCAATTAGTGGATTGGAGTGAGTGCCAGCCTTCTATGATTAAAAACACAATTTATAATTGAAGAGCAATTACTCTTACTCACTGTTGGTTAAATGCCTTTAATATAATAACAAATTCATAGCTTCACTTTGTTGGAGTGATGCTGCTCAGAATATGAACGATTGACTTTCAGGGAAGTCGAAATGTACATTCACTGCAGAAATGTTGAGGTCTTTCCTGCGGTGGCCAAATAGTGGAAACAGTCTCAAGTTTTGATGAAACACATTGCAACAATGTCCGGCAAATACATTGCGATGACCAATCTTGAACATCAATGCATGATCTATTATCCCAAAGGATGATATGTTGGTTGTTGTTGTTGTGATTCCTTTCTTATTCAAGCATATATTGAGCTTTCCAACACTTCCATACATGACTCAAAGCTTTTTCCTCAATAGATAGATAAATTGTATTTTTATTGTTTCATTACATTTTGCCCCATTTTATTTCATCTATCATTTCATACCTCTTCTTATGATTTACTTGAAAACACAGAGACATTAGAAGTACATAAAAACAGAAACAAGAATTTCTCTTTATAGTTGTCACGTAGCAGCGGTGGACCTTACACATTTTATTTCCCAATAAAACCTATGTATTATACATCATGTTTTTCAGTATGGATCACTATTAATCCATGATAACACAAACTTCTGGGAAAGACTCCCAATACTATCAGATAAATGGAGTGCAGACAGAGAGGCTTTGCACTAACAATCAGCTGCATTATAAAAAGGAATGATGGTGTTTTGACATATTGACACAAGGATAGATTGCTCTGGACCATATTGCATCCCTGTCCCAAAAGCAATCTTGGCCGTTGGTAAAAACTTGTCTAAACGATGACTCGGCACTACAGTGCAGGGAATAATTGAGACGCGAGTTGGACACTCATCTACTGACTCAGTGTTCTTCACTTCTGCTCCTTAGGGGCCAGGAGTACGTGGAGGCCATGACATACGACTGCAAACCGTGCAAATCACAAAGTGACATCTTGAGAAGTTGTGATGCACATGCGAGAAATGCTCCTTTCAACAACTACTGAGTGGGTCTTTCAACAACTACTGAGTGGGTCTTTCAACAACTACTGAGTGGGTGTTTGTATGCAGACTGGACTTGTAAAGGACGGCATGACCTTGTGATCATCCCAAGAACACACCATGAGATAGAAACCAAGGATCACACAGTGTAATCACATCTGCCTGAATGTTTGTGCCAATAAATGTTTCCTGATTTACAATGTGCTACATTTCAGAAGTTATACAAGTTATATGTACAAACATGTAGAGTTTATGGAGCCAAACTCGGCTGTTAACTACATACAGCCATATTGACTGATGTGAATTGGCTTTAAAGAAAGACATTTTGTGAAATACGCTTATCTCATTGTGACCGAGTTAGATAAGGAAATCAATACCACTCTTAAGTCGGTACAGTAAATATGAGGATACTGTCAGCAGATGGTTAGCTTTCCATACAGACTGGAGATATTGGGAAACACCTAGCGTAGCCCTGTCCAAAGTAAAAAAAAAAAAACTGATACCACCTTTATGGCTAACTAATTCAATATCGTACAAGGACATACAAAAACAACAACGTTTGTGGTTTTAGGCAGATCACAGGGAGAAATAGTTTGTTGCTGGGAACAGTTGTTGTCAGCAAGAGGGGGCTGATGTAAAAAAAATATTCAAAATTCTTCAAACGGAATAAACAACAAAGACATGACATGTTAATTGGTGAGTGGGCTTTCAGAGTTGTTTTTAAAAGATTTGTTAACCTTTGGACAGAGCCAGGCTAGCAGTTTCCCAATGTTTTCAGTCTTTATACCAAGCATAGCTAACTGTCTCTTGGCCTTAAAAAAAACCATGAAATGGTCTTCTCATCTAACACCTCATCTGTGGGCATTTCATAAGTTTAACGGTTTCATGAATGACTTTTTAGAGACGTGATAAGAGGAGCTGCTTTTCAATGTTCAATATTCATCCCTTGTGGTTTCTTCAGCCATGAACTCCATCATAGTCTCCATCAATTGTATCAACCATAACTTCTTGGCTTGATCCATCCGACCCAGGGAGGGAACAGCTGTAATATCCTCTCTCCACTAAATAATATATTCCAGCTCTCATCCTGAAAAGGTCATGTATATTTAATGTCTGTTTTTGAAACAATATCTTCCAAAGGTGCAGGGCACGACAAACTGGAACAACAGCAAATAAGAGGTTACTAATTGGTTAGTTAAAGATTTATGGTGAGAAACGGGAAGCAGGAAATAGGAAGTGGAAAGTACCAATGGTTGTATTTGATGACTTGACTTGAGAGCCTTTTGCAGATGGTGCAGATGCTAATGGAATAATGCAATCATGACTGACAGTGAGTGGCAGATTTTCATTGCGCTTCCGTTTAGCCCTTGTATAATGAACAGGCAGCATCAATTCGCCCTTAATGATTGGAGAGGAGGGAAGATAAATGCAACATGACAGGTTGCCAAGGACATGCTGAATCCAGAGTGGCTCTTGGCGAAGTGTGTACTTTATCAAAGAAAGGTACACGCACAACCGCTGTTAACGTTTGTACTAGTGAGTCTGTTCCCTAGATAGTCGCAGCCCTTAACCAGGGCTACTTATCTGTATTCATAACACACAACAAGTTCACTCTATGAAATGGCTTAGGTCACGCACTTGGGAGAAATTCCTGCAAGCTATGTGTTTTGTTAGTGGCAGACGAACAGCCTCTGTTTTGAGGTACATGCTCTGCAAAGAGAGAACAAGTGATTTCAGCCTTGAGTAAATCTAAAAGGCATGTTTCCATTAGTGAAAGGAGGTCAGATGCATTAGGTGCAGTACAAAAGCACAGTCATTCAGATCCTCTCAAAGCAGAAGATGACACACACTGACATCTAATAAAATACAGTACCGTGCAGTGGAACAACACCGCGGCAGCTCCTCTTGGACACTTGATATTATTTGTGTCGGTCTTTAAGTGCAACTCTAAACTATCTCACAGTTTCAGAGCATTCTGGCTGCACCAAACTACTTCCTGCAGCTGTCATGAGGGTTTTGAGGCATCGTTAAAATGAAATAATGGCCTCTGAATCATTCATGGGATATTGAAATCCTTTAAAGGGGAGATGAGGCAGATCCTTGTCTAAGGCTGTATTGCACTGATCGTGAATTATGTCCTGTCTCCCTTCACTGTATGAGAGCATGTTTCTCACTTCCAACACTGTGAGAGTGGCGGTCAGACTATTCTGTGTTTCAAAAGTGCAACAACACATTAATAGTGCTTCCAATTAATTGGATAATGTACTATGTATTTCCCAACCCTTTAATGTCTCTTCAAGTGTTGTTTTTAGCAATAATGCTCTCACCATGCGTCAATATTAAGCAAAAAATACATTATATATACATTTACTTTCCTCCACAGTTTACACAGTGAGGCACATTTGTGTCAGTTATTTTATTAGCGGATCAAATTAATATGTTGTATAATATATTAATTATTAAAGTAATGATAATGGTTTTAGCTTCTCAAGTGAAAAGAAAATGGTTCAGCTTTTCCATCTTTTCTGTGAATAATATGCATCTGTTGCTTAGACAAAACAACCTGGTAATTGGGTATTTTTTAAATTGCTTACACTTTACTGCCTAAATGATCAATTCATTAATCCTGATAAATCATCATTAGATGAATGGATCATGAAAATAACCATTAGCTGCAGCCCTATTTGCTTTTAAACCGAATTCAGTGGATTAAAGTGACCAGGTGCAGCATTGCCATTAATATTTGCACTCAGAAGGAGGCTGAATGAGGACAAGACAATGTGACGGCGAGGTGTGGGGGTGTATGTCTGGTTGTAACAGCATATAACAAAAACTAGACGGAGTGCATCATTACCATAGCAAATACGGTCGGGCCTGCTTTTCAGTAAATATGTTAGAAAATTGGAGATGAGTCATCCTAAAGCACATCTCAGCATCCTCAGCATCTCCATCAATAGGCATAATCTGAGATGACAGCTGCCAAATATATTGTCAGAAAATGGATCGTTCCAAGCACATTGCACGGTCTCTAGAGAAAAGCTATGATCCATCGCAAAAGGAAGGAGGAAGGGGCTGTTGGTACACACAAAAGCAGTCTGTATGCTGTTGGTCGGCAGGACAAAAGCATGCTCTGGCTGTGTTTATTCGGTACGGGCAAAACAGCAGGGAAGCAATCTGACCCAGTTTGAATGAATATAAAAATGATTAGCAGTACATTTCCATTCACCCAAATAAAATGATTGTCGACAGTCTGAGAGCACTGATACTAATATTACCATTTTAAAATCCTTGTGTTCCATTGTATCGTATCAGAAGACTTGCGTGTTTCAGTCATGATCAGTTCTGATAATTTATAGGTCAACTTGAAAATCACTTTTCCTCTCTTTTGCTTCTGGATGATAAGTTTAATGCATCCATTTTTTTTTGGATTTCGGATCCGGATTTGTATGTTAAACTTTTGTACCATCGTTTTAAGCAGAGGTTCTATATTTTGGAGTAAGGCCCATTGTCCCTACATCCATGTTCTTAATTAAACTTTGAAGACAGAGGGGCTTTATAGAAAGTTGTGTCATGGGAAACGCAGCAAAAGCCATTGCTATCCAGCATGTTTAAACTTTAATCCAGTTATCTGATATAACATGTCCATGCAATGAGAGAGAGCACTTACTCCAACTATAGTAGGAGTTTATATAGCTCATTGACATTATAGGAACATCAGTCTTTTCTCTGCATCTTATATAATGAAATGATGATGACAGAACATATAACAGGCCGACTGTACAGACTCTGTATGAGCGTGGATGAAGCTATCGTTCCTTTTTAAGAGCAGGTAAGGGCTTCTTATGAGACTGCATGTGACAGATATGGGCCAGGTGCAACGTAACAGTGTTAGTTACTGACAACAACCCCTCCCCTACTCCCAAATGATCAGCATCATGCTGTTGGAGGGAGGTCCACAGGGAGTGTGGAGTCTAAATAAAAAGAAGCAAGTTTTGGTGACAAATGACAGACAAGACGAACATGAATTATTTAAGAGAATTATTGAAAGACTCTATTAACATTTCCCTAGAGGAAAAAACATCAAGAGCCAGATATTTTATCTCATGATGATTTAGTCAAATTTCTACCCAAACACACACACGCATTCATCTTGGTAAACATCTGCAGAGTGTGAAGTTGTGAAATATGCAAGATTGCAGTCACAACAAAGCAACTGGAGTTTATGTAACATCAGAACCCGGGGAGTTTCTTGAAAATGTGTTTATAAAAAGACGTGTTACATTTTTAATGCCAATATAAAGCAATGGTGTCCTGAAATCCCCTTATCAAACAAGAATATGGCAATGAAAGATGACAAAACCATCAGTTCTATAAAAGGTCACATTACATTTCCTCAGCCATAAATTAAAAATGTGTGACACATGACTACCATGAGTCAGAATGAAAAAGAAATGGATTTACACGATGAGAGGAGGTGAGCTCAAAGGTTTTTGAAAGGACACATGTGATGTGTTTCACAGAGGTGAAGCTCCCTCCTGCTGTTAACATGAATACAATGAGATTCATCATCAGATGTGCTTTTCAATGCTATTAAGACATCCAGGTCTGATTTTTGTATTATGAGCCTGGACAAGGCCATTCAATACTTCCTGTCCTTTGTAGAGCCTGGCTGAAGCCTTCCTGAATAATTATTGAGGTTTGTGAAGGGAAATGTGAATAATTGCCTAAAGGTTATAGCTCCCTTTCAGTTTTCTGTTATCCCCATCATGAAACAACCATCATGAGCCATACATGTATTTATTTAAAAGTAGTTGTTATTGTGTCATGTGTCCTCAGACAATTGCAAACCAACATTTTCTATTTATTTTCAGGCATCTTGGAAATAATCTATTTCAAAATGGTCTGTTGGACTATGCGTAACGGGCACACACTGCTAATATTACATTTTAATTGAGATTACATATCACATTTTAAGTAATATTGTCTGGATTCAGCTTGTAAGGATTGTTAGCACATTATAAGAATAGGAGAATAAGAAATCAATCACTTGCTATGTAAAGAAACAAGAGCAGTAGCTATTGAGATATTCATGCTTTGTAAACCAGTGAATCCACTATGTGAGACTCAATCTATTAGAACAAATCAAACAACTGTATGCGACATTCAAAACTTAACAATAAACAATATCAAGCTGTGCATAAAATGGTATAACCTAAACTGATGTCAGCATTCATTAAACACGCAAGTAATCTAGATTATTGTCTTGTCTCGAAGGTGCCTTAAAGGTGACTCATTAAATACCTCAATACATAATCAAGTAAATGAATGCTTGGTTACTGAATATCTCCTCCCTTTCTGATTGCCGTGCAGTACTGTACTGCAGCCTGTTTGGTTAGTATGTGAAAACTACCCATAATGAATTGGCACAGCAGGTAATGTTTCCAAGAAGAAGTCAGTCAATGTCAACTCATTTCTGCACTGTCTAGGCCGGGCCAAACTCCTTGTCCATGCACTCTCTCCCAAATTGTAAATATTCGCCTGGTGCCTGCACAATTGCCTCCAAAAACAGAGAGTTATAGCTTCTTGAAATAAATTAGACCGATTTTTGCACATGTGACCTGACTGAAACAGTGTTGTTTACCTGGAGATAATGAATGAACTGTTGAATTTAAATGGCCTAAATATTTTTGGGCAATGTCATGACACACACCTGATGATGCTTTTGTTTAGCTGGCTGGAGTGTTTTGGCATTTGGAAATCTTCCACCGGGGGATGTGGTTTCAAAAAAGCCATTACACTACGAGGCTGCCAAAAGTAAGCATATGGCTCATTGTTCCAGCTCCACTTGTAAGCACAAGGTGAGATGTCTCATTATAACACAGCATACAACAAAGGACTACAAACACAACATTATTCTAAGGTGAGCCAGTGACTTAGTGATGAAAAAACATTCTATTTCATTGTTGGAGCTCAACAGTTTCGCCCAGAAACACTGGACTAAAGTTTACACAAACAATAATCTGTTTTTATGACATATATAACATACAGCACCTGAAGGGTTTCCATTTTTAAGATGCTTCCTGATGGATAGCAACCTTATAGCAAGAAATATTCACTTTGGTTAGTCTGTATGATATAATAAGTGTAAGCTAAGGTGGTCCAAGGTTGCAATATTGTGTCTGTAAAAACCCACATTGGGTGGTCTTTAGCACATTCTAATGCAGCTATTTCCTCATATGCACTGATCTTGATTATTGCATATTTTAATTTAATCTGACACATTTAGTGAATTATACTAGTATATATAAAAGTCAAGGCTTTATAGAAGAGAATGAAAGTGAGAAGTGTAATTTAGTCCAAACCGAAGAGTACTAGAGTAACAGATGCTCATTTCGCTCTTTAAAGCTGATCTTCAGAAATAATGGCTGAAACCACTCCCCCCCCCCTGCTGTGTTCAGTATGTTACATTACATCCTGATTCTCCAAAAGTGGAGAATTACATTCTGCCGTGCTGCTAGAACTACAATCCATTACCAGAACCCTGTGTAGGAGTTAATAACATTGGATGCTAACTCTCAATGATAATGTCATGGATGCAAAGTACTGATGTGAAGCAGACAAAGCACCTTCAGAGAGAGGCTCCATTACTCAGCCTGGCAGGGGCCCAGACACGGACAGCCTCTCCGTCTGCATGCCAAAGTCTTTCCTCGCTCCCCCTTTGAAAATCAAGCTGATAGGCCAGAGTGTCCTAGAGTAAAAATGACTCACTCCACTGACCTCAACAACACAAACAAAGAGCCAGGAAATCTGCGGGCGGGAGCACGAATGTGACTTCCAGATTAGTAAATGAGTCTTCACTGATACTGAGTTTTTGTTAAAAAGCTGTGGAAATCGTGATTGTGTAAGTGATTAGGATGATGGAAGAGTAGTCCGTCTTACCTCCAGAGTGCGGAGGCGGGCCGCACAGAAGGACCACTCCTTGACCTTCACGGACCCTCACTGGACTTCTTCTCTGGGTCTTGAAGTTCTCCATGTCTGGAAACCAAAAAAAGAAACAAAGCCAAATATAATCAATTAATTCTTCACAAAAGAAGCCGTAAGCACACAGGACGTGCAAAGTTGTTTACAGAGGTAAAAATGCACTTTATATCTGCAGCTGCTCAATAATTTCATATCTGGCTAGAACACAGCTACAGCTGAGTTTAACAGTGCCATATGATGCAGAACTTTTGCACATTTTCATGAAACACACTATGTTTGCATAAATGCACACAAAGTGCTGTAAAGACCTAAACACTCCTGACCGGAGCAGAAAGCAATTCCTCAAGTATAAGTCACACATGAGGGAATTTAATTGGAATTGCGTATGGTTATCACTTTCTGTGTTTCATCCACTGCACACAGACCAGTAACAATTAAATGACTAAGACTGAAACATCATTTGTATGGAGACCGATTACTTGTTGACAACTTGCTGAGAAAAAGCAAATCGAGCCTGCAATCCTTGAACACTTTGCCTTTTCTTGCCTGCTGTGTTTCTTGGAGATATCGCAAGCAGTGCAGCCAAATATGCGGCTGCCATATAATGACATAATCAAGACTGAATTCATAAAAAGGCAGAAAGAATGCAAAACTGACACCTCCTGTGTACAAGCACAGCAGGATGAGCCTCTGCATAATAAATACAGTACGTGCTCTTTGCAGACCTTGTGAGTAATGGAAAGCTGCAACCAGCAGAACTGCCTTACATTATCACCATCGAAAGCAGCTTTTCCATGGTTCACAATTGATTAAGTGGAAAGCTTCTGTATGACTTCACAAATTATTAAGTAGATCATTAGGTTTTTTTCATTTTTGGAGCAGACAGATTGTGTGGATGCTTCAGCAGCCAATTTTTAGACTATAGCTGATCCATGGGTAACAATCGCATAAGCCTGTCTGTGCATGAACAGATTGAGCACAGTTAGGGTCCCTCTGGACTGCAAGCCATCTATACTCTGGATCCCTGGACGTGAAAGCGAATGTGAGAAATGTATTTATCTATTATTTTATTGATGTGTATGCCAGAAATGATTATAAAAACAATCACTATCAGACCAGATGTTCACGTTATATCATGCCTAACTTCACACCTTAGAGTATAATTAGTAGATGAACTATTCTAAAAAGAAATGTTGTATTTTGATTGAATCTTGCTATCACAACCAAAGTCGAAAGCTTGAGACTGTCAGGATATCCAATAGTTTTGCTTGCAGATACAAACAACCAGTATAAGAGAGAAACAAAATCGCTGATCAAAACATATAAATCCTCTCTTATTTGATCTGTTTTTTAAAAATATATTAGACTTACAAACTGATTTAATTAAACAAGACTTGGAGTCCAAAGCCACACTAACGGACCGTCCACACAGCAGCGTTAAAAAATCTTGAAACGCTTCTGCCCATTCACTTTGAATGGGGTGACGTCACTTTCCCTCACTTTTCGCCGAACTGCATTGTGGGCAGGCGAGCGGAGATTTTCAGGACTTTCAGGATTCAAAGTTGAACAATGTTCAACTTTTGAGGCTGAGGTGGAAGCGTCAGCCAATCAAATCCCGTGTACGCAAATCTGACAGTTCAAGCTCTAGCCAATCAAACGGCGTGTATGCTGGGAGAGACATACCGCAGGTCATTTCCTCATATTCCAAAAAATGGAGGAGAAATTAGCAGTAGGGAATCACCCGGTGCTTTATGACCAGTCCCTATTTACCTACCGGGATATAAACCGGAGGAGCCAGGCATGGAGGGAGGTGGCAGAGACAGTGGTATGTTTTCGCCTGTTTGGGGAGTTTATATCCAGTTTACTTCAAACTTTTTTGCTTCGTATGTCGGGGGCGGGAGATTCATGTGATTGGTTGTTGGTGCCTTGCTCGCAAAAAATCCCCAAGCTTCAGATACGCCCACCTCCAAGATTTTTTTAACGCTGCTGTGTGGACGGTCCGTAACAGTTCTGTGAGGCTGCACTTTAATGCTTTGTGGTAATCAGTTTATTAACATGCCCACATTTACAAAGTTAAGTAGGTATACTGTCATTGTCACGGTGTAAACCAATGCCGTATAAAGTAGCTTGTACACTGGCTAGATACGTTCTAGTTTCAGCAGTTCAATATGTATTCTATCTCCCGGCACAATAGCTCTGTAGATCTGATTGAGTTTCGTAGGCCAAGCAACTGTGGCTAAATTGTGTTAGAATAATAGGCACATGTAGGTATAGCATGCTAACCTACCGAATAAGTCATTTCAGTAAGCATACAGTCATCATAAAGAACAATTTCATTTATTTATTAATACATTCGGTTCAAAATTGCCCATTGTTTTTTATTGGCAATTTCTATCAGCATGTTGATTTAACTATGCACAGCTTCCCTCCATATAACCTGCTTTTCATGAGTGCCCAACACATCTTACTTATATTTAACCATCATACGAAATACCAGGACCCAAGCACCTGCTTTCCCTTATAATTACATTTATTTTTCAGTTTTTTTATACTTTGACATGTAAAAATGACTGCTTCTAGAAAGCCTATACTCACTCAAAACCACAATTGTAAATCTGCAGGTGGTGCTGGTGAAGTCAGGAGGATTCGTCCTATGTCGACCATGATAAAACATTTACAACATTCCAATCAATGACAGAGCACACTGATATCCCTACCGCAATAGTGCATCTCAAAATGAAGGAGTCTTTTGCAGCTTCCTTTTGTTTTAAGTTGCTCCATTATTTCAGCTGCCACAACAAAGTATTTTGGCTTAGAGAGGCAAACAGCTATCTGATAACATATGAAACAGAAGCTGCTCTGGCAGGGCCGCTACCTGCTGAGTCAGACAGTACGGCAGCTGCAGGAGCACCGTCTCACAATGGTTTGATGTTGTGAATCGTTTGGTTTGAGTTAATATTGTGCACAGTTGTATTTTGAATGCTGATAAGAAATAATACACTCTCTACTGTTGGTCGTCTGCAGAGTCAGTTTTTCAACTGTTACGCAGCCTACTGTACCATTTCTTATGCTCAATATGTGTGTGGATTAAGACAGAAAATAAGTGTGTGTACTGCCTTCAGAGTAAGCTACCTGATAACTTTCAACAATCTAATAACTTCATTATTATTGTGTTTTTTTAACTAGACTTATTATCATCATAGTATTTTTCAAGTAATTATGCATGCCGTATTTTCCGGCTATACAGTAAAGTATATATTGAATTTTGTCTGACTGCGTTCAAACTCCGGCCAATAGATGGCACTGTATACAATCGTGACAACTGAAAACTGCTGCACCACCGAAGAAGAAAAAAGTCACGGCAACCGGGAGGATGAGTCATGCAACTTTCCAGGATGTTGTGGGATGGATCGACACAGCATGGGCTTCAGTGACGACCGACACCATCCTGTCGGGATTCAGAAAGATCTAATCGGAGCTGATTCTGATGGAGAGTCTGAGGACAGCCCGGAGCAGGACATGCTGCTTTATCGACAACTCTGGGTGTTTCTCAATCGCGAGTACGCTTGCTTGGTAGCACATGTCTGCCGAGCATCTTGCTTCAGAAGCGAGTCAAGAATACTTCCTGACATTTGGAAAACGAAGAGTGGAACAGGCGAGCAAGTGTGTAGGTGTGCGTCATATGAGAGGCCCCGCCTTACATCTTCCGTCACAGATTTGGGGAAATTGGTCCGTGCGCAAAGCATTGTGGGGATTTTAAGACCGCGGAGTCTACTCATGTGCAGCCTCGATATTTCTCCAAACGGAGTACGCCGGGCTCGGTAGATTTCCAAGTATGCTGGAGATTGGAACAGTACTTCGGCGGCACTCGATGACGTAGTATGCTTGAAATAGTGGCTCTGAAGCAGCTTTACTCGCGATTGAGAAACACCCACTGTGTCACTGTTACGGAGCTTACACATGGCGGCGTGCGTTGAAGCTTCAACGCTTCTGCCCATTCACTTTGAATGGGGTGACGTCACGCTTCGCCGAACACAATGTTCTACTTTTGAAGCTTCGACGGAAGCGTCAGCCAATCGAATCATATGCCAGTACAAGCTCTAGCCAATCAAACCGCGTGCTTGTGTGTCCGGGGCGGGAGATTCATGTGATTGGTTGTTGGTCGAGCGTCAGACACGCCCGCCGGCAAGCTTCAACGCACGCCGCCGTGTGTAAGCTCCGTTAAACACTTCCACCAGAGTTAGCAAAAGTGTTTAACAGCGGCACAGAGGATGAAGACTTCAGTGGATAAATGAGACTTATACACCGAAGCGACTTATATATGTTTTTTTTCTCTTAACGACACATTTTTTGATAAGAGCGACTTATAGACATGTGCGACTTATAGTCCGGAAAATACGGTACAGAACTTGTCAAAAATAGCCAAAAGGTGCTTTACAAAGTGCCGAAATAATGCATTAAAACAAATAGAGCAAAACATGTCACAATGAACAAAGGACGAAATCAAATAAAATGTACATATACATTCCCACATTCATAACATATCCAGTACATACAGTTTATACAGTAGATCTACCGAGACATACAATAAAAGCTGTGATAAATGTCCTATCTTGCATGCATAGAGGTCATTTGTTTTGAATTGCAAAACACTCTCATATTACATGTGCATTAATAAATAAAATACTTGTTTACTGTCAGTTTATCGGCTGCAGAGGTTAAGAGAATTCTGAGCTTTAAATAAAAGAAAGGACTTCATTCACAAATAAAATGGTTTGCAAACAAATGACTTTGCAACAACCACTCATATCCACTCTTTCCCACTGAGTGGAACAGCTCATGAGAGGCACCTGCTCTTAACAAGCATTTATGTATGTGTGGCTGGTCAAGCGAGCACAACGTTTGGTTAGAAACAGTGTATTAAATCAAATATTTTACCATCACTACAATGAAATATCGCACCAGAGGTTTCCTGCCATGCCCTTTCCATCAGAAGATGCTGTGAACAACAAAAAGGGCCAGATTTGACTCTAAAATCAGGTTTACATATTAGAACATATCAGAGTTGCTTAACTCACACAGAGTGAATCTCTCCCGATCAATATTCCTTTGGAGTATGGTGGGGCGTAAATGAGCTAGACACAGTAAAAGCCAACAATGCCTGACAACCCAAGCTGTTCTGCGCCCCGTGGATCATCTTATCAAGCCCATCACGGCTCCGCATCGCCATGTGCTTCTCCATGGCAGGGTTCAGGCTATTTTGAGTGCTTTCAGATCCATGAAATTGGATGTGAATTTGCATTTTTGTGCTAGCTACATCAATGTGACACATTGTAATGAATAGGAGGCGATTGGAGAGAAGCAAAATTGCCCCATTCTGCTGGAGTGTGAGCTCGAGGGCAATTTGTGATATGGTTACATTTGTCACATAACCATTTGGACAAAAGGCATAAAGAGTTTTAAAAACTTTCCAAAGTGAGCTTTTTTTTTAAAGCTCTCTAGCTATGGCATAATTTCCTTCAATTATGGGTCATTCTGTATTTCTCATGAGAGCCGACCAGTCAAAGAGGCTTTGGGTAGAATTCACCAAAAAGAACATTATTAGGATATTTGAACTTTGACAGAAAATGTGGTATTAATGCAAGTAGTAAAGTGAACCAAATGATGGCTTTAGATTAAATACCAGGTTAATAGAATGCATCAATCAATAACCAAGGTTGTTGGGACAAATGTTACACTTGACCAGTACGAAATCTCTCTTTACTATTTAAACTTTTTTGAATGGCAGGCTAACTAACAATGCTATCCCTTAAAGGTGGGGTATGTAATTTATTTCAGAAACACTTTTTGTTATATTCCATGGAATGCTCTTAACATCCCGATAGCAATGAATATATTAAATGCTTTGACAATAAATACATAAAAAAATGTCATCTGTGGAAGCCGTGGCGCTGTAAAAAGCACGACCAATCATCTGAGCCGGCCCGGCTAAAGTAACTGGATGGCCTACCTGCCTGTCAGCCTTCCATCTGTGCACAAACTTATCTCGTGCCCTCATTGGTCATGTGCGCGTTCGTGTGTGTTGGAGGAGGGGCTCTGTAAGGAAGTCTGAAGGAAGAGGCAGATTTTTTCCGGTTGTGTCCTTTCAAATTCTAGCGCACTCGAGCTGGTTTCTCCAAAATTACATACCCCACCTTTAAGGATTAAATATAAGGAAACTATAAACAAATCTGACAAAAGTGCCAAACACATCAGATTTAAAAGAGGCATTTACTTTTTCTTTCCAAACCAAAGTGAGTCTGTGCGTTAGTCACCTCCCATCCATCTGTAGTTTAACAGTAAATGGGAAGAGCCTTGGATCCAATTTAAATGGGATGACATTCACTGATTTTCCATCTTCACCTGCTAATGCCATCTTTCTATAAAGCCTTTTTACGGAACCACTTACTTTGCCTGAATCATTTAAAAAGGTAGAAACGCATTTTAATGCATTTAAAATTCATGAGACAAAATAAAAAGAATTGATAAAAAGGTAAAGTATGGGGCGGTTATGCTTTAGCCAAGGACATGTCAGATTTCTTCTCCCACTGTTGTGCTCTCAACACACTTTACTGAATCAAATTATAGTTGCACTCAAAAACCAACAACAGTTCTTAAGCTAGTTCGCAATCTCTTCCGACCACTGCACTTATTTGGTCGACTAATGTCTCTCTGTCAAGCCACCACCTGAATTTATGTTTGAGGTTTTTTTCAACAATGGCTGGTGTCTTTTAAATGTGCACTGGAAATCTCTTTGTGTACCTTGCCTGAAATATGCTGTACAAAGGGTAGGATTAAAATATTATCAAACGTAAAAACATGTATTGGTCAATGGCAATAGCAGGAAAATGGGCAACACCAAAAAATGTTTCACATGGAATGTTGACCAATGACCCACCTAGATAATTAATTATGACAATATTAAGATATTTCAAGGATCCAATGCAGCATTGTAACATCAACCATTCTCCATAAAAACACATACAAACATGACCACCTCTTTAAAAACAGGCAAAGTTTACAATCTGCTACACTTGATTCATTGTCACTGTGGATACTCCTGATTTATGGAAATTGCACAGAACTCTCACCTCCCAAATAAGTTTATTCTGCTCTAAAATGTCTACTTTCTCATAAAACACATATTTTGCAGCTACATACAGTACAGTAGAAAGGAAATGGATGACAAATGGTACAATTGTAAACTTAATCCCTGTCTACTTGAATAGTTAAAATAAAATAAAAAAAAGCTGCAATCAACAAGTTGTCATATGTGGTAACCATAAGGGTGAAAAATAAATGAATACTGGTAGACGGTTGAAAACAATTATCCCTCATTTTTGTCTTCCGGTCTTCCCTCACTCGCTCTCCTGTTCTCAGAGAAGCACCATGCAGTGAACCCCCAACAGTGAGTGACACCTGACATTTGATCAGTGATAAACATCAAAGGGGCCTAATTCATACAGAGCGATACCGCTGGTGTCTCCTGACAATTACAACGCTGTTGTGAAGGACTGCATTCAGAAAAAACCCGCTGCCATCTTCTCTTAAAAGAGAATTTGAAACGCAGATTGAGCACTTAGCATCACAGTGCTGATGGAAAATGTTATTGTCCCTTCCTCTGATGCTCTCAAGCTCAAAACAGGCTACATTTTCACCCGAGGCAAGAGCAATGAATAAAGAGTATGGAGCTGATGGAAATGAGAGGCAAGAAAAAAATGGAGATCTAAATCTTGCAAAGTAATTATACAGATAAGGTAGTAGAGCTGGTAAGAATTATGTGCAATTACAGAACCGAATATGATAGGAGAAATCATCAGCAGCAAGATACAAGGGAGACACATCCGCATTGCTTTCATAAATACCGCTATTTCACCCTTCGTTAAACACTGTGTTACTCTCCGTGGCTCTATAAGCAGCACAGCATTTAGGCTGTAGCATGTTCCTTTCAGAACAGGCAACCCTTTACACTTTGCCGGCATTGCAGGCCTTCCAATTGGTTGTATAATGTTGCATCTTGCATCAGCGAAAATCCTTACACTTACACCAAAAATATCCCTTGGTTATCGAAGCAGATTGAGTTTCCTAATCTCCAACTAGATTATTCCTTCCAGCACTCTCAGCATGCGAGCAGAACCTTTTAAATATTTAAGTCTGCATTGTCAACAGGATCAAGAACCTTTATACTTTTAGAGGTTTAAACCCCTAGCAGATGGTAACAGAGACTGTTATATCATCCATCCAGAGGATTACAAATGTGGGCTATCTTTACTCTCATGTATGCACTACACATGTGTTCAATGGACATTCAATGTTACACGACATCATTAGGTGATGCAGAACTTCCACATTGTTTTTGTTCACCATATGTACAGTATAAGGACTTCAATGAATTATTCCCAGAATATATTACAGAAGAGTACAATGGTTGTTGTTATTATGGTATATTTGGTTTTTGAAGTACTTTATAAAATTGCATATTTTGTAGATCATGTTTTTCCTTCTTTAATGGCCTTTACCTTGTTCTTTGTCTCACAGAGTTATTACAGCACAGAGAACGACGCAAGTCCCTTGATGTTTGAAAGAGCATATTGAGCTACTCTGAGTCAGAGTCTGTTACAAATGACACGACACTGACTCTCATAACAGGCTGCTCCTCCATGAATTATTCCCTTGACCTAAGGCCCCTTCAATCATAGAGAACACTTCATTAAGTTAAACCACAAGCAATAAATAAGACGGATGACACATCAGCACCGATGCTTGTCCTCATCTGTTGACAAAAGCAGCAGGACCCAGGTCAGACCCAGGCAATGGATGAGACCAATCACAATGACATACAGCTCAGATCAGGCCTCCAAAATTGATAGGAAATGTGAATATGATCAACAGCCTGCTGGCAGCCCAGGGCACCGATTTGCACTATATGCTGAAGATTTAATGCTGCTTTGTGACAATGAAGCACCAAATCGTGGCTAGATGGATGCTCTCCATGCCAAGGATCATCTCTGCGTCGATGGCAGAGAAACAGACATCAGAATTCAATCTAGCTGCACCATCTGTTCCCAGATATCAGGGCTGTCATTTGATATGAGCTGCCCATCAAGAGTGGAGGCCTCAAGTTCACCTTGTGATCACATGTGCCTCAGACTGTGGTCTTATAAAACGTGATGGATGAAGCCTGTAAAGCATCAACTATACGGGGTCTGTCAAGGCCCACCACACAATCATCACAGGGGTGTGAGATGTTAAGCAGAGTAAACCGCAGCACTGGAGCTTTAATCAATCATTAAAGGATAAAAAACACAGCGTGACAGGAACATGGCCTGTTAATTTGCGTTTTCTCATAATTAACTGTAACGCTATAAGAGTCTCTTGTCGCTGCTGGAGAAGATCAGGTCTGACAACAAACAATTTCCAGAGAATCCTACAGGGTCATTATATTTTCAGTGAACCAGAACGTCTGATGTTTAATGAAACTTTCCCTTTCCAAGGCAAACAAAAGCAGCAGTGAACTCAAAGGAACCCAAGTTGAATTGAGGTGAACTAAACTCAACTCGGAAGGAAAACTAATAATGGGAAGAACACAAATTGCTTAAGACAATAATACAAAACTAGTATTACAAATGATTTAGAAGTGACAAATTGCTTGGTAAATATAATATAGACTTACAGGCAATGTGTAGACTGGCCTCTCTGCTGACGATGGTGCCAAAGGTGTTTGATGCCAGGCACTGATAGATGCCGATATCCTCCTCTTTGTTCAGTTGGCTGATGTGTAAGTTTCCTCCCATGAGAGAGTAGCGTGACCCCAGTCTGGGCATGATGAAAGAGTCGTTGAGCTTCCACCTGAAAATGTAAGATTCACAACAAAAGATCCTTAACACAGAACGTTAAGATGCCCAGTAACATGTCATACGCATTGTACATGTCAAAAAGAGAGTACCCAGTCATCTAAACTGTAAACAAACTGTGTTATTTATGTCTGCTCTATACAGAAAATGGCAGTTTGATGTGTGTTTTAGCAAAACTGAAATGAATATAACTGAAAGGAAAAGCAATCAGAAAAAAAAAAAACTCATTTCATAAGAGTGTTTATTTCTATTCAGTTTTTTTCTCATACATCTCCTTCTTGCAAATCAAATGGTTTTCATTTCTGTGACATTTTATTTTTTGCCAATTTGTCCATCAATGACAACCACATGAAGGAGGCTCTTTCACCGTGGATCAAAATTCTCCCATCAAATCATAGTAATCATCAGAAGGGAGGGACAAGCACTAAGGGCCAGATGCATACAACGCTATGTATATTTAAGAATACAACTGTGTGTAGACAGGAATTTGCATATGCCTTATTTTCGTCAGATGAATAAAGCCGCAATGTGTATGTGTCTGATTATTTTTTGTAAGTGTTGATCTTTGTGGAACTGGGTGCATCTGGACAAGCCTAATTTCCACATCTAACGGTTAGCCATAAATGGATGTAGAAACACAGTTGAACCACTCATTATCCCTTTGAATGAGAAATTATCATCCAACATGGCTAAGGCTATTTGTAGTAGACGTACCAGTAGTTCTATGTAAATACAGTTTTTAGAAGTTCTTTAAACTTAAGTTGGTTATACACATAGTGAACACCTTTAAGGAAAGCCTAACTTGGTGCATAGGTTGTGTGTGTGTGTATTGTGAGGGGGATTGCACGGTAGATAGAGACGCATGTATGTATGTGACGGTTTGAAGTGAACACTGTAGCTGTGAACAGTATCTGCTCGCAACCAGCTAATTGAATTGATGGGAGTTTCAGGCCTTTCAGTTGGACGAGCAATTGTAATCTTTAGTGACAAGCGGCTCTCAGCGTTTTTGACAAAGTATGCATGAGGTGCGCATATCCTCAATTCTCTGTCTTATTTGATCATTTCTATAGAGTGAGAAAGTATGTGAACATTGTTAATTAATCGGGGCCCAGGAGTGCTGAAACAGAATGGCCACATGTAAAGTGCAGGATAATATTGCTTTTCTGATTGAACTGCTTCAATATTATGGGTCCAGCAAGTGTGTGTGTGTGTGTGTGTGTGTGTGTGAAGAAGAGAGAGAGACCAGCAATAATCAATTGCCAGACATCAGCATTTAACTTTGCAAGATGTATGTGTGGTTTGATTTAGAAGACTTAATGGTGTTTACTTTGCATAATGAAGGCTTATGGTCTAAGAAAACCTGCTCAGTTGATGATGGCAGTTCAAACAAATGCAGCATGATCATAATGTCATACATTTTAATATAGACTACAAGGCTTTGTTTCTATTCACTGTGAACAGCAAATGTAAAACACATGAAAAAAAAAAAAAAAATGTCATTCAGAAACTTTTTCTATTCAGATACATTGCATCAAGGTTGTCTGTATAATTCCGAGGCGAAGGTAGTGTTCAAATAGCACTTTCGTTCAAAAATCAAATCACATTCAAACGGAATGAAAATGAGAAAAAGGAAGAGAGTAAACAAAGACTAACAAGAAAAGTGACACTAGCAACTCTCAATAAATGGCTTTTCATCGAGGAAATAATACACAATTAAGTTCAATGTTAGCTCCTCAGACTTGATTAGGTTTTCAAAGCTCTCTCAGAAAATAGCAGCTTGAGGTTTCTATTTCTGACTTTCTTCCTCCTTTTTTAGTGGTAAGGATTTATACAAAGACAGCAGGTTGCTGGGTTGAAGAAGGGAGAGACATCTGCAGTGGAGCGGTGCTCAACGGCAGATTGGATGATTAGATTGATTTAGTGATTTGGTGTTGCAGCTGAAACTAGTCCAAGAGCTCCAGATGAGACAAATCAAGGAGCCATGGTGACAACTTGAAGTGGGGGCTTTATGCCGTAGCGGTCATCGGGTAGTCTCAGACACATTTATTTGCCCTTGACGACCCTGAAATAGACCTGTTTTTATACTCAGAGCCACTCAGCATATGGGTTATTGTGCTGGAACAAGTTGCGTTTGGTTTAAAAGAAGGAAATTACCAAGGCAGTGACGCTAATATGATGCATGCTGACTGAACTAACAACACAGCAATGTCCATCTGAATATCAGGCCCATTATTAAAAAGGGATGAAAGCTTGTGATCTGAAAATCACTTCTTAATGTGGTACTGTATATCAACTGCCGCAGTTGGTGGCACTAGCTGTAATTAAATAGCTCATTAAAGCAACATTTGATTTGATATGGAGCCGGGCACGCTCTCAGAACTTGATTTCAGAAAGGGCAAAGAAACTTGCCCATTTGACCTCATTAAATGATCATTTTAAAAAGAAGGACTATCCAGAGTGGGAGGAATAGCGACTGATAGCTTAAAAAATATGCAGCTGATCCAAGTGATACGATCTTGTACATTCATTTCAATTAGTGCCCATTAGGCATAACACCAAGGATCTTCAAGCTACATTACCGGCCGCATATGCTGATGTTATGAGGGATCGTTTCAACCTATTACACATTAAATGCTTGGCTTCGCAATTTGCATTTAATTACGATGACAGGAGTACAACAGCTATGTGGCCTTGTTTGATAGATTATGAATTAATAGCTTATGCCCTTATTGCACTTTAAAGAGAATCATTGTTTGTCATTTGTTTTCATTTGTTATAATTTTGGAGGCAGAGAACTTGGGCATTCATTTATTTCTAACACACTTGGTGCTCAACCTCTCACAGCCAGTGTACTGAACAAGGACAATGACAGCAGCAGGTATCCCACACATTAGTCCATCCTGTGAGTTGAGTAATGTTTATCACTGATTGATAATGTCCAAATTAGATTTCTGGTGCTAATGTCTATGCTACGGTGGGCAGTGATGCTGTACATATCCTGTAACTGAAGCAGATATAAGGATGGATATCTTCTGCCACATTATTTCTGGTACTCGCAATACACTATATAAACTACGCATGTTTCTCGTCTCCACTTGATCTCTGTCATGAGAGCAGAAGAGTTTTGATGCATGATACTCTTGGGTCACTTGATCTTTCAAATGGTTAGTGTTACGGATGACAGGAAGCTCTCAAAGTGAATTATAAAGCGGATCAATGTCCACCAGCCAATGCAAATATGCAATTGACCAACAACAGAGGCCAATTAATTCATCATTCTCATATTAACACTGACAGTGACGCCAAGTGCTGCAGGCCGTGAGCAGCAGTGAGCCATAAGGTCCACAAATCCTCAGCTCGCACAGGGCGATAAATCCAGTCTCTATTTGTTATTAGTACACATGTTGCCCTTGAAAGCATAAAGAAAGTTCTGCATTGTAAACATGTTGTGCATAGAGCCATGCCTGGAGGTTTTACCTGTAGAAGGGTGTTGGGTGTCCCTGGGCCTCACAGCTGAACACCACTTCTCTGCGATTCTCGCCAGGTTGAAGGGGGAACACCACACTGCCAGGTTGTTTGGTGAACACAGGCCGCAGCAGGACTCCGTTTCCTGGGTGGAGAACCAAAGAAAATAGATCAGCTTTGATGTCCTGGTAGAACACGAGTGTTTACAGAGGCAGGAAGCAAGTGGAGAATCAGTACTGCACAAGAGAAGGTTACATCACTATAGAATCTCTGCTTAGTATGGATCTGTTGTCCATGTGAGCAGAACCCATGAGCATGTCAGTTGTTTGTCAGAAAAAAAGGCATAATTGGTTGGTGACCTTCATAAACACTTTACCGCAAACATGTGAATGTTAAGACTTGTCAAAGGCACTCTGCAATGCCACAGTGCTTCAGTGCAATTGCATCTTAACACATTACAACACTTTCCCAGGGGGTGTGATTCAATAAGAAATAAGAAATAAAATGCCAGAACAAATGCTGAGAGTAATATAGTTTCACTTTAAATTGACCCTTCATTTGAGCCTTTAAAATGGTGCCCCTGTATAACTCAGAGGGAAGAAAAGCCAACACACTTAGTTTATTGAAGGAAAAATACGGGGCTAAAGAGTTAAAAAGCTACACTTATTCTTGTGTTCTTTGTCTTTATTATAAATGTCATAAATATTAATAGTCAGGATGAAAGGTTGCCATTATACAAACACTAGTGAAGCTTGAAAATATTGTTAAATAACACTTTTAAACAATTTTATTAAATATATGTACTGTGTTTTCACGGGTTATTATTATCACAATTGTTCTGCAGGGAAGAAAAATATATACAATATAATGTATATAACACAGCCCCAAATAAATAAATACATTTCTGGAGGGATAATAGCATTGGTGAAAAAAACGAAAACAGAAACAACAAAGTCAGCATCATTGTTAGTGTGACATCCATTTCCTAGTTAATCACAAAGCTACAAAAGTAAATGCATGTTGTGCTGGCAAAGTCTACAGTAAGAGTGACCCATGGGGAAGTCAACATTTCCCAGGAATAAACATTTCTTTCTGTGACAGAAGGGAATTAATTTGGATATGTCAGAATACACTTGCATTCTGTAATGATACAGAAGGGGGAAGATTATGTAGGTAGGGTAACTCATTTGTATGAGAGACAGGTATCCCTTTCAAGTTTGTGGCGCCTTGGGAGAACAGGTTTATCCTCAAGACTCAAAATAACTGTCTGAGAGGGTGGGGATGCTTGAAAAGGGACCTTGTACGCTGATTGTTCCTCTCCACAAGGATAAACCTCTCAGAACGTTACAGAGAATAAAAGGCTGCCTAATTATAATTTCTGTTAGATGAAGCGTGTACCTCGAAGCAGCGTTGAGAGAAGATTGATTACCAGAAGACACCGCATGTACAGTCCATACTCAAACACACATCCTCACACTTGTTGTACACAAACTGGGAAGAATGACAAAGCCTGTGGTAAACATGAGATGAATCACTGTGCCTTATTAAATTGATAAATGATTCCAGTTATCAAGTCAAAAACATTTGCGTTCAGCATCGTTTTGAAGAATGCTCAAATTGGGCCAATTCAGCTGGCAGCCCCTACAACATAATCCATCTTTTTAGTTATTAATAACTACTTGAACTCGCAGAATTTCAAGTCAGAACTCAAAGCCAAATCAAGAGATGTTTTATTTCATCTGGTAATAACTCATTTAATTTAATACAAACAGAACAGTATTTTGGGGTTTGTTCCAACACATACGTTTGTTCCCCTACCTGAATAATACCTCAGCCCAAAGGTGATATTGCATGCAGCGCAATCTGTTTGGGAATCCTGTTGCATAGTATTCATTAATGATGTACAGCCTGGCTTAGGGAGTAACTGAATACACAAAATGGCTTTAAGTAATTGGGAAAAAGGTATTCCATCAGAGGATAACAATTTAAGAATGTAGAATGATATACTACAATGCTTATGCGCACATAACAACACTGCACGATATAAGTCTCACACAATCGCCTCTAATGATAGTAGAAACACATATTTTTGGATGTAGAGCAGAAGAGTGGGAAATCACATTTCAGGGCAAGTTATTGCAAAGCAGGATTTTATGTGAAATGTCTAGTCCATAAAGGATATTCTTATTATCCTATTATTCTTTGAGTCATTAAATGATGACAGCACTTTCACAGCTGGAAGGCATAACTCGCTCAGTAGCAGGATGATGTTCCCCTTTTACAAAGTTAATGGTAAAATGACAGCATTTCTATGTTCTCTTCTCTTACAGATTTAGGTCATCCAAAACTAACAGGATTTCATCAAGTTGTGTAACTAGTTAGTTATTAATAATTCATTTTTGATTGTATCGGAATGCATACTGTACAAGTCTAAAGACTGTGAAATGGTTGATTCATTGTCACAGCAGTGTTCTAACAAATGAATGCAGAAATGCGCTGCTGTGGCTCTTCAAGTTATTTTCATGACCACCTGATTAAGACTGTGGTAAAACGTTTTTTTGGAGCGCAGTGAGTGTTTCATGGTGCTTATTTAATGTGTTGGACCCTGCACTTATCACTGGCACCCTGCTGCTGCCACACTTAAAAGCACAAACAACGGCTCAACAGAACAACTGGCATTATCTCTGCTGCACCCACAAGTAAACAACCTAATCGTGCTGAACCATGTCTGAGAACATTTTTGCATAACCTTGGTGTTTATTGCACTCTTAATCAATCCAAAAGTGTGCTGCAAACCTTACTCAATATTCAATTAATACGAGACTAATCAACACAGATATTTGTTTGCCGCCCTGGGTTACCTAGTTTATGGCAGCAATGAACTGACCGATCTTGGCAGCACCATGGAAACAGTTATTCTAATGGTGAATGAGTGCCAGAATAATAATAAGGTATTTTGGCTCTGGGGGCTGTGCCTGGGGGCTCAGTTCAACCTGATGCAAACTCTCTGAAACTCTTTTTTAGCATTCATGAAATGAATGTAAGATACGGTAGGAAAAAGCTGAATCTTTTTCAGACTTTCTGGTAATCAAACACAGGAATTTGAAACACGACAGCAGACTTAGAGATACAAGCTGAACACACTGAGGCTAAACATATTAGTGGCAGTGATCAGAATCAGAATAAGAATACGGTTATTAGTCCCACAGAGGGGAAATGTACATTGTTACAGCAAAAGGAAAGTGGCCAAATATTGATAAGGGCATGCATGAAAATGTAAACCTTGATTTAACCAGACTGGATGTATACTGGAAATACTTCTGCCAAAAGTTTAAAATGTTTTAAAATGTTAAAATAACATTGACATTTCTGTTGATAGATTGTGCACTGGTTAAGGGAACTAAGAAAGTCAAGGGACATGTTTAAACCTGTGTGTCAGAATCTGATTGCAGGTCCAACTCTGAGCACCCCAGAGCAAGGAAAGCAAAATCCTGAAAAAGCTCTCTATCAGAGGAGTGCACTGATCCAGAATCCTAACAGGAAGTTGACTGCACAATGCTGCAGGACCGAGATGGAGGTCATTATGAAAGGGGTCTTTAAAAATAAAATGGGTCGCCTGCACTCATATCTGTCACCTGCTGCCAGATGGTGATGGTGCAGCTGTTTTCGGAGGCTCCTCACACAACACAAGACTCAGCAGCGAAGCACAAGTGGAAGGCAGAGGGAGCTGTTTAGGAGACTGAAATAAAAACTAATCTCAAATTCAATAGTAGCTGACAGCAAATGAATTCCTCCAGCTTACCTCAGCATGAATAAACAGGCACATGGGGAGTTGGCTGTGGGGGAGGTATCGGTCGTTTGTGAGGTCCCAAATCCATTCGTTTCAGCTCAGGGTTTTATGCATCAAATAAATAAAAAAGCCAATCTTGCTTTTTAAAGCATCTTTCCCCTCTGTCCAGGCCGATAAGGAAAACATTTAAGGTTTCTCATTCAGGGGCAGCAAATGTTACCCCGGAGCAGAAGTAAGGTTTGGCTTGTTTTGAGCAAAGTATGGAGTCGATCACATCTGTTTTAAATATTATATCTGTGAAACTTGTTTTCCAAGGTTCCATCAATATTTTAACATTCAACAGTAAAATACACCAGTACAAATTATTTAAAACTGCTGGAATATTGAAAGGAGATGGATACCGTGTGGTGATTCCAGTACTAATATAAGGTAGCAACAAAATAAAGAAACAGGTACAAATAAATAGCACTACATATAAACAAATATGATCCAGCATTCTTTATTGCTAGGACTATACGGTGCTGTACTGCAGAATATTGTTTATGAAGTTAATTACATTTTTAGCAACACAGTAGGTAGTAAGAAGAAGGTGGCCCACACGTTACCAACCAATATCCAACCATGTCACACGATTCTCAAGCTAATCAAAGCAAATGCATCTATAATTCAATAACACCCCTTGTATCCAGGGTATCCAATGCCATGTTCGCTGCAGACACACAGAATTGATTATGTCCAGTCCCATATGTGGGAATGGCAAATTGCACCTATTTCTTGTTGTTGTTTCCTCTGTTAAATGTCTACATCAGGGCTCTCCAACACGTCGATCGCGAGCTACTGTACCGGTAGCTCGCGGGCAGCTTTTCAGTAGCTCGCCGCTCGATTATCGATTATAGCGTAGTAAGGTTGCTTATTGATTTTTCGGCCGCGGCTGGACCATAACGTTTTTTTATTTTAGAATGTTTTCTGTCACATGAATATCAAATGGTCGGTGACGCAGAGATCAAGGAACAGACGTGACAGCAGCACAGCGACATCACACACGGAGCAGTCTGCTTTCTCCACCAACACCAGTCCAGAACCAACAGCAGAATGACCCGCTCTGAATCAGGCCCTGTCGCTGCGCCTCAGAGACACACAGGGAGGGATTTGTGTTTTTTGAAAAACACTCGTTATCGTCATGTCAGGTTTTTGGTGGATTTAATCAAGTCTTGGATTGCAGAGTATGAATGTCCTCTTGCTATTTTCAGTTGATAAATACTTGTGTAAAGTTTGTGAAGGCAGGAGGAAAGCTTCCGCGATCACCGTCTCCTCTCCGTTCCTCCAAACCCCGCCCCCTCCCTGAAAATAATGAG